GATGTATGAATACTTTGGGCTTGGGCCAAGAAGCACTATTTCTAAGATCTTCAGAACTTCTTAGAATATCAAAGATGTTTCAAGTTTTATAGATGTTGCAAACCTCCTATCTTATTCAAGAATTTTAATCTTTAAGCATACTCTAGCAATAGCTCAGCGGTAGGGCGTTTGCCTTGCACACAGCCAGCCCAGCCGAGCCAGGTTTGATTCCTCCGCCCCTCTCGGAGAGCCCGGCAAGCTACCGAGACTATCTTGCCCGCACCGCAAAGCCTGGCAAGCTACCAGTGACGTATTCAACAGTAACAACAAATCTCAAAATGGAGACGTTACTGGGCCCGCTCGAGCAAATCGATGAACAATGGGAGGACAGTGACAGTGACAGTGAAGCATACTCTATGTAACATATTTCTGAAAAGTCTTTCTAACGTATGTATGAGGCATTATTTTCTTTTGTTTAGGGTTACACCCAGATATTCTCATGGTTGCTCCTGGCTTTGCACTCAGAAATCACTCCTGGTGGTGCTCAGGGTACCATAAAGGACACCAGGGGTCGAACCTGGGCTAACTACCCACAACGGAAGCACCTTACCAGCTATACTATCTCTGCAGCTCTATATTAGGTGTTATTTATGCTGAAATTTTTTTTGGGTCATACCCGGTGATGCACAGGGGTGACTCTTGGCTCATGCACTCAGGAATCACTCCTGGCGGTGCTCAGGGGACCGCCAGGATGCTGGGATGCTGGGAATTGAACTCAGGTCAGTAGTGTGCAAGGCAAACGCCCTACCCACTGTGCTATCGCTCCAGCCCCTATGCTGAATTCTTTGAACTGTGATCAGGTGTGATTATTTCAATGCCCTCATATTCCAACAGCACACTCAAAATAGGAGAAAGTATTTGCTAAAGCCTGGTGATGTCATATCTGGTTGGACATGTTCTTATGTCCCTATCTCTCTTGGGGGAGACTGTTAGGGTGGTGGGCTAAGTGGCCATACATACAGGCAACCCCAGACTTCATAGGGAGGCTTTGGGAGGCTGCCTGGCAAATGCAAAACTGTGACACATTTTATCACCACTCATGAGGTTTGAGAGAGGTTACAAAAGACCCCAGAATAGTGGCTGCTACTAAATGACAGCACGTGATCATCCACTGATCTGATTATTCAAAGTTTCAAGCTAAGCAGGACTTGGAGTTCACAATGCTGTCTCCACAGCCCCTGCACCCCGTTAATATTCACAGCAGTTGGCATGTGTGTATTTGGTTAATAGGCCTATATTATTCCAGGTTGACCAAGATCCAAGTTCACTCTGGCTCCCTACTTTCCCCCATGCCCACTTTCTGAGTAGACTCTGTCTAGAACACACACTTTTTTCTTTCCAGCTTTCAAAAGAAGGAGGCTGTTGGCTGGAACAATGTATTGACTTGGTGTCCGATAGTCTTGGTAACAGGATGAGGACCCAGGTGTCCTGCAGTGCCCTCTTCCTTGGCTCTGTCTAAGGCTTTCCAATGACTGGGAGAGCTATGAGTATAGGGGTGTGGAACAGAATTTTGCAGAACTTTTGGGCAGATGTTGTTTATCATGTTTTTTTCATGCCCTGTACATAGAACTATGTGAAAAATTCCCCTTCATATCCAGAGGAAAATAAATGAGCTAACTCTTTGTCTGTTCTCTTTGTTGGAGAATAAGAACACAGAATCCAGTGTATTTTTTCATGTTACTGAAAGCTAGGAGAACCCATCCTTGGCTCCTCTCAAGCACCCAGGAATGACTTCATCTGCTATTTGTGTACGGCGGCTCCATTGTGCTTTACCATTCATTCTTTTATGTGTTCCTATTAACTTGTGAGTGCTTACGCGCCTGGGACCATAAGGGAGAGAAAATGCCCTAGAAAATGACCCTGGTTAGGGCACTTTAAACCACAGTTTCTCTCCCAGTGTAGAGGCTGGAAGTCTGAAATCCAGGTGTGGGCAGGGCTGGGTTCTTCCAGAGGTTTTCTCCCAGTCCTGCTGCCAAAAGGCAGCAACTCCCATTGGACTCTGTTAGCCTGTGGCCTACTCCATTCCTATTGTTACTGACTTATTTTTATTTTTATTATTAAAATTTTGGAAGGCTTTTTTTGGGGTACACCTCAGCAATGCTCAGAGGTTACTCCTGGCTCTGCATTCAGAAATCAGTTCTGGCTTGGGGAACTATATGCTGGGGATGCTGAGGGACCGCATTCTAGGCAAATACCCTACCTGCTGTTCTATCGCTCCAGTCACACTCACTTATTTTGAGACAGAATATTAATTTTTAGATATAGCCCCAATATATAAAATGACATCACCTTAACTAAGTAAGTCTGCAAATACCTTATTCAAAAATAGCCATGTTTTGAGGTTCTGGGTGGACAGCATTTTTTTTTTTCTTAGGGTTGGAAATAGGTAAGTCCTAAATCAGAAAAAAGATTAGTCATCAATGGGCTGGAGCAATATGTAGCAGGTATGATGCTTGCCTTGCATGTTGTCAACCTGAATTTAATCACCAGCATTCCATATGGTTCCCCAAATCTCTATGAGCGATCCCTTAGCACATAGCCAGGAGTAAGCCCTCACATGGTGGGTGTGGCCTCAGCCTCTAAACAAAATCAAACCAAAAACCAAACCAAACAACAAAAATCACAGGTGTGGGACCTGAGAGACAGTATAGTGGGTAAGATGCTTGACATAGTTTCAATCCCTGGTACCACACAGGGTCTAGTAGCACTCTCAGCAGTTACCCTGGATTCTCCCCTCGAATTCCTGTGATTTTCCTGGGCTCTCTATACTCAGAGATGCCACTGGACAGGTTTTTAATGAGTACACTCTTTTCCAAAGCTCTCCCAACTTCCCTCAATCTTTCATCTCAAAAATAGACTTTTGGTATTTTTTTGTTCTGTTTTTTGGGTCACACCTGGTTTTGGGACCAAAACTGTTTCACTCTTTTTTTTTCTTTTTTGCTTTTTGGGTCACACCCGGCGATGCTCAGGGGTTACTCCTGGCTCATGCACTCAGGAATTGCTCCTGATGTTGCTCAGGGGACCATATGGGGTGCTGGGAATCGAACCTCTGTTGGCCATGTTGGCTGCGTGCAAGGCAAACGCCCTACCCGCTATGCTATCACTCCAGCCCCAAAACTGTTTCACTCTTTCTGTCTTCTTTGTGTTCTCACTTTCTCCAACAGCTCTTAAATTGCTTCATTTTTACCCCTGTATCATAGCAAGTTCTTCCAACCCCACTTCAGCTTTACCTTCCTTCTCTTCTTCAAATGTTTGCAAAATTGTATACAAATATCTGTAAATTCAGGTACAAACTCCATCTATTTGAAAGTGGACCAATCCCTCCATGAGTGAGGAGTGGGAAATAAGACCAGTAATACATCTATTAGTATTTCAGCTCCTGGGAGGAATGTTGTAATCACAGGTTCAACTTTTAGAAAATATATATTGTAATTAAATTTAAAAGGTTACCTTGTAATTTATTAAGGTAATTGTCAGTCTCTCCCATGATTCAGATAGGTAAAGACAATTTCTCTATTTCTCCTGGCATCCTTTGTTACCTGCTCCTGACAGCTGGCATGCTCCAGAGAGGTGACTGGTACAGCGTTTTTCTTCTTCGGACTAACAGCGATTTCAGCTCTGAACTCTGTTCATGCATCTTGACTTTCATTAAGTATCAAGGCTGGGCAATCCTTGCCTGAGTCCAGAGCGCGTCCATCTGAAACTGACAAATGAATTTCCTTGTGAAGAGCTCCCCAAGATTACAGAATTGTTATTGCTGTGAAAAACACAAGAACGAACCGTTTACACGGTGGGCGAGCATGTGCACGTGTGGCGTGTGTGTACATGCGTGTGTTTGTGACTACACACGTGCATGCCTGTGAACCTTTGTATATGCATGTGGTGTGCACGCATGTGCGCACGTGTGCGTGTGGTGTGCATGCCTGTGTGAGCCAACTCACAATCTGAGCCCCCCATGACACATCCCAGAGGGCTCTCAGGTGCTTTCCAAAGTGGTGGCGTGTGTGTCTCAGGCAACGCCTGCAGCCGCGCGGGGTTGCAAGGGTTCATCTCTTTCGGCTGAGCGGAAATGAATGTCCCCAACTCTGAACACACGGAGTTGGCCGCAGCGTTCCAGGGGGAAGGACGGAGTTCTTCCCCGCTCCCGGCTTCCCGCCGCCCAGAAAGGAGGCAGGAGAGCTGTGGACGCGGGACGGACACCGGGGGCAGAGCCTCGGTTTGAGGCGGCGCTTCTTGCGGGGCAGCCGCCCTTGCCCCGCAGCGCCACAGTGACCTGCAAGGCTGCTCGCCCCGTCAGAACTCTGGCGGACGGCGCAGGTTTCCGAGCGACGAGGACTGGTCTCCTCCCTCACCACAGGCCGGTCACACACACGCAACCCCGCGGCATGACAGAACCCGGCGCCTCCAGACCAACGCCCGGATCCTCTGTGGCGAACAGCAGGGACCCATCAAGCCCCCGGAGCTCGGGCTCGCCCTCACCTCAGGAGGCGCCGAGGAGCCCGGGGGAGGGGCGGGGCCGCGGCCTCGTGCGGAGAGAGGCGCGCCGTGGACAGTGACTTGGGGCGGTGGACCTCGAAGAGGGCCTGGTGTCGAGGGCGAGACCTGCTCTGGGAGCGGAGTCGCTCTTGCGGCTCTCAGTCTTCCCGAGGAGAGACACGCGGGGGAGGGGCGCGGGGCGGGGCCTAATCTCAAGGGCGGAGCCTAATTTTCTGGGCGGGGCCTACGCTAGCGGTCTTCTGCGGAGAGACGCGCTGTGAAACAGGTGCGGTGCGGAGCCTGTTAATGGGCGGGGCCTGGTTTGGGGGTGGGGCCTACCTGAACAGTCGCGCCGCCGTCTTCTGAGGAGACAGGCGCTGGTGAACGAGGGTGAGGTGGGGCCTAATTCTGTGGGCGGGGCCTGGTTCCGTGGGCGGGGCTTGTACTAGCAGTCCGGGGGACCGTCTTCTTCAGAGGCGCTGTGGAACAGAGGCGGGGAGGAGCCTGATCAGTGGGCGGGGCCTGGTCTCGGGGCGGGGCCTAAGTAAGCGGGCGTGGCCTTCGCTAACGGTCGCGCGGCCGTCGTCTGCCGCGAGACACACCCTGCGGAGACCGGCTCGTGCGGGCAGCCGGCCGGGCACGTCGGGTTCTGTGAGAGACTCGGCTTCCAGGCGCGAGGATTGGCCGCGCAGGGTGACGCCCGCCCTGGGGCGGCGGTGGCGGGTCTCGGGACGGGGCGGTCGGGGGTCTTCCGGCCGCGGGCGCGGGCACCCCGGGGACCCCGGGATGCGCGCGCTGGACGTGACGCGAGTGTTTTCCTTTCTTTTGCCTCAAATGCAGGGACCATGGCAAACGCCTTGGTGTCCAGGCCCTTCAGCGCTCTCTGTGACCTGCACCCGAACATGGCGAGCGCGGTAGGTTCCCGCGCCGGGGCGCGTCAGGAGCCTCTGACACCTGCGCGCGGTCGCAGCTCGCTAGCATGATTGCTAGCCCCGAAGTTCTTTCAGGGTTTGCTTGTGTGCCAGCCAGTGGATCTTATGGCGGGTTCCGGGTGGGGGGCCTCTGGGAGGCGGTGCTCGAGCCCAGGTGACCGCCTGCGAGGCGAGCGCCCGCCCGCGCCACCTGTCGCTCCGGCCGGGTAGACTGTCTTCTATCTATCAAGAAAGAGGCTGTGGATGAGATGGGCAGTTCGGGGGGCCGGAGCGATAGTGCAGCGGGGGGAGGGCGTTTGCCTAGCACCAGCCGACCCGGGTTCGATTCCCACTATCCCGTACAGTCCCCGAGCACCTCCAGGAGTGATTCCTGAGTGGAGAGCCAGGAGTCACCCCTGACAGGAGTCACACCGCTGGGTGTGGCCCAAAAAAAGCACTGTAGCACTGTAGCACTGTCCTATTGTTCATCGACTTGCTCCAGCGGGCCCAGTAGCATCTCCATTGTGAGACTTGTCACTGTGTTTGGCATATCGAATACCTCACGGGTAGCTTGCCAGGCTCTCCAAGAGGGGCGGAGGAATCAAACCCGGGTCGGTTGGGCTGGCCGTGTGGAAGGCAAACGCCCAACCGCTGTGCTATTGCTCCGGCCCAAAAAGCAAAACAAACAAACAAACAACAACAAACAAAAAAACCAAGAATAGACAATTGTTAAGCATAGTTGCGTTTATTTATATGAACTAAGTATTTAATGGGGCTGTGGGGATGGCCCAGGAGGAGTGGAACGTGTGCCTTGTATGTGGGGGTCTTGGAGTTTGGTTCCGGGTATACGATGATTTCCTGATCTCTACCAAGCATGGCCCTGGTGGCCCCCAGCACCCCCTCACCAGGACAAGGGTGAAACTTCAGGCCAGCTCAGCTTGGGCAGGCAGAGTATCTGGATGGCCCCTGGTCCCCCTGAGCATTGCTTGGGAGAGTGCCCTGAAACAAATATTTTCTAACTGTCGAAATTTCATGTCAAAACAATAAAACATTTTTGTTTAACAGAATCCATTTTCTAATCAAATTATGCATATAATAAAATGAAATACTTGTGATTATGCTGATTTTGTTTTCAGTTTTCATTATTTTGGGGACCACACCTCGTGGTCTCCAGTGCTTGGGTGACCATGTAGGGACGGGTCTGAATCCAGGTGAGTTGTGTGCAATGCAAGTGCCTTATCTGCTGTACTATCTCTCTGGCCCCCATAAGCTGCTTTTTTAAAGGTACACAGCAGTTGTATTTCTAAAATGATGATCTGAAACTTATTTTAGGGGGAGGGTTCAATCACTTCAAGTAAACCATGGGATTATTTTATGAACTGAGTGACTTATTATACAGCAGCTATACTCCCTTGCTTTCTCTGCTTGACCAGTCTGATACTTATATTTAACACTTGCAAATTAAATTTTCTAAAATGGGATAAAGTTACATGTAAGTTTCATAGCTTTTGATTAAAGGTTTAATAGTTTTAAAAACTTGCTATTTTTTTCAAAAGGTAATCTATTTGCTTATTTTTTCTTTAGTTTTACTTAACATTTCCATTTTTAGTTGTGTTTTCCAAAATTATTGAAATCTGCTTACATATGAGATTTAAGATACAAGAGCAGTGAATCTGAAAGTAGTGGGACCTGCTAAGAGCTCAGGGAGGCTCTAATTGTGTCTTAAAGACTTGGCTGTGGGGCTGGAGTGATAGCACAGCGGGTAGGGCGTTTGCCTTGCACACGGCCGACCCGGGTTCAATTCCCAGCATCCCATATGGTCCCCTGAGCACCGCCAGGAGTAACTCCTGTGCATCCCCGGGTGTGACCCAAAAAGCAAAAATTAATTAATTAAATTAATTAAAAAAAGACTTGGCTGTATTTAAATGTAGTACATTATTGAAAAGTTAAAATCAGCTGCTAGAATTAGTGATACAAGTTTAGGCTCATTCTTTCAGAAACAGACAGTTATTTTTATTTCTTAAAATACTTTTAGGGGCTGGAGCAATAGCACAGCGGGTAGTGCGTTTGCCTTGCACGCGACCGACCTGAGTTCGATTCCCAGCATCCCATATGGTCCCCTGAGCGCCACCAGGAGTAATTCCTGAGTGCAGAGCCAGGAATAATCCCTGTGCATTGCCGGTGTGACCCAAAAAGCAAAAAAAAAAAAAAACCAAACAAACAAAAACAAAAACCTTTTACTTATTTATTTATTTATTTCAGTTTTGGGGCCACATCCAGCAGTGCTCAGGGAACGATGGTGGGGTGCTAGGAATTGAACCCAGGTCAGCTGTATGCAACCACTGTACTATCACTTTGACCCCTCTTAAAATACTTTTAATATTTGGGGGCTGGAGCGATAGCACAGCAGATAGGTCGTTTGCCTCACATGTGTCGACCTGGGTTCGATTCCCAGCATCCCATATGGTCCCCTGAACACCGCCAGGAGTGATTCCTGAGTGCAGAGCCAGGAGTGAGTAACCCCTGTGCAACGCCGGATGTCACCCTCCCCCCAAAAAAACTTTTAATATTTAATTTCTTTGGTACTCATTAACCAGAACATTAGATGTTTTAGGGAAATTTACTTTTTTTTTCTTTTTGGATCACACCCGCCGTTGCACAGGGGTTACTTCTGGCTCATGTACTCAGGAATTACTCCTGGTGGTGCTCAGGGAACCATATGGGATGCTGGGAATTGAACCCAGGTCGACCACATGCGAGGCAAACACCCTACCTGTTGTACCATCGCTCCAGCTCCAGGAAATTTAATATTTTTAATATTTAATATCTTTAAGTTTTAAGATTTAAACCTCAGAGTTAGTTTTATTTGCAGCAATATACAAGTTTTGTTCAATCAACTTTATATTGTTGTTCAGCATGTTGATTAAGAAGGTAAGCAGTTTTATGTGGATTTTTAGAAAATCCCATATAAAAGAAAGCTTTGAAGACTGGCAGATTTTATTGCATTATACATGTGCTTTGAATGAATTCAGTAAGGACTGACTGATAGCACAGGGCTGGTACTGTGCTCCACATAGTGATTGAAAATAAAGTAGAAACATTCTGAGTATGAAATGATTATATTGGTATAATAGCAGTTAACTATCTTATTACTTTGTGCTATTCCTTGTGGAATTGAACACTTATAAAGTTCTTTTAGATGTTTGTCTGGAATAAATACATTTAAATGGTTCTTAGTCAAAAATGTTTGTTAGAGCCAGTAAAATAGAACAAGCCCATGAAATTAAATTTACCATATACATCTGTGTTTAATATTAGTCTTCTATAACCTTTTTGTTTTTCAGAAAATAATCGGTTTAGTTATTGGAAAAACAGATGTCAAAGGCTTTCCAGACAGAAAAAGCTGAGTTCTATTTAACATTATTTTCATTAACTGTGGCTTATGACTACAGTAAAATATATTTAAATAGAGAAATTCCTGTTTTTTTAACTATATTCTCTCTAGCCTGGTATTCAAGACCAAACGTGTGAGTACATTAAAATCCTTTTAAATTATTTTAGTTGATGCTACTCAAACATAATTATAAACACTTTATGTTTATAATCCCCCAAATAGTTCAATTGATCAACTCATCAACGTGTATGAATGTGTCTTATTTACTGATTATCTCCATTCAAGGAGCCCTGTGTAAAGATAACAAAAAAATTTGTCTCATATATTTTCTTTGTTGTTTCTTTTTTTGGAAGCTACACCCAGCTGTACTCAGGACTTACTCCTGGCTCTGCTTTCAGAGACCATTTTTGGCAAGGCACAGAGGACTATATGCAGTGCCAGGGATCAAACCTGACTTGGTTGTGCAAGGCAAACAGCTTACTGCTATATTATCTCTCCAGCACCTGTAGCCTCATATCTTCAGACTTCATAGCATATGAGAGTATGGATGTGGAGCTAGATTGACTAAATTCACTTGGTTTTATTTGACCTGAACTCTGGCCTGTGTAAAAGATAATTCTGAGGATCAAACCCAGGATTCTAAGGATTGAACTCCTGGGTTGGCATCTGCTTGCAAGGCAAGAACTTTACCCACTCTCCTATCTCTCTGGACCCCAGACTTGATTGTCTTTGCTATATTTTAAAGGTAAAGGTAAAGGTAAAGGCCCTCCCGTTGATCGTCGATTTGCTCGAGCGGGCCAGTAACGTCTCCATTGGAGACTTTGTTGTTACTGTGGCTGGCATATCGAATACTCTCGGTAGCTTGCCGGGCTCTCCAAGAGGGGCGGAGGAATCGAACTCGGGTCGGCCATGTTGGCCGCTTGTAAGGCGAATGCCCTACCGCTGTGCTATCGCTCCTGCTATATTTTATTCTAATTAATTTGATTGGAATTTTACCATTTGCCTTGCACACAGTTGACCTGGGTTTTATCCCTGACATCCAATATGGTCCCCTGAACCCTCAAGGAGTGATTCTTGAGTGCAGAGCCATGAATAAACCCTGAGCATCACTACGTGTTGCCCAAAAACTAAAAACAAAACAAAAAAATTACCAATTTTCAGGATGTAGTGCAGGCTTTGCATGCAGGAGGCCCAGGTTTGATTTCTAGTACCTCATGATCCTTCAAGCACTGAACAAGGAGTAGCTCCTGAGCACCTCAGAGTATGCCATAAAACAAATCCAAACAAAACAATTACTGTTTAAATAATTTGAAAAAGTTTATATGTCAGCTTTCTAAGTTTAAAAAAAAATAGTTTAGGGACTAGAGTGGGTATCATTCCAATTTTAGTATATGTGCTGCCTGCCGAAGTGGGTAGGTTGCTTGCTTTGAATGTGGCTGTTTGGGTTTTAATCCCCAGCACTCCATATAGTCCCCTGAGCACCTCCAGGAGTGATCCCTGAACTCAGAACCCAGAGTAAGCCCTGAGCATCATCAGGTGTGTCCCCCAAACAAAAGCAAAGCCCAGTAAAAAGTCAATAATTTAAAATGTATGAGTCAGGTCTAGGAGGATGACTCCTCAATGGAGCTTTGCATGTGTGAACCCTAGGTTCAGTCTCCAGCACTACAGTGAGCACCTCTCCACCCCAGCACTGAGTTGGGATTTGGCCCCAAGCAATGCCAACTATGGCCCCAAAACAAAAGAAGAGAAAAGAAAAGAAACACATACCAAACGACAATACAATATATGAATTAGAAAGGGGGCTGGAAAGATAATACAGTGGGGTGACGTTCTTGCCTTGCACATGGCTGATCCAGGTTTGTTTCCTGATACCCCAAATCTGCTAGTAGTGAACCAAGAGTAAGCCCTAAGCACTTCCAGGTGTGACCCCCAAAAGAAAAAATAAGTGAATAAATGCATAAAAAAATTCAAGCAGTGTAGAATTGAAAAGTGAAACTTAGTCCACCCACAACTCTTCCTATCCCAGACTATCCCCAAAGTATTTACCCCAAAGGTAAATACTAATAATCTGATAAATATTTATAATTTGCTCATGTATATTAGTTTTTTTTAATTAGCAAAAAATATATATTTTAAATACTTGCTAGAGTTGGAGAGATAGTACAGCGGGGGAGGCTATATGTGGCTGACCCAGGCTTCATTTTTCATTCCTAGAATCCATATGGTTCTAGGAGTGATTCCTAGGAGTAAGCCCCCAGTAAGGCAGTGTGGCCAAAAAACAAAAAACGGGTATTTGCTGACCTCTAGTGGTGCTGTGTAGTATAACACATTTATTTGATTAACGGGGGGGGGGGGGGGGGGGGGGGGGGTGAGGGGGGGTTTGCCCCCTCCCCACTGTTTTAAATTTTTTTTTTTTTTTTTTTTTTGCTTTTTGGGTCACACCCAGTGATGCACAGGTGTTACTCCTTGCTCTGCACTCAGAAATTACTTCTGGTGGTGCTCAGGGGACCATATGGGATGTTGGGAATTGAACCCGGATGTGGCCGCATGCAAGGCAAATGCCCTACCCACTGTGCTATTACTCCAACCCCTTTTAAAAAAATTTTTAATTGAATCACAGTGCGATACATAGTTACAAGTTTGTTCATGATTGGGTTTCAGTTATATAATGTTCCAACATCGTTTTGGTTTTTGGTGTTTTGTTTTGGGGCCTAAATCCAGCAGTGCTTAGAACCTGCTCCTGCTTGTTCTTGGAGGTTATTCCAGGCAGTGCCCAAGATTGAACCTACTAGTCTCCTGGGCAAAACACGAAGCACTTTGAGTCATCTCCTAGCTGCTCGCAAACTTATTTGTTTTAAAGTGACTCAGTGGGGCTGGAGCGATGGCACAGCATGTAGGGCGTTTGCCTTGCATGCAGCCGACCTGGGTTCGATTCCTCTGCCCCTCTCAGAGAGCCCGGCAAGCTACTGAGAGTATCTCGCTCGCACAGCAAAGCCTGGCAAGCTACCCATGATGTATTTGATATGCCAAAAACAGTAACAAGTCTCACAATTTGTTGTGAGACGTTACTGGTACCCGCTCGAGCAAATCGATGAACAATGGGAGGACAGTGCTACAGTGCTAAAGTGACTCAGGGAGCCCGAGCAATAATACAGTAGATGAGGCATTTGCCTTGCACATGGCTGATCCAGGTTAGATCCCCGGGAGTTCCATATGTTCTCTCGAGCACTGCCAGGAAATGATTCCTGAGTGCAGAGACAGGACTAACTCCTGAGCATCATGAGGTATGACCCAAAAGCAAAATAAATAAATAAATAAATAAATATATCTGTTTAAAATTAAAACGTTTTCATTTGAAATATAAAAACATTGGTTTCCCCTTAGATATTGGATTAGAGAGATTTACTTTTAGTTTCACCATCCGAGACTCACCAACACATTTTGTGAATGCAACTGCCTGGGGCAATGAAGATTATATCAGATCACTCTCTGACAGCTTTCGAGTGGGTGAGTGTGGTAAGTTGGCTTTGATTCTTTTTTTGTTTTTGTTTTGTTTTGTTTTGTTTTGTTTCTTGGGGTCACACACACAGCAACGCTCAGGGATTACTCCTGCATTCAGGAATCACTCCTGGTGGTGATCTTGGGGAACCAACCATATGGGATGCAAGGAATCAAATCTGGGTCGGCCATGTGCAAGGCAAATGCCTTATCTGCATCCCATATGGTCCCCTAGAGCACCATATCAAACTTAAGTTGGTATCAATCCCTGTTGCTGCTAACATTATTTATCTTTCCATAAACATACAAAAGTGCTACCAAATAGGTTTGGGAAAAAGATGATATATGAATTTTTAATAGAATACCTTTATCTTCAGTCTAAGATACTAAATATTTTTTTATCCACCCATCCTACTCTATTAATCCTACTCTATTAATGGTAGAGTATAATAAAATAAAATAAAAGCAACAACTGGAGACAGAGAGATAATACAGGGGCAAAAGCACTTGCCTTATACATGTTCAACCCTGTTTGATCCTTGGTACCACATATATAGCACAATTAGGAGTGATCCTTGAACACAGCCAGGAGTAAAACCTGAGCATTGCTTGGTGTGATCCCTCCTTCCCCACAAAAGAAGAAAATAAAGGACTTTGAAACAGATGGATCTGGACTCAAATCCTATCTCCTCCTCTATTTACATCATGAGAAAATTCCTTAACCTTATTGAGCCTTATTTAGGAATTACTGTGCCATAGATATTTTTATAGGGGCCCCATCTGGTGACACTCTGGGGGAGGCACCTCAGACCATTGCTTGGTTTGGCCTAGTGCTGTGTAGCTGAATGCTGTGGTTTGAGCCTGGTGATGCTGGGGAAAACTGGGGCTATACCCAGGAAAGGAGGTACATAAGGTAGTTGGGGATTGGGGTCAAAGAGATAGTATTGTGTATACGGCACTTACCTTGCATGCAGCTGACCTGAATTTTATCCCTGGCATTGCATATTGTCCCCTGAGCACTGCTAGTAATAATTCCTGAGTGCAGAGCCAGGACTAACTCCTGAGCATTACTAGGTGCGGTCCCTGAAAAGAAGGTGCCAGGGGATTGAACTCAGGATCTCACACATGCTGGGCATGTGCCCTACCACTTGAACTGCCTCCTTGAACCCCCTTACAGTGTTGTGAATATAAGTGAGTTAGTATTTCTAGTACAACACTAAATCAGTAGTAACAGCTCTTTCTTTTGTAAGAAATAAAGTGTGTATACCAATTCTCTTCCTTAGTAGGGTAAAGATAGGATAAATTAAGAAGATAGTTTAACTACCCTCCAATACGGTAGCATCAAGCAGCCAAAAACCTACGCCAGCTACTTAGCACCTATTCGTACATTGTTTTTTATGATTAACTTCCAGGGTTGTATATAATATCTTTCTAGCTAAATAAGGTAATTGAACTATGGACCATGGAAACAGGAAGAACAGGTTCTTCTCAGAGTCCACTAAAGTTAGAAACATTCCTTTGATGAATGCTAGAACATTAGGTAGATACATTTGAGTATTAAAATATGCTATTTGTTAAAAATGTAAAGTCAGTGATTATTTTAAATAAACAAAATTGTAATATTATTATGTACACTTGTTTTATTATTATATTTATTATTACATATATATTATACATATTATATATTTTGTAATAATATATCTTCCCCTCTATTTTAGTGATAATTGAAAACCCCCTAATTCAAAGAAAGGAAATAGAAAGAGAAGAAAAATTCAGTCCTCCAACTCCTAGGTAAATACACTTCTAGAATGGAGAACAAAAATCTTTGTGCTCAAATAACCATTACTAATATCTTCTGTATCATGTTAACAGAGCTTACTTTTATGCTTTCATTTGAAAATTAAAAGTTTAATTATTCACTATCTGATTATGAAATAACAAGTATGCTTAAAACTCAGTACAAATTGGTCCTTAAAGTTATATTCTTTTTTTTTGGTTTGTTTTTGGCCACACCTAGTGATGCTCACGGGGCTACTTCTGACTCTGCACTCGGGAATTACTCAGGGGACCATATGGGATCCAAAGATCCAATCTGGCTTGGCTGTGTTCAAGGAAGCAAGCACCCGACCCACTGTACTATCTCTCCAGCCCCTCAAAATGTTTTCTAGATGAAAATACATTTAGATAAAAAACATTTTGAAATATTGTCTAACAATTCTAATTTTGGGGAGAGGACGAGGAACCACACCGGGTGGTTCTCAAAGCTTACTCTTGGCTCTGGGTTCAGGGATCATTCCTGGCTGACTCAGGACTGACCATATGTGGTTGATTAAACGTGGGTACCTACTATACAATCTCTCCAGCTCAACACTTCTGAAATTAAAAAAAGAAATTGGGGGGAGTGGAGGGCCACACCTGGCTATGCTCAGGGGTTACTCCTGACTGCACTCAGGAATTACAACTGGCATGCTTGGAAGTGCCTTACCCAGTGTACCATTGTTTCAGCCCTAAATGTTTCTTTAAAAAGTTTTAGATATCACGGTTTACAATATTGTTAATGGTAGGGTTTCATGCATACCAGTTTATAATACCACACCCTATATCAGTGTCTGCTTCCCTCCACCATTGTTTCAATGCACCTCTTAGTCCCCTAAAATAGTTTCTAAAAATAAAAGAACACCAAGTTTTTAAAGGTTAAAGTACAACAAAATAGTTTCATTGTGAATCTGGAAATATTTTTCAATGAGTTTGATATTAACTTTTTTGTTTTCAATTTAGTAACTATAAACTATTGCTCAGTGAGAATCACTCAAAGGTGAAAGTTTGTTCCAGTTATGAAGTGGACACCAAGTTACTTTACTTGATACACTTACCTGTTAAAGAGTCTAGGGATTATTATTCACTGGGTGATATTGTTGCAAACGGACAGAGTCTTGATGGAAGAATAATCAACATGCTTGCAGCTGTGAAGTCAGTAAGTTGAAATCTCCACAAGCCATGCATAGTTTCATTGAGGGTGGGAAGAAAGGTCTATTACCTATTATCTGCAAAGTAGGAACTGTTAGTATTCAGTTGGATTAAAATGGTAACTCTTCTAACTAAAGAAAATTCTTTTTATCAAGAAGTAGCAAAATTTAAATGCTAAATAGCAGGCACTCACAAATGATCTCACTGCAGAGAGCTTTCATCATTGTGTTAAGGCATGACAGAAGGGTGAGTCCATTGATTTGAAGGTCTCTTTGATGACTATAGAATCTACCAAGGGAGCAGCTGATGTTCTCAGGGTTGTCCTCAGTGGGGGAGGGGTGACAGTGCCTGATGTGGGGAGTAGGATTTGATGCTGGTGGAAATCCTGGAAAAGCATACTCCATGGGTACCAGTTTCATGAATTAAAGGGGCATGATACTGGTTCCTCAATATCTGGAGTAATGATAATCAAAAGACAAAAATGACAAAAATGGACTTTGGTGCTTGTAGTTACTGTTTTTAGTAACTTCTAATTGCTTTTAAAATCATTATTAAATGACTAACTATTCCCATTGACACAGTTAATACCGAGGTTGGTCTGCTCATTCACCATCCTAACCCAGCACTTGGTATAATGCAGAATGATAGTCTTGACAAAATAGGGGAAATGGGCTGAGAGAGCTCAGAAGACTGGAGTGCATGCTCTTATGCTGGAGCTCTGGGTTTGGTCCTTGTACTATGAGGACCTCCAAACCCCGCTCTGGGAGAAACAGAAGTGGCTTCTAGGGAACTAAGATTAAATCATACTTGAAGATTACACAATCTCTCAAATTCCCCACAATTTCATATAATGCCCTTATATTACAATGTAGTAAGAATTTTCTCAAACTCAGGATGAGTAGAAGAAAAATGTACAGCAGCTTTTCCACCCGAGCCATAACTCTGATGTCTGCTATCAGAGAATTAGATTCATGTTGGCGCTGTTCTCTAGGCCTACCTTTTCCTGTTTGCTTCCACAGCGCTTCCACTTCTTTTCTGTGCTTTGGAGAAGGCACGATCTACCTTCCAGCAGTCACATAGGTGCCAACAAGGGCTTGCCATGGAGCATGTTTTCCCTGCTGAGGAAATCCCACAGTCTTAGAGCACATCTTTCTGTCTCTCTGCAGTTCATGTGTGTGTAGTTTCTCAGAGTGTGCCTGACTTTAGTAAATTATACTTACGTTAGAGATAAAAGATGCTTTAAAATAACCAAATAGATGTTAGTGATATTGTAGTATTGATATTTCTCATTTGAAAGTCAAACCTTGAGTATTTGCACCAATAAGTATTTGTGTAAATACTTATTGCACGATAAGGGGCCAGAGCAATAGCATATCGGGTAGGACGTTTGCTTTGCAAGCGGCTGACTCGGGTTTGATTCTTCCGCCCCTCTCAGAGAGCCCGGCAAGCTACCAAGAATATTCCACCCTCACAGCAAAGCCCGGCAAGCTACCCATGACATATTTGATATGCCAAAAACAGTAACAAGAAGTTTCCCAATTTGATATGCCAAAAACAGTAACAAGAAATTTCCCAATGGAGACGTTACTGATGCCCGCTGCAGCAAATCAGTGAACAATGGGAAGACAGTGCTACAGTGCAGTGCTATTTGCGTGAACATACTTAATAAGTATTTAGGTGCCTCTATTACTGTAGGAAAAGAATAACAATTTCTTTTCATCTATGAGGTTGGAGAACCAAAATATTTTACAACTTCAGACCGAAGAAAAGGCCAGAGATGTGAAGTCAAGCTTTGTGATGAGATGGAGTCGGCTTTTGCAATGCTCTGGTAACCTCCCTTGACTCCTTAGACGGGTCCCACTGTGTTGGGACATGGGGTGTGTGCTGTGCCAGAGGCTCTAGATTGAAGTAGCTGACTACCCCTTTTCAGAAAAAAATTACTCAGCATCCCTGGGAATCTATTTTGCAACTGATATAGGCCTTACTTCTGGTTTAGGGGACCAAATGTGGTGTTGGGGATTGAACCCAGATCAGCTGTGTGTAAGTGCCTGACCCATCATCATGTCTCACTGGCCCAGAAATTTACCAGGGGGAAAAAGCTACTGCATCTCCTCACTTCCTGTAGGATAACACTGTTTTGTCCTTCCTGCATAGCCTCAGGTAGTTCAGGTTTATTGGGTTGATCCCATCACAGTGCTTCTATTCCTGTGTTTATTTGTAAATTCTTTCTTTGTGTTTTGTTGACTTGTAAGTATTGTTTTTTCTTCTCCCTAAATCCTTTGCATAGTTTATTCAGAGTAATGTCCTTTTTGTATGGACACAAGAAGACAGTATATGCTATGCTTTTATAATGTGACTCTCAGTGATATTTCCCTCCTGGGCATCTGTTCTTTCACCTAAGCCTCAGCTGCCTTTACTTCCTGGTGCCCCCAAAAGCAGAGTCCCGACGAGGGACTGGAAGGAACCAGGGCAAGCGGTAAGCTATGTGCTACCTTGGCATCAAGATGGGCCTGGCCAAGGTGCCATAATGCTTAACTATAAGTTAAGAGCTTGGTCATGGACAAATGCTGTCATGATCCAAAAAGTTATAACTAGATTTGAACTCTGCCAGGATTAGGAATGATTAACCTGGCCTGGGCGCTGTAGTCTGAGTCTGTGGTAAGATGTTCCCAGGAGAGCTGCCCTACAAGACTCAATGCTATCTCTTACTGTGTCCATACAAAAATAACTAGTATTGAGATGTTGATAGAGTTATTGGACTGAGGAAAGGAGAAAAACACCTTAGGAGGTATTTCGCCCTGGGGCCCTCAGGAAGGGCTTTCTTTCTTTCTTTTTTTTTTAAATTTATTTATTTATTGAATCACTGTGGGAAAAGTTACAAAGCTTTCAGGTTTAAGTCTCGGTCATGCAAATATCAAACATATTTCCCTTTACCAATACTTATTTTTCACCACGGAGAACCCCAATAACCCCCCCAACCGTCCCAATGCCTGTGAGGCAAATGAATTCTAGTTAACACTCTATCTACTTTGACTCGATTCATTGTTTAGACAAAAGATGCACAATTATTATTTAGAGTTTACACCCCCCAAATCAGACATGCTGAAAAGGCATTGTGAAATAATTTGTTTTCTACAGCTGGTCACAAGAACTAAATGATGTCGTGTGGCCGCTATTGTGGCCGCACGATTTTGGATTTCTGGTATTTTACTTATTAACCCTATAAGTATTTCTGCTGAGAGTCAGATAATTATGAGATTGGTTTCTGTGCTCTGGAGCCATGGCCGTGCCGGAGAGCTGCTCGTGGGGGACAACTTGTTACCTCGGTAGGGCATGAAGGACGAACCAGGAATGCCCCTCTTCCTATGAGGTTTTAGTTGCCCCATCACGACCAGCTCATGCCTGGCTTTCCACAAAGCTCCCAAGTGGTTGCCATCTTTTTTTCCAGAGGGAAAAAGGCAGAAGGGACCAACACCCTTTCCCCTTCGGGCAGGCATGGTGGCGTGGATTAACACATAGTCCATTCACTTTTCTGCTGCAAGCTGCCAGGCTCTGCATTAAGTCCTTGTGCTTCTGGAGCCATGGCTGTGCCAGAGAGCAGCTCTTGGGGGGCAACTCGTGACCTCGGTAGGGCACGAAGGAATGCCCCAGGAAGGGCTTTCTTATGTTGATTTGGCTACCAGACTGGGTGCAGTGTCAGCCCAGAGTGCTGGGGAGTTGGAGAGGCAGGAGAGCTTGAGAGAGATGGGGGGAGAGAGGAGAGAGAGCAGGGTGGCAAGATGGACCACAGAGAAGAGCAAGGGGGACAGAGAGAGAAGAATGTAGAAGAAGAATACAGGAGCAGGCACGTGGAGAGAGAGAGAGCCCACACTGTGAGATAGAGCACGGAGAGATGAGTGGGAGAGACAGGAGGAGATGGGAATGAGGAGTAGTGTGAGACTAAAATGGGAGGCTCAGAGAGACTGGGGCAGACGCGTGGGGAGAATGGAATAAATGGCATCTGATCAATCAACCGGCTTGGCCCTCCTTTGATCCATCATCTCCCCTTGGCCCGGGCGCCCTGGCTTGGGGAGGGAGCGACCTGGGCCCACCCCAAATGCAGGTGGCTAGGGAAGAGCCGTGGGGGGTGGAGGGGCGGGATTATACAACTCCCTTTGACCCTTCTAGTGCTTTGGGATGGGCGAAGGATCACCTATTTTGCAGTTGATTAGGAACAATTAGACCTTCTGTAATTCCCTGGGTGGGGTAGGCCTTAGTAATAATTAAGTAGGCATCATCACAGCCTGAGTTCTGTGGTCTCCCATGTGTCTGGCAGCTGTGGGTTAAAGATGGTAGCCTGTGGCTCAGGAGGGCATGACCAAGTCTTAGCCAGGTTTCAAAAGCCTGGTCCCAAAGGAAGCTCTTGATGTAGGGCCTCCAGTCATTAAGACTGAGCACTTTACCCTGGGGGACCAGAAAGAGTGATTCTAAAGTTTTCAAAGTTTGGGGCTGGAGCAATAGCACAGCGGGTAGGGCGTTTGCCTTGCACGCAGCCAACATGGCCGACACAGGTTCGATTCCCAGCACCCCATATGGTCCCCTGAGCACCGCCAGGAGCAATTCCTGAGTGCATGAGCCAGGAGTAACCCCTGAGCATCGCTGGGTGTGACCCGAAAAGCAAAAAAATAAATAAATAAAGTTTTCAAAGTTTTCATTTTTGGGGGGTGGGGGTGGGGAGGTCACATCCAGTAGTGCTTGGATGCTTCTTCTACTTATTCTGTGCTTGGGGTGCCTCCCAACAGTGCTAATCTCCTGCATGCTAAGCGTGATCTCAGTTTAAGGGTCCTCTGACCTCTGTGGCTTTAAAGTCTTCAGAGATTAAGCCAGGAATTTGGCTCAGTGCTCTACAATTCAAAAAATATTTTATTTTAAATAACAATTAGTACTTGATCACTTGATCACTAGACTTCCCGTTGCTCCAGCAGGCACTAGCAAATTAGACTATAATTTAATCACTTAATATCACTTAATCACTTAATCCCTGTTATTCATCGATTTATTCGAGCGGGTGCCAGTAACGTCTCCATTCATCCCGGTTGCGTGCTAGCGTAGCCCAATGGTATCTGTTCGTTCTAGGAACATGCAGAGCCTCAAACCGATCATTTAGGGTCTTGACGAAGAAGTCTGACCATCTTATAGGTGGGCGTCCACATGATCTTTTGATGTCTCGTGGAATCCAATCAGTAATGGCTCTAGTCCAGCGGTTGTCTGTAAACCTCATTACGTGTCCAGCCCATCTGATTTTTGATGTCTTGGCAAATGAGACAGCGTCCCTGATTCTTGAGCGTTGACGAAGATCAGAACTCCGGATTCTATCTCTCATTTGAGTGAATCGTGATATTCCAAGCATAGTTCTTTCGATTCCTCTTTGAGAGACCCGAATAGCATTCTCATCCTGTTTTCGTAGGGTCCAGGTCTCTGAGGCATATGTTAATGCAGGAAGAATAGTGGAATCAAAGAGATGTGCTCGTAGCTGGAGGTTCTTTGTCCTTTTAGTTATTTCTTCAATGCTCTTGAAGGCATTCCAAGCCGCTCTCTTCCTCCTGCGCAACTCAGGTGCCAGGTCATTCATCATGTTGATTTCTCGACCTAGGTATATATAACTGTTGCATTCGGAGATGGTGGTTCCGTTGAGAGTGAATGGAGCGTCAGGAACAAGGCTGTTTCTCATAAACATTGTCTTCGTAAGATTCAGCTGTAGTCCGACCTTTCCACATTCACGGTCAAAGTCGTTCAGCATTTGTGCCGCTTGGCTGATGTTTGGTGTTATTAGAACGATGTCATCAGCAAAGCGGAGGTGGTGTAGTTGCCGACCATCTATCTTCACTCCCATGCTTTCCCATTCCAGTCGTTGCATGATGTTCTTGAGGGTGGCACTGAAGAGTTTTGGTGAAATGGTATCACCCTGCCGAACCCCTCTCTTGATATGGATGATTACTTCTTTGTAGAATGGTGAGATTTTGGTAGTGAATCCGCAATAGAGCTCACGAAGGATCCTGATGTATTGAGTTTGTACGCCCTGATTGGCTAGGGCTTCCATGACCGCTTCCGTCTCAACAGAATCAAAGGCCTTCTTTAAATCAATGAACGTTAGACAGAGCGGCATCTTGAACTCCCGAGATACCTCAATGAGCTTGGTTATTGTGTGGATATGGTCGATGGTACTGAATCCTTTTCGGAATCCAGCTTGTTCACATGGTTGTCCTTCATCTAGTGTTCTGCTAATCCTATTCAGGATGACTCGAGTGAATAGTTTGTAGATGACAGACAAGAGGCAGATTGGGCGATAGTTGCCAATGTCGTGGATGTCTCCTTTCTTGTATAGTAGTACAGTCCTGCTGGTTTTCCATTGGGATGGAACCTTGCATTCAGACAGGTAGCGTGTGAAGAGTCGAGCCAATGTATTGATGAGTACTGATGGTAAGTTCTTCAGGTGTTCAGGTCTGATCTTGTCTGGGCCAGGTGCTCTTTGTTTCTTTACCGACGAGATGGCATGTTGGATTTCGGAAGGGAGAACATTGGGAACGACATATCCATCATGTGGAATGTGGTATGTGGGCAAGTGGATGTGGCTATTAAAGAGATCTGAGTAGAAGTCATGAATAATCTTCTCCATTGCCCTTCTGGAAGATGTGATAGATCCATCATGATGTTGGAGGGCAGTCATCTTGGTTTTGTAGTTGGTGAAGGACAGGCGGGCATTACGAATGTTTTTCCCAGCTTCTGCTGCATCTACCAGTACTGCTGCTCTCCTGTTTTTGAGGTCATCCTTGATGGCTTCTCTGCACTGTTTTGCCAGTTCGGATGTTCGCTTGTGGTTGCCTGAGGCATGTGCCAAGCCACGTTGGCGAATAAGTTCAAGAGTGTTCGAAGAAAGACGGTTTTTTTGTGGTTATCTCTCTCTCTTGGCATTCCTTGATAACTTGATAACTATAGACTATAATTAGTACTATAAAATAATAATAATAATAGCATTATTAATGCTAGCATATACTAATACAAGCAAAATACTAGCATATAATACTAGCACTGCAAAATAATTATCATAATAATTTAGACTTGGAATCACTTTGTCCTAAATAACTTGGAGTGATCCAAATGGTAGAAAGAGAATCAATAAGAGTCATGTTGAGTGACACTGAAGAAACCATCTGTCATACACATTTGCTTGTGAAAGAGACTATATTGAGCTGCAAAAGGCAGAGAGGCCAATTTCCTTAACCTGACCTCATGGACATTTTCAACCCCTGCCAATCTGACAATATTTTGTTTGGTAAATAATATAAATTTTGCCAGCTTTTCTGATATATCTAATTTCTATCACTTCTGTTTAAACATATGTAGTTGGGATAATGAATTCATTCTACTGGCACAGAGCTGGATACCACGGCAAACAGGTATATACTTCAATTACTGTGTTCAATTTTTGTCATTTTTTAATCCTCCATGCAATAATTTAAAAAAATGTTTTTCCCCCAAACAGTAATATTTGCCGCGGATGTAAGAATAAGTTTTGACAAATTTCGGAATTGTATGACAGCAACTGTAATTTCAAAAACCATTATTACAACTAACCCAGGTAAGAAGCTTCCTGAAATATGTTTGAATCTTTTGGAAAGGACTGTATCACATGTTCTAATGTTTACACAGTGTATTCAAGAATGAAAATGCAGGGCTGGGGAGAGGCCCAGAGCACTGGAGCACATGCTTTCACTTGAGAGGCCCAGATTCTAGCCCCAGCACCACAGGGCACCCCCAAAAGAAAAAACCCTCAATTTAGAACAAGCTTTGTTGGGGCCGGAGCAATAGTACAGTGGGTAGGGCATTTGCCTTGCAGGCAGCTGACCCGGGTTCGATTCCCAGCATCCCATATGGTCCCCTGAGCACTGCCAGGAGTAATTCCTGAGTGCAGAGCCAGGAGCAACCCCTGAGCATTGCCAGGTGTGACCCAAAAAGCAAAAATAAAATAAAATTTAAAAAAAAAACAGAATAAGCTTTGTCTTTGATCGTCTTTCCCTCCCTCCCTCCCTCTGTCACTTTCTCCAAAGTGCTCAGGAGCCACTCTTTCCTCGTTGCTTACCGATTGCTTCCAACATTGTCCAGTGGACCATGCAGTGCCAAAGATGGAAACTAGGGCCTCACACATTCAAAGGCAAGAGCTCTACCAGTGAGTCACATCCCTGACTTGATCAGTAGCTTTTATTTGGTGCTGTGTGACATTAGTTGAACTCAAGGCCTCACATATTTAAGACATGTCTTTGGCATTTGGGCCATACCTGATGATGCTCAGGATTTACTCCTGGCTCTGCATTCAGGGATTACTAATATAGAATGCTGGAGATAGAGCCCGGGTTGGTTGTGTGCAAGGCAAGTACCTTACCAGCTCTACTATCTCTCTGGCCCCAAATGTGAAAAAATATATATATTTTTTGCTTTTTGCTTTTTGGGTCACACTGGCGATGCTCAAGGTTTACTCCTGGCTTTGCACTCAGGAATCACTCCTGGCAGTGCTCGGGGGACCATATGGGATGCTGGGAATCGAACCTGGGTTGGCCATGTGCAAGGCAAACGCCCTACCCGCTGTGCTATTGCTCCAGCCCCGAAAACATAATTTTTTTAATCTCCCAGCTGACAACTCCTGGGCCTTTATTTATTTATTTATTTATTTGGCCATGCCTGATTACTTCTGGCTCTGTGCTCAGGAATTACTCCTGGAGGTACCCAGGCACCTTATGGGATGCTGAGGATTGAATCTAGGTCTGCCGCATACAAGGCAAGTGCCCTACCCATCGTACTATCTCTCCAGCCCATGGAAAAAATTTTAATTAAAAACCAAAATGACACTTTTGCTTTAGATCACACTCAATGATGCTCAGGACTAACTCCTGGCTCTGTGCTCAGGAATCCCTCCTTGGCAGGGCTCAGGGGACCATATGCAGTGCCAGGGTATGCCAGGGCTTGCCACATGCAAGAAAAGCATCTGACCTACGTAATACTTCTCAGGCCCTGTTGTTGTTTTAATTATTGTTGTTTGGGGGCTACTTGGTGCCAGGGATTACCCCTGAAGCCTCGCGCACATGGAGTGTAATGCTCTACCGCCAGGCCCTACAAGACACCTTTTTTTTTCTTTTCAAAATTTTATTATTGATTCACTGTGAGATGGATCTTTACAAAGCTGTTCATAATTAGGTTTCAGTCATATAGTGTTCCAACACCCATCCCTCCACCAGTGTACATTTCCCAGCACCAGCGTCCCCAGTTTCCCTCCTATCACCAAGGTCTCAAGGTGATAGGACCTTTTTTTTTTTAAGTAAAGGACTTTTATTAAAAGGGGGAGAAAAGAAAATATGCTCAATAGAGAACATGGGTTTCTTCAGAGAGAAACTTACACAGTAAAAGAAAGGTGCTATACACCCCATGTTGGGATGCAGGTGATTCCAGAAAAGAATGCCTAGAACACTCATTATTGTTTTGTTTTGTTTTGGGGACCATAATCATCATTTCTCAAGTTTTACTTCTGGCTCTGCACTCAGGGATCGCTCCTGCTGGGGCTCAGGGGACTGTGTATGGTTCTGGGGATGGAAGCTGGGCAGGCAAGGCAAGCCATGCCACCTCTCTAGTCCCGAGAAGATGGCCCTTGGGGAGACTGGATTGCACTGCATGTGGGAGAGACAGACAGGGTCCTGTGTTGCTGTAGCCCATAGAGCATGGGCAGATAAGGAATTAAGTCAGGAAGAAATGGTAGAATCAGGAAGGCCTCTGGGGGATGTGGAGAGATAGTGCAGAGGGTAGCCTCCTGCCTTACATCTGGCTGACTTGTGTTTGACCCCTAGCAATCTGTATGTTTCCTTGAGCCCCAACAGGAGTGAACCCTGAGTGCAGAGCCAGGAGTCAGCCCTGATCACTAACCGGTATGGCAAATAAAAACAAAGACCACTGGAATGACTCTGTAGGGAAGGAAAGAAGGAAGCAGCAGCCTCTCAGGTCTAAGGGGGTAGTTCTGCCCTTGTGAAGGGTCGCAGTGCAGCCACAGCTGTCCTCAGCACTAAAGGCAAGAGCAGTACAGTGGAACAGGGCTGGCAGGGAGATTGTGGAGAACTCCTGGTGGGGGTCAGGCTGTATGCAGGATTAAACCTTGGGTTGGCTGCTTAATAAGGCAGGTGTCGGGGCTGGAGTGATAGCACAGTGGGTAGGGTGTTTGCTTGGCATGTGGCCGACCTGGGTTCGATTCCCAGCATCCCATATGGTCCCCTGAGCACTTCCAGGAGTAATTCCTGAGTGCAGAGCCAGAAAAAAAAACCTGTATTGCTGGGTGTGACCCAAAAAAGTGGAAAAAACTAAGGCAAGTGTCTTGACCTTTGTATTATCTCTCCAGCCCCTGCAGTTCCTTTTCTTTGAGAGGTATATCATTATTATTTTAATAATGTATTAATACTAAACCCAGACACAGTAACAACAAAGTCTCCAATGGAGACGTTACTGGGCCCGCTCGAGCAAATCGACGATCAACGGGAGGGCCTTTACCTTTTACCTTTATTAGTGTAATATTTAGTAATATAAATGATGGAAAATCTTCATTCTTTCCTTGAAGTGTACATTTTTGATCTGGGAGAATTTGTTTTGGGACTACGCTTAACAGTGCTGGGGGCCTACTCCCAGTAGTGTCTGTTGGCAAAAGTTAACCAGCTCATGGTTCTTTATTTGGTGCCAGGTATCAAGCCCAGGGCCTCATTGATGCAAAGCATGTGCTGTACTTGCTGTACTAATGAGCTACAGCCCCAACCAAGATTATTAAAAAAATGCCAGACTAGGGCTGGAGAGATAGTACAGTAGGTAAGATGCTTGCCTTGAGGGTGGCCAACCTAGATTTGATCTCTTTTGGTCCTCCAAGACCCTCCGGGAGTGATCCTAGAGCAGAGAACCAGGAGTAATTCCTAAGCACAGCTGGGCATAGCCCCCCAAACACCCTCCTTCACCAGTAAGAAAACAAAGGGTATTGTGCTATATAGAGTACAATATATACTACAGAGTCTTATAAGTTGCTAACCATCTCTGTCACATATACATCTCTTCATATTAATAGATCACTCCATAATATTTTCTATGGCCAGGTAATATTCTATTCAATTATATTCTTTTTAAAATGAAGATTCTTATATATCTTCATTATTTACTGTTAAAAAGGGTTTTGGGTCAATCATAATGATTTAAAGGTATATTGTTTACTTTTTACTTATGTATTTTTAATTTAGATATACCTGAAGCTAAATTTCTCCTGAATTTTGTAAAAGAAAATAAAGAAATAAATTCTCTAGGTGATGAAATGAACAGTTATTTAAAAGATTCCATAAACTGTAAGTGACCTTTAAATAGTACTTGAAATTTTTCAAAGGGTAAAAATTAGAGCTATAAAATTTTGTTTTACATAGTAAAAGAAGACATAAACTTATTTCTAACTGCTTTATTTCCTCTCTTAAAAGGTAATTTAAAAAATTCAAAGTAATTGTGGTGGGAAGGTAAAATGGTGGAAGGTAAAATGATTGATGTTAGAATATGGAATGTGATAAATTTTCATGAACAACTTTATAAAAATTAAATTACACTTTTTTTAAAAAAAGGTAGTTTTAGGCTGAGGAGATTGCTCCAAGGGCCAGTGCAAATGCTCTGTATGCTGAAGGCCCAGGGTTCAACCCTGGCACTGCATGTTCCTTCAGTGCCACCAGGGTAACCCCAGGTCACATACTAGGGGTCATACTCCCACCAAAGGAAAATTAGAGGCTTACAGTGCCACCCATCTGCATGATAGGTGATGGCTCAGCTGTCCTGGGAGAACATGGAGGAACAGGAGTGTCTTGGATCACTCTACAAAACATGTTCTGGAACCTTAGAGGGGAACCCATCTTCATTCCAGGTGGCAACTAACTCATCTCAAAGGAATAAGAATTGAATTAAACACAAAATAAGTTATTCTGCAAGTCACCTTAAGTTATGAAACAAAACTTTATTATTGCTTATGTAGGGGGCCATATGTGTACCCCAGTCGTTGAAGACCAGCTCCCTATCTGCTGCCCTCACTCTGACCCATGCATACCCACCTAGCTTACCCCATGATCAGAGCAAGTACCCAGAGAGCTCTCATGCCTTCCCCAAGGCACACATGATTCTCACTTCTCCTGTCAGCAGAACCAGGCATGAGTTTGGCCTGTTTGGAGTTTTAAAGATAAAACCCTCCTGAGTGCACTTCCTCTGCCTCTCTAAGTCCGTCCTGCTATCAGGCAGGAAAGTTCACGGGGCAAGCCAGATGCACTACCCACCGTGCTGTCTCCAGCCACAGCCATGAAAGTATTCTCACAGGTCTTTTCCCATTTAAACATCAAGTTGTGGGACTGGAGCAATAATAGCACAGTGGGTAGGGCATTTGCCTTGCACGTGGCCGACCTGGGTCCGATTCCCAGCATCCCATATAGTCCCCTGAGCACCACCAGGAGTAATTCCTGAGTGCATGAGCCAGGAGTAATCACTGTGCATCGCTGGGTGTTACCCAAAAAGCAAAAAGCCAAAAACAAACAAACAAAAAACATCGAGTTGCCTTCTGTTAAATATTAATTTAAAAGAAAAACGTTAAGAGAGTTTCTTAGATACTCTGCATGAGCCCTTATCTTCTCTGAATGCCAGCATCTCCTGCCCTGTGGTTACTGGTTACCTTTTCACTATGGACAGTTCTTTTGGTGACCAGAAAGTCCTCATTTTAATGAATACCATTTCTCAATATTTTCTGTTTTTCTTGCCTTTATAACCATCTACATAATAAATTTTAGCATAGCAAATATAATCATTTTTGTTATTTAAACCACTGTGTTTCCATTTGAACTTTGTAACTTTTCCATTTGGATAAAAATATAGAAGTGTAAATAATGTCTTTTTGTCTTTAGTAAATACTATAGTTGATGTCTATACAGTCGAACAGTTAAAGGTGAAAGCTTTGAAGAATCAAGGAAACACTGAGCCTTTCTATGGTATTCTCTATGCTTACATTTCTACACTGAACATTGATGATGAAAGCATAAAAGTAGTTCGAAATAGATGGTAAGCAGCATCTTGTTATAAGTAAAATCTATTTTTATCAATTAATTTTGACCTCTGCAAAAGATTTTATGTTATTTTGTGTTATAACAGTGGTTATTTTTTGTTTGTTTTATTTTGGGACCACACCCCACAATGCTCAGGTCTTACTCCGGCTCTTGGCTTAGGGATCTCTGCTAGTGGGCTTGGGGTGCAGAGGATTGAACCCCAATTGGGGTTCAAAGCAAATGCCCTACTTGCTATACTATTTTTCTGGTCCCATCAGTGGTATGTTTGACACAAATGTATATATATATATAATGCATACTAGTTTTCCTGCTACATTATTTGGATTTAAAGATTATAATTACCTTTTATTATTTAACTTTTTTTTTGTTTGTTTTTATTTTGGGGCCACACCTGAATGTGCTCAGGGCTTACTGCTGGCTCTGCACTTAGGGATCACTCCTGGCAGGGTATAGGGGACTATGTGGGTTGCTGGGGATTGAATCCAGCACAGCCACAGGCAAGGCAAGTGCCCTACCCACTGTATTATCCCTCTACCTCCCAGGGATTCTTTCAACCATGTCATTTAGGATATGGCGAGCCTGGAGTTTCTTGTGCAGAAAACCTATTACACATTAGTCCTTTTTGGGCAGAAGGAGTGCATCACTCAGGGGTTACTCCTGACTCTGCACTTAGGAATTATTCCTGGTGGGGCTTGGGGGCACCTTATGGGATGCTGGGGATCAAACCGGATCAACTGCATGCAAGGCAAGCTTCCCCTAGTAGTTCTCTCTGCAAACCTGCTACACATTAGTCCTTGAGCATGGCTGTAACCCAGGCTTTTAAGGCACAAGATAGGATTCCTGCCCTCGGAACTCTGAGCTGGAGAGATCGAGGCCTTGCCTCAGTCACAAGCAGCAGAATGAGACAGGGTGTAAGTCAGTGCCGAGGCCTAAATCCTGTCCCTGGAAGGGAAGGGTGAAGGCTGGGATTGCAGCAGGAAAAGGAGGCTGGGAAGGCACCCCAGCAAGGGGAGGGACACGGCAGGCAGGACTGGCCTGTCCCATCTCAGGAGAATCACCAACACTGCGACTAGTCTGCTTAGGAAGCAGCTCATAGTTTTTGGTTATTTTGTTTATTTTGTTATTTCATCAGTCTGCACTGTGAACACTAGTTTAGACTAGCAAGTCACAGCTGCTAGAGTTCAAATTGTCACTTCCACTTTGCTTTTATTACTGCCTTTGTTTCCTTCCAGTTCAGGCTGTGGTCACATAGTGAATGAAGCATCCAGTGTTTGTGCCACTTGCAACAAAGATTCTTCTGGATTTGAGTCTGTTTTTCTCAGCTTTGATATGCTGATTGATCTCACAGATCACACAGGGACCCTCCATTCCTGTAGTTTCACCAGAAGTGTGGCTGAGGACACTCTGGGTTGCACGGTAAATCGCAAAAAAAAAAAAAGAGAAGAAGAAGACATGTAGAAAAGTTGAATTAATCTTCACCAAAATATAGACTGTATTATTAAACATTTACTACAGGGACTGGAGCAATAGCACAGCATGGGAGATGCTCCACACATGGGAGATGCTCATCGGTCCAGGTGGCTTTTCCTACTTTGAGGAGAGTTTGGCTCTGGCCCCCTGATCAGCCTTCTAAAGTCAGGCAATATTGGGGGCCAGAGTGATAGCACAGTGGGTAGGGCATTTGCCTTGCACTCTGCCAACCTGGGTTTGATCCCCAGCATGCCATATGGTCCACCCATGCACGTCCAGAAGTAATTCCTGAAGCAGAGCCAGGAGTAACCTCTGAGCATTGCTGGGTGTGCCCCCCAAAAAAGTAAATAAAAAAAATAAAAACAGTCAATGTGTTCTACCCCTTTGAACTAGCTCCTGGTCCTCACACTCATTTTTCCTTTTTCTTTTTTTTTTTAATTAAAAATTTTTTTAATAGTGAGACATCATGAGGTACAGTTTCAGACTTACACATTTTTGTGCTTGGGTTTCAATTATACAAGGATCCACTAGTGCCCATTTCCCACTCCTTTTTTCTTTTTGGGTCATGCCCAGATCGCTGAGTTACTCAGTTACTTCTAGTTCTGCAACTCAGGAGTTACTCCTGGCATTGCTTCAGGGACCATATGGGATTGTGGGGATCGGATCACACCGGCGTTGCACAGGGGTTACTCCTGGCTCATGCACTCAGGAATTACTCCTGGTGGTGCTCAGGGGACCATATGGGATGCTGGGAATTGAACCCGGGTTGGCAGTGTGCAAGGCAAACGCCCTACCCACTGTGCTATCACTCTAGCCCCAACTGATACTTATTTTTACTGTGAAAATCAGTTGATGAAACTGAGGATTAAGCCTCAGTCCCTTCAGATTCAGGCAAGCGTTTCCCTGGCCATATCTCCTGCACCAAGAGCACAGAGCTATAATACTCGGAATAAAATTTTAATTCTGTAAGTAAATTTAAAGTTTCAGATTGTTGTCAAGGTGAATTATTGTTATTATTCTAACTATTTTGTTTTTTTAATCAGGCAAATCAGTTTCTTGCAATGTCAGATGAACAGAAAACAGCATTAAAGTGGCAATTTCTTTTGGAAAGAAGCAAAGTTTATTTAAAAGTGAGTGTCTTTTATAGTATTATGTTAGTTTATATATCCAGACAATAAGAAAATCCTAGAGTTGACCTTCGAAATTAGGGAATTTGGGGGTTAGAGACAAAGTACAGTGGATAAGATGCTTTCCTTGTACATAGCCAGCCCAGGTTCAATCCCTGGCATCCCATGTCATCCCCTGGGCACGGCCAGGAGTAATATCTTAGTGTATAACCAGGAGTGACCCCTGAACAGGGTGTGGCCCCAAAACAGAAACAAATAAACAATAAATACAGCACCTGTTCTTTTCATTAATGCCCAGCTGCCAGACATGCCAAGGGGCCCGGCTGCCAGAGAAACAATGGAAATCATTAGGTTATCCTGCAGTCCAACTGATTCCCTAGAAATCCCTCAGTGGAGAGAACAGCCATTAACATCTGCTCTGGCCTGGCCCCTGACAAGCCTCACAGCATTGCTCCTGGCTCTGGAGCCAAAGCTGACTCTCTGCTGCTGTCTGTGTGGTGGCAGGATGACTGCCTGGCTGAGGGCTGAGAAGCTGCCATGAGAATCCCACCTCCACCACACTCAGCCTCTGTGACTTTGGGAAGGTTCATTTGTTCCTCTAAGCCTCAGATCTGTGCTTCCACATTTCTGAAGTATCAGAGCTGACTCGTGAAGCACTGGCCACAATTTCATGTGGGAAGTCAAATAAGGAAAATGGGACCAAGAAATATTGCTGCTTGTCCCAGTTTACGCCTATATTATCTCTTTCCATTCTTTTCAAACGTTAATGTTTCATTCTTTACATTATTCAAAGTTTTCAAGTTCCTGGCTAAGTGGATTATTTGTGTTAGTACTTGCTATCTAAGAATTTAACATTGGAGGGGCTGAGTGATAGTACAGCATGTAGGGTGTTTGCCTTGCACGCGGCCGACTGGGGTTTGATTCTCATCATCCCAAATGGTCCCCTGAGCATCGCCAGGAGTAATTCCTGAGTGCAGAGCCAAGAGTAATCCCTGAGCATCACTGGGTGTGACCCAAAAAGCAAAAAAAAAAAAAAATAACATTGGAATAAAATGAAACATTCGTGGGTAAACGTCATTTCCATTAGCTCTCAGGCAGGGCTCTGATGCTGTGTCATGTAACCTCTAGAAAAAAGTCCCCTGCATTCTGATGAGAATGGGAATAAAAGAGCAGTGGTGCAGCTTGCCTTGTATGTGTAAGAACTGGGTTCTGTCCTAGCACCACACCCCACTCACACACGGGTGCATGCAAAAAAGACAAATAGCATCTTAGCAATATGAAAATAGCTTTCATCACATGGATAGCCTAAGAGTGATTTGTTCTTCCACCCTATATTAAAAAGACGTTGGTGAAAGTTATTTGTTATCGTAAAAAGTGTGTCAATAAATATCATTATCATAGCCCTATAACATAATAAATTATGTTACTTCCACAAGTTAAATCTATTACGGTTGGTGGTTTTTCAGAGATAAATGTCTTGGAAAATCATGGAAAATTTTACAAAATCTATCAGAAGCCAGATGTGTCTTTTCCTCCTGAACTCTGCCTGGGTTGGAACTTCATTGATGTTGATGTTAGCAGAAGTCATCAAGCCTTTAGGTCATTTAGGTTCAACTTTATATGCAGCAAAGGCTCACAAACTCCCACAGGTGTCTCTTTATATGCAGGAAGGACTCACTAACTCCCACAGGTGTCTCTTTATGTGCAGGAAGGACTCACTAACTCCCACAGGTGTCTCTTTATGTGCAGGAAGGGCTCACTAACTCCCACAGGTGTCTCTAGATGCATGAAGGACCCACAAACTCTCACAGGTGTCACCTTTTCTGCCTGCAGTTTTTCCTGTCACACAGAGCAAGGGGAGGATTGAGAATCAGTGTGCTCTCGTGTAAGCTTGCGGACCCTACTGAAGCAAGTAGGTGCTTGTCTGGACAAAGAAATCTTTGAAACCTCTGTCGCTTTAAACTCCAGAAAGGGAATTTCAGCTCCCTTTAAAATGAAAAATGAATTTGAAAATTACGGATGTTCATTGTATTCAAATGTAAAGATGTTTCTATAAATTGTTGTTTTCTCCTGAAGTTGATTTATGTTAAAAGAGCTTTCTCATTCAAACTCACTTCTTAGAAGGCCTTCTACCAGACTTCTCTCCTTCTAAATTGGAGGATGTTTGCATGAATTAATAAATAAGTTTCCTTTCTGCCTCCGCCACCGCCATGGCGTCCATGAAAAAAACTTGTGGCCAACGGGGACAAAAAAAAAAAGAAGCAAGTTCTTAAGTTCACCCTGGACTGCACCCACCTTGTGGAAGATGGGATCATGGACGCTGCAAATTTCGAGCAGTTTCTTCAGGAGCGAATCAAGGGGAACGGCAAGGCTGGGAATCTGGGGGGCGGTGCTGTGACCATCGAGCGGAGCAAGAGCAAGATCATGGTCACGTCAGAAGTGCCTTTCTCCAAAAGGTATTTGAAATATCTCACAAAAAATATTTGAAGAGTAACCTGCATGACTGGCTGCATGTGGAGGCCAGCAGCAAGGAGAGCTACGAGCTGCGTTACTTCCAGATCAACCAGGACGAGGAGGAGGAGGCGGAGAACGAGGATTAGCTCCTTTATCTGGAATGTTTTGTATGAGTTCTTGAATAAAACTCGGGAACCAAAAAATAAATAAGTTCCATCTTTCCCAAAGATAGATGTTATGGGGTGGGGGGGGCACATCCAGCTGTTTTCAGGGCTTACTCCTGATGAGCTTAAGGAACCATATGGGATCAAACTAGGGCCAGCTGTGGGCAATACAAGTGCCCTTCATGCTCTACTATGACACCAGCCCCAGGATTCCTTTTCTCTCTCCTTCCTTCCTTCCTTCCTTCCTTCCTTCCTTCCTTCCTTCTTTTTTTCTTTCTTAGCAAGGTAGTTTGGGTTTTTTGTTGTTGTTTTTTGGGGGCCACACCTGGCAATGCTCAGGGGTTACCCTTAGCTCTGGACTCAGGAATTACTCCTGGCTGTGCTCGAGACATCATATGGGGTATTGGGGATGGAACCTGGGTTGGCCATGTGCAAGACAAGTGCCCTACTCACTGTAATACCTCTCCAGTCCCCAAAGAATTTTAATTTTTTGGAGGTGCAGGGAATGGAACCCAGGACCTCACACTTACAAGGCAAGTGCTGGGATAGTGCAGTGGGTAGGACATTTGCCTTATATGTGGCAGACCCAGGTTCAATCTCAGGCATCCCATGTAGTCCTCTAACCTGCCAGGAGTGATCCTTGAGCTCAGAGCCCTGAGCACGGCCAGGTATGGTCAAAAACCAAACAATACCTTACCTCGACTACAGGGCCACCTCCCCAGTCCCTCGATTTGTTTTTGTTTTTTTATTTTTTGGTTCACAGCCGGTGATGTTCAGGGGTCACTCCTGGCTCTGTACTCAGAATCACTCCCAGTGGTGCTTGTGGTATCTTCTATATGAACGCCAAGAGTCAAACCTGGGTTCACCGCATGTAGGCAAACACTCTACCCTTGGTGCTATGTTTCTGGCCCCTTCACTTTTTTTCTTTAAACAAAATTCACATTTTATTTAGGTTGAAATAAACTATACAAAATTGATTTCCTTCACTAAAAAAAATAGCAATATGTTCATAGTATTCCCGGGAAACCCACAAAACAATTCTTGTGGTTTATCCAAGTCTCACTTATAAATCAAGATGAGGCAGTAGATAATAGGCATGGAGAAAAGACAAGAAAGCAAAACAAATCAGTTGTCAGTATCCATGGCCTCTGACCCTGTCTTGACCATTAAACAGGTAAAAGGTAAAGGTAAAGGCCCTCCCGTTGATCATCGATTTGCTCGAGCGGGCCCAGTAACGTCTCCATTGGAGACTTTGTTGTTACTGTGTCTGGCATATCGAATACTCTCGGTAGCTTGCCGGGCTCTCCGAGAGGGGCGGAGGAATCGAACTCGGGTCGGCCATGTTGGCCGCTTGTAAGGCGAACGCCCTACCGCTGTGCTATTGCTCCAGCCCACCATTAAACAGAAGGTCAATATATACTTGCTAAAAGCTTCTGTAGGCTCAACAAAGGAATGTAAATAGCAACAACCAGTTATGAAACAACAATAGGCCCCTTCACTTCTTAAGCCCATTTCCTCGTATCTTATTTCCCTGAAGAAAGATCTGAGTCTGTACCCCGAGCGTGGCAGAGACTCAGAGTGCTCTTTTGGAGTCGGCAGGTCATGATGGGGACCTGGCCGAGTGGGGACAGAGTTTGCTGTGGGCAGAGTTGTGCAACTCCTTTGAACACTGGAGAGCGTGCCTAGTCACTTGCTTCCTCTGGTGACAGAGCCCGCCCTGTGCTTGTGAAGGCTTGCTGAGCCCGATCACAGAGGAGGGAGGAGACCAGGTTCAGCGCTCAGAGGGAGCCTGGGCAGCGACAGAGACAGCTCCTTTGGCCAGCCTCCCGCAGTTCCTCCCCGCACACACAGAACCCCTGTGACAGTGCACGGTGGCCCATGTCGGAGAGATCTGACCAGAATATTTGATGCTTTGGGAACACAAGAGTGAGCAAGAAAGTAAGTATACAGGCGTCTTTTCTCCAAGGTGGTGGTAGATCTTGTTGGGAACATTCTTTGGCTTTTACCATGGGAAGCCGGAGGAAAGCTGTATGTTCTGGTTGTGGTAGTGGACACAGGCTGGTGTGTACACCAGTAGGGTGCTTAGCATGGTGACCCCAGAGAGTGGGAAGGGAGGGTAGGGTGTGGAGATGGGAACAGGCGCAGGAGAGAAGGGTAGGGTGGGGGGCCTGGCCTGGGGGTGTGGCAGCTCTCGATCTTTATCCGCCCTCCCGAAGCTCCGAAGCCTGGGCTGCAGGAACAACCACAGTCCCGACTGCTTTGGTCTCTGGGCCTCTCTATCTTGCTCCAGTTCCCCGCTGGGCATGTAGAAACAGGTGCAGCGTGATACCCAGTGCTCCTGTGTCACAGGCTGTAGGGCCCACTTCACTGCTTCCTGGGTGGCCCCCGGGCTACTAGTATTCAGCTAAGGAAGCACCAGGTTTGTCACTGGAGGGATGCCCCGATTACTCTGATTTCATTGGCTGAACCTACAGGGTGGGGTGCTCCACATTTACAAACGGGAGATTACAAAACTAGTTGGTTTCTGAAATGTTGTTGTAAATCAGCCAGAATGCCCACGTACACAGAAGTCATAGCAAAGCTTGTCCTGCACATCACAGAGTACAGGCGCCCACATCTGTGTGCTCCCTCCAGGGACTTTCCTGTACCAGTGTCTGGGTGGGTGTCAGGCAGCTTTATCTGAGAAGTTGGCTGATTGTACAATTATTCCTTGCTTTTTTTTTTTAAGAAGAGGTGAGAACTTTAATCAGCTTAATCAATGACTGAATAAACAGCAGTACTCCTACAATTGAAAAAAAAGAAGAGGTGGGGAGGGCACTTTTTAGGGTGACTGAAGTCCTTCCTGGAAATTCTTGGCCAGCAAAGGCCACATTTCAATGCTAGTGATCAAGGAGGTGGTGCTGTTGGGCCCCAAGGCTCTGCCCTACAATGCTCAGGCAGCCAAATGATTCTGGGGGTTGAAGCCGATCAGCCACCTGCACCCTAATCCCTGTAACATCTCTCTGGTCCTTATTCCTAATTACAAGTGTTTCTTTGCAATAAGGGTTTCCTTTCTTTATTCTGTTTTAGCAAATTTATTTGTTCAATATTCTGTATGAAGCAGAAACATGCTATGTGTTAATTTTGATCTGTTAAATTTTGATCATATTGCTTTGTGGGCTTGGGATATAGCTCAGTAGCAGAGCACTTGTCTTGCAACTGCAAGGCCCTGGCTTTGAGCACTGGGTACCAAAAGAAGTTTGCAGGTTTTGGGGGATTATCCTTTGGTCACATCCAGATGTGCTTAGGGGCTATTCTTGGATCTATGATCAGGAGTGATCCTTGGCAGTGGTTGGGGGGCCATATGTGGGCATAGAGATTCAAATTGGGGTTGATGAAATGCAAGACAAAGGCCTTCCCCCAGTCTATCTTTCCAACCCATGAGTGTAAGAGATATAATCAGGACAGTGAGACATTTAAGATGCTTCCCATTTTCTTGATATTATAAATTATACCTACATTCTTCTTTTTTTGGGGGAGTCACACCCAGTGATGCTCAAGGGTTACTCCTGGCTCCACGCTCAGGAATTACTCAGGGCAGTGCTTGGGGGGGGCCATATGGGATGCTGGGGATCGAACCCAGGTCAGCCTCGTGCAAGGCAAACTCTCTCCCCACTGTACTATTGCTCTGGCCCCACATCTACATTCTTGATTATTATCTTGGGATAAGCTTTTGGAGATCAACTTGCAGTAATAGTAATAATTAACACTGAGGGATTCTTCGTAACAGATGTGGTGATATTTCCTTGCATTCCTGGTATTTGGATTAGTCCTGCCGCTTTACGGATGGACAGACTGGCTGGGGCAGAAGTGGCTCGCCTGCGCCTGCTCCAGATGGCCCGCACTTGAGCTTCTCTAGTTTCAGCTCCCTTGTAAGTGGTGACAATAGTGCTGTGTCCCCTGGGTGACTGCGCAGACTAAGTGAGTTCATGTGTGGTGTGCTTCAACTCGTACATGCTTACACTCGAATGTGTTTACACTCGTAATTAATTCATGCTCAATAAGTAGCATTTATTAGTTCACTCCTTTCCCCCTTTTCCTTGCTGTTGTTGCTGTGGTGGGGACTGCATGCCTACTTGTGCTCACACGCCTTTCTGACCATGGGGTTTGTTTGGGACTGCACACCTCTTGTGGCACTGCACACACTTTGGTTGCAGTGCATGCCAGGGGCCTCACACAGGGCCACAGTGCTCTCTGGAGACTTCAGTTTCCACCACACTGCAGGGCTCTCCCTCAGCAAAGCAGCAGTGCAGGGAAACCTTTCCAACACCTGCTGGTGGCCTCTAATATACAAACTCCACATCCGGGCACATTGGGGGGACCATGTGTGGTGGAAGGGATTCAAATCGGGGTTACAATGCACAAACCCCTGTACTTTGATTCTTTCCTTTTCTTCAGTGTGATAATGGCATTATGGCTGTGTCCTAGATGTACCCAACCTCAGGAGGTGCACGCTGCCAGTGCTGTCTCGCAGGTAACCCCAGTCTCACAGTGTATGCGGGCAGAACAAACAGAAACTACCTAGTGAAGGTTCTAAGGAAACTAATGGTTTCATTAGTCTTTGCTTCAGAGTTGTGGGAACTGGTTCGTCTTTTAAGTTTTTGATTCTTGCAAAGCAGTGCTGAGATCAGCTCTTTGGCCAAGCTGCTCTACCTCCCTGGAGGACGCTGACCTCAGGGGCACTGGGCACTCCCTACCACGCTGGGGCTCCGTGTGAACTGCTGCCTCATACTTGAGCTTGTTTCCAGGTCAGCGGGGGCGGCCGTCTCAGCAGCACCTGTGTGTTAACTAGACCAGGGTATCTCCCTTGATCAGGCATTTCCACTTCGGGGACCTTGTCAAGGAAAGAACCACAAATGTGTGCTGACTCCACTAGCAAATCTATCGCCAAAGCGACGGATTAGCAAAGGCCTGAACCAGAGACTTATGTAATCACTGAAAACATCACTGCAGAAATGTGCCAACTGACATGAAAAGTCGGCCTACACACAAAAATATTGCACGGCATAAAGAAATTATATTTTTTACATTGTATCACAGATTTGAAAGAATATAAGCTAAATGTTTTACTGGCTATCTCCTGAGTGGATAAAATTCTTGGTGTTTTTGTTTACTATAGTTTCTAACTTCTATATTAACATGGATGGCTTAAGCAAGTAAAAGAAGAAACTTGGAACCAGAGAGTGCCCAAAAGGCTGAGCACATGCTTGGCAAGTGGGGGTCTAGGTTTGACTCCTGGTAGTACATGGTCAAGCACAGCCAGAGTGACCTCTGAGCACCGAGTTGGGAGTAGCCCCCAGCAATACTGGGTGTGACCCAAAACCTTTAGGAAGAAACTGAGGGCCACGGATGTGCCTCAGGGTGGAGCACCTGCCTTGGCACAGGGGGCCCTTGTTTGATGCCTGCCACCACATAGCTCATGTGGGCCCGGTGGCTTCTGAACTGCCAGGAATGACCAAAAGATAAGGCAGAAGTAAAAAGAAACAAGTACAGGAAAAGTTAGATAGTATGTCATTTTATAAGCAAATCCAATCGTAGCACTTTCTAATACTTATCACTGAACGGCAGGAGTTGCACAAAACATTCATGTTTGAGTTTTTATATACCTAGAAAGGAAGCTGCACTGTAAACAAAGCTTCCCATTCTGGTCTGGGGCCACCTGGGTGATATCTGAGCTCGTCACTCACTGAGCAGGCTGGCTAACCCCTGCGTCCTCCTCTGGGTACAGGCCTGCCATAACAGTACCTTCTAGCCGTGTGAGGGCACACATGATACAGGGAACATCCTTGGCCCAATACCTAGCAGCGCTAAGCTTCTAGTAAGTGCTCTCAAGACTAAATTTGATGTCCTTAGCTTCCAGGGGGCTAGCAGACCCCTGCCTGAGCCTAAAATCTGCTTTTTGAACTGTGGGCTATGACTTCATTTGGCACTGTATCACTGTGGGGGTTGTGAAAAAGTTTTTTGGGTTTTTTTTTGGGGGGGGTCACACCTGGCGATGCTCAGGGTCTGGCTCTGCACTCAGGAATCACCCCTGGCGGTGCTCAGGGGATCATATGGGATGTTGGGAATCAAACCCGGGTTGACCACGTACAAGGCAAACACCCTACCCACTGTGCTATTGCTCCAGCCCCTAAAAAAGTTGTTTTTAAGTAAATTTATGATTATCATCAAATGTTTGATTTGTATACCTACTTTATATTTCTGGGGTTGTGTAGATATTTCTCCAGCAAAAAATTTAAAAAGGGGGAGGGGGTCACAAGTGGGTAAAGATGAAGACACCCAGCCAAAGGCTCATCAGACGCTGTGCCAACATGATCTGCCTCCTTTCTGAGTGGCATCTCAAGGTGCGAGAATGTCAGGGGACCCTCCCGACAGCTTTCAGCCAGCCAGCAGCAGTTCACTGTGAAGGCCCCTGGCAATGTTCAGGGGACTCTGGAATTGACCCTGAGTTAGCTGTGGTGCAAAGCAGTACCTTAAGCTCAGCTGTCTGTGCAATGCCACCACTTAGGCGTGTCAGAGGGGCAGCTGAAAATAAACAGCAGACACTGGGCCTCTGGAAGTCTCCTTCCCCTGGCTCTGCGGGGGAGAGAGGTGCTAATTCACTGCTAGTGGTGCTCAGGACACTGAAGGTCAAAGACCAAGATCTGGTCTCCTTAACAGGAAGTGTCCCTCCTGAGTACTATTGGAGAGAAAAAGTACAAGTTTAGGATCCACAAAGATGACAACATATTTATTTAGAAGACAATTACCTTCAAAATGATGCCCCAAACGCAGAGTATATGGGCCAGGGACATTCTCTGAGCAGATGAATTGGTTGTCCACTGACTAGGATTAAAGAAACCGATGATGTGGAGTTCTTCCATCTTTCCATGGAAGAATCTCTTGGGAGTGGTGGGAATTAATTCTGCTAATTGGCACAGGGGCCTAATATTGGCCCAGTAATTTGGGGGAAATTGATTTAAAAAATGCTTTCAGTTTCCTTTGCAGATTTTGAACTATTGGTCCCAGAAAGAGCCACTGATAAGACCCTGGGAGGCAGTTTTAGGAGAAGAGTCGTCCAGTGAACATTTAGAGAAATCTATAGAAGTATCACAAAGGCTTTATTACGTGCGTTCCTAGAAAAATCTTTCTCTTCCCATTTCTGGCCGGGCACCTTCCCCTCACGCCATCCTCGGAGGGGGCCACCGTTTCTGAGTTAAGGAATAGGATTTAATCCAATCGTTTCAAATTGCTGCTTTTCTGCGAACAACCTGGGCATGCTTCTGCCTTGCTCGGATCTTGGCGAGAAGTCCGAATGCTCAATACTCTGCCCTCTGCACCTTGAATGTCATGCTGAGGATGCCTTCGATGCCTGCCTGGATCTCGTCGTTCTCCTTAACGGGTCCGACTCCCTTCGGCGTCCCGGTCAAGATCAGGTCTCCCTCCTCCAAGGCCATGACCTTGGAGACGTAGCTGATGAGGTAGGGGATGGAAAAGATCATGGCCGAGGTGTCCCCCTCCTGCCGGAGCTCGCCATTGACCTTGAGCCAGAGCTTAAGCCGGTGCGGGTCGGGGATCCGCTCTTTGGGCACAAACGCGCTGACGGGGCACGAGGCGGTGAAGCTCTTGGCTAGCGTCCAGGGCAGCCCCTTCTTCTTGCACTCGTCCTGCACGTCCCTGGCGGTCATGTCAAGGCACAGCGCGTAGCCGGCCACGTAGTCCATGGCGGCGGCCTCGGGCACGGCGCGGCCGGCCCTGCCCAGCACCACACCCAGCTCGAGCTCGTGGTGCAGGTCGCGCGTGTAGGTCGGCAGCAGCACGGGCGCGCCCTCGGGCGCGTAGGCCGTGGACGGCTTCAGAAAGAGCAGCGGCTCGCTGGGCGCTGCGCTGCGCATCTCGCGGACATGGTCCGCGTAGTTCCTGCCCACGCACACGATGTTCTTCCCCCACTCCCAGAAGCGGGACAGCGGCCGCGGCGCCGCCATAGCCCCAGCCTCCGCGCGAGCGCTCGCGACCCGAACGCCGCTCCCTTCCGGCCCGGCGCCGCCCCGCCCCGGCCTCGAGCGCCGATTGGCCGGCGCGGGGGCGGGGTCCGGGCAGGACGCCCTATTGGCCGGTGGCGGGGCGGGCGTGGGCTGGGACGCGGGCGCCGATTGGCGCGCGGGCCGAGCACGGGTTCGGAGCGAGCGCGGATTGGCTGGGGGCGGGGCGGGCGGCCGGCGAGAGCCGATTGGCCTCGGCGCGCCGACGTCACGCGGCGTCGTCGCCGCCGCCCCCGCTGCTGTCTCAGGTCATGGTGTTGGGCCGCGGGCTGCTGGGCCTCGGGAGCCTGGCCGCGCGGGGCAGCGCCTTCGCCCGGCGCGTCGCGGGTAGGCGGGGGGCCGGCGCGGGGGGGTTGCGCGCAGCGGACAGCGGGCAGCGGGCAGCGGGCAGCGGCAGCGGGAGCGGACAGCCGCCGGCCGCGCGCTGACGCTCTTTTCTGTTGACGCAGGATTTTAACCCGCTGACGGGCGCGGCGGGGGTGAGGCCACTGCAGTGAGTCAGACTGGAGGGCTGGAGCGGTGGGTGACGGTCAGCGGGGGTGGCGCAGGACAGGTGCTAGGTAAAGACACGCTGCGGAGCGCTCAGGGGCGCGACGGCAGCCGCCTCGCCCGCCGCTGGGGCGGGCTGTGTCCAGGGGCTGCAGGACAGCAGGTCCGGCGGGGCTCAGGGGGACAGCAGCACAGAAAGCCGAGCCCGCGGGGCGCCCAGGGCCAGGCTGCAGTCGGGGTCACCGGCGAGAAGCCTGCTACGGGTGGAGCTGACCCCGTTAGTTCTGTTGCTGGGCTCCGCGAATCTGCAGGTCGGATCGTGGGAGCCGGAGCCGGGGGAGCCATCCTGGGCCCCCCCGTCCCTGCTGTGAGCGTGCGGACCCAGGCTCCTTCTGTAGTGGGCGCACTAGGGCCCTGCGGTGGCTCTGGTGGGGTCCTCCTGGAATTCTTGGTCCATGTGCGTCCTGTGGACACTGAGAGAGGCGTCACTTTGTCTTCATTCAGGTCCAGCCCTGCTGGGATTCGCCTTCCATCACACAGAGCAGAGGAAGAGTACCTCCATGACCCAGGGCAGCATGAGGGTGGAGATCCTGCCTGCCCTGACCGACAACTATATGTACCTGATCATCGACGAGGACACCAGGGAGGCCGCTGTTGTGGACCCGGTGCAGCCGCAGAAGGTTGGGGCAGCACCCTTGTCACCTGACTAGAGCTCTTCGGCAGGGCAAAGAGCTTATGGGGGGGGGGGGAGAGGGGACGCTTTGATCTGAAGCCCCTGGGTGGCTCTGTCCCTCGAGGTGTGCTGTGCTCAGTATGACTTGGCTACAGGGGCTCAGATGGGTCAGTAGTGCTACTGTCACCCGCTCTTCTGGAGTTGGGGCGCAGCCCTCCTGGCGCCCCATCCCAAAGGCCAGTGACCCTTTGTGACCATGGCCTGTGTCTGGCTCACATCTGGTTGCAGGTGATACAAACAGCGAGAAAGCAGGGCGTGAAGTTGACCACAGTGCTCACCACCCACCACCACTGGTAAGGGGGGCAGGGCACCCAGCCTGGCCCCGCTGTGTTCATGGCATAGCTGCCAGGCAGAGGTGGGGCTCTGAGGCTTCTGCCCGAGCTGCTACTGATGCCCTGAGTCCCCTGACCTGGAACTGCCATGGGGGCTTGGGGAGAGACCGGAGCCTCGAGGCTGAGGGAAGAGTGCACCCCAGCTTTCACCTGTGCTATGGGGCGCTCGTTTGCTGTGCGGTTGGTGGGGAGCAGGCTGTCCACCGTCCCTTGAAGCTAGAAACACTCTCCCTGCCTGCCTGCCCTCTCCAGGCAGCTTCCTGACCCTGCCGTGGGCCCGGGGTGCCCTCTGCACCCCAGTGCCTGAGCCCGACATCAGGCTGTGCCTGCACCTCCCCCTCCCTTATCTCTGCCGTGCGGGGTGTCTCGGCACAGGGTGTGTCCTGACAGTCTCTGGGGCTGCTGTTCCGGGCTGGACAGCCAGAAGGCATCTGGGTAGACGGGGAGCAGCAGGGCTCCCCTGGTGGTTGGGACCCCTGGCCTCACCCGAGAAAGAAAGGTCACGGGCCAGAGCTGCAGCACAGCGGGGAGGGCACTTCCTTGCATGCACCCAACCCGGGTTCCATCCCTGACGTCCCATATGGCCCCCCAAGCTCCACCAGGAGCCATTCCTGAGCATCACCAGGTGTAGCCTACAAGGGACAAAAAGAAAGAAAAGGAAAGCTAACCCTCAGCACCCCAAGTTCAGAGCAGGGCAGGGCTGGGCTGAAAGTGGGGCCATGCAAGGAGACAGCTCTCCCAGCCCCCCCCCCCCCCCACCACGAAGGGTGGCTCTGGCTGAACCCGTGCCTGGCCCCATGCACACTGGCTCCTGTGAGCCGCACCGGGCCCGGGGGTTGGGGGGGTCTGTGCCCAGAGTTGGGAGCCTGGGCTTTGGAGGGGCCCTAGCTGGCGATGCAGCTCTGCTGCCTGGGCTGTGCTGGTGGCCACAGGCAGGGCCCTGGGACTTCCCTGCCCAGGGCCAGCTGAGCTCGTGCCAGGGCTGGAGGAGGGACAAGTGGCAGTGGATGGGCACAGGAGGCCACCTGGACCCCCTTAACTCCCAGGGACCACGCAGGCGGCAATGACAAGTTGGTGAAGCTGGCGCCTGGGCTGAAGGTGTACGGGGGGGACGAGCGTGTCGGAGCCCTGACCCACAGGGCCACACACCTGTCCACACTGCAGGTGAGACTTCGGCTGGGTGGCTGGGGGGCCCTGCCTGCAGGGTCCCACACCTGTGCTGCTTCCCGCAGGTGGGGTCTCTCCACATCAAGTGCTTGGCGACGCCCTGTCACACGTCGGGACACATCTGCTACTTTGTGAGCAAGCCCGGCACATCTGAGCCCCCTGCCGTGTTCACAGGTAAGCCGGGACACTCTCCTTTGCTGCCCCCACCCCATTCTGGGTACCTCTGGCATTGGCAGGTGGGTGTGGCGCGAGCTGACACGCCCACCACACCCCGAGATGAGCCTCCTCACACTCAGGGCCCAAGGGTGGCCCCAGAGCCAGAGGGACCCGGTGTCACCATGGCGGGTCCTGCCTTGCAGGTGACACCTTGTTCGTGGCTGGTTGCGGGAAGTTCTTTGAGGGGACGGCGGATGAGATGTGCAAGGCCCTGCTTGAGGTCCTCGGCCGGCTCCCTCCGGATACAGTAGGCAGCTGCGTCAGGCCTTGGGCAGGGATGGGGGTTGAGTGAGGGGCCCAGGGGTGAGGCCCAGCCTGAGTCCCCCCTTCCCGCAGAGGGTGTACTGTGGCCACGAATACACTGTCAGCAACCTCAAGTTCGCACGCCATGTGGAGCCCCAGAACACTGCTGTGCAGGAGAAGCTGGCCTGGGCCAAGGTGAGTGGACATGCTCAGGCCCCGCCCTCCACAGCCCCCAGAAATCCCCTCCCCCAAAGCCAGTAGTGGGGGTCCCGGGCCTCTGAGGAGGGCTGCTGGCCTCTCCACCCACACCCACGTTCCCCGAAGCCTGCAGGGGGCTGGGGACAGCACCCCTTCCTCCAGGCCCGAGGCTTGTTTGCCCCTTCCCCGCCACGGCCTGCCCTGTGGCCCCCGTCACGGATCCTGGCTTGGGGCGTGGGGCAGAACTCAGGCGCCTGCGGGTAACCTGGGGCCATCTCCCAGCCCCCTCCCTGAAGCTCGCGCATGCCTGGTGGCGTCCTGGCTGTTGCTGTGGTCCTCTCCTGTCCACCCTGCAAGCATCCACTCAGGAGTGGACGGGATCCTGTCCACTCACCGCAGATGGACATGAGTGCTTTTCAGAGCCCCTGTCTCAGCTCTGGCACGAGGCTGTGCCATAGGGCTGGTGTGCGGGTGCACTCTGACTGCCACCCGCGCTCCGCCCTTGCCCTTGCCCTCCCGTGGCCTGGGCGAGTGTGCTTTCTGGTCATGGCTTCTTTGATGGGTTGGGTTTCCCCTGTGCCCGGCAGTGTCCGCCTGCTGCATCTTCTGTCCTCAGAGACGGATGCTGCACGTGCACGAGGCCCTGCCTCAGTCGCTGGTGCGATGTGGTCCCCCAGCACTCCTGGGGAGCCCCCGCTAACCCCTTACACCTGTTAGAGAAACTGGATTGCCTTCTGCCACCTAAGAATCCCCTTCTTGGAGCGGAAATAAGACAGGAGGCCGCTTGCGCTCCCTGGGCCAGCTCAGGTCCCAGTGACCTTGGCTTTGGGTGGGTCCCGTCCTTCAGCCTGGTCCTGACATCTGCACCTCTGGATGTGGTTTCGGTTCTCTTTTCTCTTGGTCTCTTCCTTACTAGTGAGATCTTGGGCATTAACCAGGGTGCTAAGAAAGGGCAGGCATGTTTGTTGCCCGGGTTTTACCACCAAGTGGCGGCGAGCTTCTTTTTCCCGGAAACCTTAGTCTATGGGCTTCAGTTACAGTCGTGTTTTTCTGAGTCTTTCCCATGAATGGGTATTGAGTATCATCTGAGTTATTTTTGTATGAGTAAATAATACTGGTATAGGGGCCAGCTTGATAGCACAGCAGGTAGGGGGCTTTTCCCTATGTGTTTTTTGGCCACACCCAGCAGTGCTCAGAGTTTACTCCTATCTCGGTGCTCAGGGATCACTGCTGATGACTTATCTGGGGTGCTAGGGATTGTTCTCCGGTTGGCCGCATACAAGGTAAGCACCTTACCCAGGGCCAGAAGGATAGTACAGCAGGAGGGAGCTTGCCTTGTATCCTCACCCCAGCTGACCTGGGCTTGATCCCTGGCATCCCATATGGTCCCCCAAGTCCACCAGGAATAAGTCCTGAGTGCAGAGCCAGGAGTAAGCCCTGAGCACTGCTGGATGTGGTCCTGTGCTCTGAAAAAAGTAATACTGGTCTGTAGTTTGACTTTCTTGTAATGTCTTTGGTCTTAGTATCAGGGTAATGCTGACCTCATAAAATGAGTTGAAAGTGTTCCTTGTTTTCTCCAAAAACCGTCCTGTGATCATAGGCAGTGCCTCCTTTAGTGCCTATTAGAACTGATCGGGGAAGTCGTCTGGACACGGAGTTGCCATGGCAAAGGCTGATTGGGAATTCAGTGCCCTCAGTCTGTGAGGCCTGTTCGATTTTCCTATCTTCTTGAGTCGGTTCTGCGAGAAGCTTGGATATTTTAGGGATCGAGCATTTCATGGTGGCTCTGGGATTCACTCCCTGTCCACGCTGTCCCAGCTGGTATTGCTGAGGTTCAGTGCCACGTAATCCATGGCATCCACTGAGCGCGGGCGGCTCCCACCTGCCGGCACCGCAGCTCCAGGCCCAGTGCCCTGACCCCCAACAGCCGCCTGCAGGCGCGCACTTGTCGCTTTCTCAAATCCTGCTAGAGAAGCTCCTGAGGGCACTGGCGGCCACTCGTCCTGCTTGTCACACCCTCACCCCGCCCACCCGGTCTCGTTTCCATCACTGTGAATAAAACTGCTATGAACTTTCGTGTCAAGTCTCTGTGCGACCCCGTCTCCATAGCCCTGGGCGAATGCCCAGGAGCTGCCGAGCTGCTTCAGGCGGATGTTGGATGTTGGATCTGCTGAGACCCTGCTGGCTGTGGGCTGGAGGGACGGTCCAGGGTTAAGGCCCTGCCCGCACACTTCTGCCGACGGGCCCCTGAGCACCACCGGGGTCACCCTTGACCAGAGAACCAGGCATGGCCCTTGGTTGTTGCCAGGGTGGCCCCGAAACCTCTGCAGAAGAAACGGGAGGGTGGCCCGCGGTGGTGCCTCTCACTGGGAAAGGGGCTCGCGGGTCTTCTGTGCCAGCCCCTGCCTCTCCCCGGCCTCCGTGTGCCTCGCAATGCATGCAGAGGGCTTTCATGGAGGGTTTCAGCTGCATTTCCATAATGATGCTGAACATCTCTTTTCCGGCTTATTGGCCACTTTGTGAAGTTTCTTCAAAGTGCTTGCCCATTAAAAAATTGGCTGTCTTCTTGGGTAAGAGGAATTTTAAAAGTCCCACTGGACATAAGCCTCCTGGCTGGCACAGCCACCCGGTGGCCGCCTCCAATTAATTTTCTCTTGTGGCTCAGAGTTGGCTCTCTATTCCTAAGGTCAAGTTTTCCTCTTTTTTTGGATAGGGGTAGTTTTATTTTTCCGATGGTTTTTTGGGGGTCCTCACGCCCAGCTGTGTTCAGGGGTTACTCGTGGCTCTGCACTCAGGAATCACTCCTGGCTGTGCTCAGGGGACCATATGGGAGGCCAGGGATCGATTTCCAGGTCAGCCACAAGCAAGGCAAGTCCTTCCCTGCTGTACTGTCTCTCCAGCCCCTATTTTCAACTTTTCACTTTAGATCAATATTACCCTTCCTCATGTCTAGTTTTTAGCAGTTTGTCTGTTTTTTTCCATCTGTCTCATCAACTCTGTTGATCTGAAAAAAAAAAAAAACCCAAAAACAAACCTTTACATTCGTTTTTCCACTGTTTTCATGTCTGATCTTTTAAACCCATTTCTTCTATTTCGGAATCTTTTGCATTTATAGGTTCTTAATATAGAGCCTGAGTCATTGCTTTTAGACCCTTGTATTTTATTTATTTTTGGTTTTTGGGTTACTGCCGGCGGTGCACAGGGCTTACTCCCGGCTCTGCATTCAGGGGTCACTCCTGGTGGACCTAGGGGCACCCTACGGGTGCTGTGATCGGATCCTGGGTCGTCCGAGTGCACGGCCAGCGCCTTCCTGCCGTAGTGTCGCTCCAGCCTCTCCCTGGGGTGAGAAGCCAGCCCGACCCCTCTAGCAGCACCCGCAAATCCCGGGATGTTATATTTTCCTCCTCTTCAGTGAAACATTTTCTAAAATCCTGTGAGCCAACGAGCCAGAGTCGCTTAGTGTTTGGCGCCTGTCCTGTGCTCTGTGGGTTTCTGAGGGGTCCCCTGTGCCTGACGCCCTTGCACCCACAGCTCTCTCCCTCCCACCCACTCCCTCCCAAGGCAGCCCCAGGGCTGTGCGCTGCCGTGATGTGTTGAATGCAGGGTCCAAATGCTCTGCCCAGCTGCACCGCCCAGTCCCTGGGGAAGGACCTTTTTTAGAATTGTTGTGGGAAGACTGAACGTTTCCTCCCCTGGAGACGCTGGAGGAAGCACGGGCACGTTGAGATGGTCTCGGGTTTTCGCGGTGAAGAGAGGCCAGCAGCCCAGCTAGGCGGGTGGCTCAGGAGGCCCCAGAGTGGGCGGTAGCTGAGCCTCTCGGGAGTCTCCCTTGGAGCGCACAGCTGACCAGCACTGACCAGCTTCCTATAAATGGAAGGGGGCCGCGTGCGCCTCCCCTTGGTGGGCCTCTCGAATCTCCTTGGGAGCTGGAGCGTTTCTCTTGCAGGAGAAGTACAGTTGCGGGGAGCCCACGGTACCGTCCACCATCGCTGAGGAGTTCACCTACAACCCGTTCATGAGAGTGAGGTAGGGCTGCAGGCGGCGGGCCAGCCTCTGTCCCCTGACGCGAGGGGCTCTGCCCGGCCCCCTCTAGGGCACGGCTGGTGCTCTGTCCTGGCCTGCAGCCGCTTGGCTTCTGCAGGGAGAAGACGGTGCAGCAACATGTGGGCGAGTCGGACCCGGTCACCACCATGAGGGCCATCCGCAAGGAGAAGGACCAGTTCAAGGTACCCCGGGACTGAGCCGGGCTGCGCCCCTTGCCAGGGGCCAGGACAGGTGGTGATGCCTGAGCTGGAGACGGAAGCACCCCCGAGGCCCTGCCCATCTGCCCATCTGAGCAAATGTTCGAATGCACCTTTCCAAGGCTGCAGTGTCGTTCCTGGTGGTCCTGCGCCGATGCTGGCCCTGGCCGGGCCACTATTCTCCAGGTCACCTGTCGGGGGGGAGCATCTGAAGGGAGGCAGGTCCTTGTCCTCGTGCCGGCCTGGACACCCAGCAGCATGGACACAGTGGACACCGGTTCCTGTGGAGGGCTGGGGCCGGCGTCTGGGGAGCTCAGGAGGAGCCGGCCCGCCACCTCCAGCCCTGCGCTGTCTCACGCGGCTCACAGCTGTGCCTCGAGAATCAGGGAGGCAAGTCTGTGACAGGCGAATGGTTCAGGCGACGGCTCCACGAGTGGGGTCCCTATGGGGCGACTTCCCGCACCCCTGACTGGGTAACCTGGTGGGGCTGGTTGGGGGCACACCTGACCCCTGGCACAGGCGGTCTGGCGGGGGGGGGGGGATCCTCCCAGTGGAGCCGGGCTGCCCGCCCCAGCATCCAGTCACTCAGCAGCCCTAGAGCAGAGCACCCACACCCAGGCCCAAGGACAGGCTGCGCACAAGTCCATCTGAAGTGACCCCCTGTTCTGAGCCGGGGTTGTGCTGCCTCTCCTTTCTCAGTTCCCGACATGCTGGGTGCCTGTTAACCCTGGGGCTGGTGGACGGTATCCCCTCTAGCGCCCCCAGGAAGTGGAGAGGGGGAGGTGTATTGCGACCATCTGGGTCCCTAAGGCAGAGGACATTTGCCCAATCCCCTAAGCTTTGAAGGATCCACAGAGGAAAATCCATTGTTTGTTTCTGCTCTGAACACAAAGTTAATGATCCCTTCCCTAACGGGGTCCAGAGTGCAGGGCTGGGAACACTGGGCCGCGGACAAAGTGCTTGTGGCTGGATTTGACCCCGGCACCACTAATGGTCCCCCGAGCCCTGCCGGAGCACTGCTGGGTGTGGCTCCCAACCCCCCCCCCAAAAAAAAAAACCAGACAAACCCAGTGCAACTTTTGTACCCTGAAAAGGACAAAAAAAGATCGACATGAAATCTGAGATCTAGGCAAGTTGCAGCTGTCCCACTGTCCCGGTTGCACACACATGGGTGCATATTCCTCCCAAGCACCGACAGACCCATCTTATTCTGATGCAGTTCCTAGCAAATGGGAGGGCAGAGACAGGACAGTGGCTACGGCACTTGCTGTGTACACTGACCTGGGTTCAGTTCCCGGCATCCCATATGGTCCCCTGAGCATCGCCAAGTGAGCTCCCCCACAAAAAGGGACAGGATTTTGGGGACAAAATAGCATGCTGACCCTCAAATTATAAAGGACCTAAAAAAGGCAAAACAATTTGGTAACTATTGTCGGGGGGGGGGGGGGTGTTCCACACCTAGTGGGACTCGGGGACTATGTGGGGCCTTGGGGTACTTGGGGACTCCTACCTGGCTCCCCAAGCCCGGCGAGAGGCCCTCCAGGGCCCACCAGGGCCCACAGATGCAGACACTGCAGAGAGAAAGTGACAGACTTTCCAACAAATGGTTTTGGGACTAGTGGATGCCCAGACTGGGAAGAACAGACCAAGACCCAACCTCGTGCTGGAGAAATATAATGCCCCGAATATAACTGCTGAAAGTCACCAAACTTACCAAGGAAACCATCATGTTCTGGGGCTAGATAGTACAGTGGGCAGGGCACTCGCCTTGCATGTGGCTGACCAGGGTTCAATCCTGTGCACAACGTACTATCCACCAGGCACCACCAGGAGTGATCTGAGCCAGCACAGAGCTAGGATTTACCCCCAGCATTGCCACAAAACAACATAACAAAAAGCATTGTATTCTTGGGTGACTCAGAGTTCAGACTGAAAATCTGGAACATGAGCCGTGAAAGGCAGACGGGGAGTGTGGCCGAGGGCCACAGCAACAGTATGGCAGGGAGGGACGGTCAGTGCCCACAGCTGACCCAGGTCAGGTCCCCAGAGCAATGCCAGGAGTACAGCCACGTATGACCCCAAAACTACAAACAATAAAATTAGCATTTGCTTTTCAAGACTGACGGCGGGGCTGGAGGTGGCACGCAGGGTGGGGCGTTTGTCTTGCATGCTGAGGACCCAGCTTTGACCCCCAGCACCCCATATGGTTCCCAAATTCTCCCAGGGATAGTTCTGAAGGGCACAGCTGGGAGGGCCCCTGAGCATCACTGGGTGTGGTACTCTGGGGTGGGGAGACCATGATGCCTGAGCACAGACTCTGCGTGCCAGACACCACGGTGGCTCCCGGTACCACGTGTTCCCCTGGGCACCCGGAACAACCACTGAGCCAAGAGCTGTGTGTGCCCTTGGCACTGCCAGGTGTGGCCCCCAACAGTCCAGGCATAGTCTCAGAAGGTTTTGTCACGAGAAGACAAGCCACAGACAAGGGAAAGTACCTGCATGTGTTCTCACCCTAATTCAGGAAGTCCTGTGCCCGCCACATGGTTTTGGTTTGGGGCCTCACCTGACAGTGCTCAGTGAGACTCCCAACCGCGGTGTTTGGGGCCTGACAGTGCTCAGGGAGACCCCCAACCTCAGTGTCTGGGACCGATGCCGGCCCTCTGCTTGCTGGGTCTCTCTGACTGCCCACAACCCACTCAAGTAGCTCAGCTGAGCACCGGACACGGGAACGAGGACGCAACTGGGGTGTGGCAGCACCAGCCGGAGCACCTCAGGCAAGTCCAGCTGAGACAGGAGGCAAAGTGAGCATAGCTGGGGGTCCCGGCACCGCTGAGCCTGAGGCAGACTGGGCATGGCAAACAAAGTACCGAAGAGCCTCACAGTGAAGAAGCGGGCAGCCACTGCCACCCCACACAGCCCAGGAGGACGGGACGGAGAGCGGTGTGTGCGCTGGTGCGGGCAGTGGCCGACCAGGCCGGAGGGCCCCAGGTTCCTGGGCACTCGGAGTTCTCCCTGCCTGAGATGGTCGGGCCCGGGGGCTGAGCCCTGCTTGGGATGTAGGGGTAATGGGAGGTGGGCCTGGAGGCAGCTGCAGGCCTGTTTCTCCAGGGACCAGTGCTGGCGGCCCCGCCTTAATCTCTGCAGCCTCCTAGCGGGCCTGCTGGGCAGAGCGGCAGGACAGCGAGGAGGGCGCTTGCTTGCGGCTCCCCCATAGTCCCAAGGACCTCCAGGAATAATTCCTGAGCACTGACCCAGGAATGTGAGCACTGCCAGGTGTGGCCCAAGCCCTCAAAAACAAAAACAACTCACGCCTGGGGTCCTCACTCCTTATCAGCAGCTGGCAGGGACTGGGGTGAAGCCCCCCCCCCGCACCAAGAAAAAGCCCCTATCTGCTTCGGCTGGACGGAGACCAACTGCCAGGCCGGACACAGGGCTGAGCACATGGCACCGGCATGAGCACCAGGTTCACCCCCGTCTGTGGACCCCCATGTCCCTACCCAGCTGCACGTGCCAGAGCAACAGGGCTGGCTGCTGGGTGTGGCCTCCCACCCCCCAACAGTCCGTGCTCCCTCTCAGAGCCGGGAGCTCCTGGCCCAGTGCTCTGGAGACGCTACGGGTGCGGGGATGAGCCAGGGGCCCTGAGCACAGCAAGCACCCACCCTCCCGGCCACTCCTCTGGCCCCGGGGTCACACCATCAGAGATGCCTGACAGTCCATTAGGCGGAAGGGCTCTGCTGAGGGCTGCTCCAGATCTGGCACTCCCCCCCATACATACCCCGCCTACCCACTGGGCTGGATGCGCCCCTCCCGTGCCCCTGCCCCCACCGGGAGTGGCATGGACCCGAGAGTCAGGCAGGCCCAGGAGCCGCAGGCCAGGAGGGGCCCCTTCAAGGCCACACAGCAGGGAGGCGGCAGGATGGGCAACTGCGCCCGCCCCCCCATCCCCCGCCCCTAGCGGGCCAGGTGCTGAGTCGGCAGCCACAGCCACGGGCGGGTGGACTTTCTCCCTGTGGATCTATAATTCTCAGAAGAGTCTGCAGCTTCCCTGGAACAGCAACCCAGAGGGAGGGGCATGGTGCCTGCGGCCTGGCTGGGCAGAGCAGGGGGCCCTGGAGGGGTCAGGAGCCGGCAGGTGGCAGGCCCACATGGAGCCCCTGGAAAGGCTGGCGTGGGCTTTCCTTGAAGAGGGCACACGCAGGAGTTGGCTTGGGAAATGGGGGGTGGGGGAGGGCACGGCAGGCCGCTGCCAACCTCCAAGGCTGCTGGGGCTGGCCAGGGGACCCGCCCCCGCTGGCCACCTCAGGAGCTTTTCGCAGACAGGCCAGTGGGGGCTGAGAACTGTCTCTTGGCCACCCGCGCCGCAGGCCGGCCCGACATGAGGGGGTTAAGGGCATGGAGCCAGCAGGGCGGGTGCCCAGAGTGGGGCCGGCAGGAGGCGGCGCCTGAGACCAGCAAACGTGCCCGCTTGGCTGCCCGCGTCCACTGCACACGATGGCCCTGGGGAAAGGTGAGGTGTCCACTCCTACGGTAGGGAGCAGTCTGGGAGCCGGGATAGAAGGCGGGGAGGGGCGGAGGGTCCCCTACTCTCAGCACCCAGGAGGGCTGGACCTGCTGGCGACCCTGAGCTGAGCCCTGGGTGGAAGTCTGGCCCCCCCGAATACTGAGGGCCCCCACCCAGCTCTCCCTACCTGTGCCCCCCACCCCCGTTCCCCTGCACCTGGGGTGCCCCAGTTCTCCCCATGCCAGCTGAGGCCGGAGGCAGGCCGCTCTCCAGACCGCTCCTCTTCAAGGCTCCCCACAGCCTGCTCTGTGCCCCTGACCCGGACTCATAGGGAAGGTGGTCTTGTCCCTTTGGTGGTGCTGGTTCTGCGGGTCGGCTAGGTGTGGCGTGCGCGTGGGCTGAGGCTGGCCAGGTCCCGCCTCTGGCTTACCCCCTTGTGCTGGCAGGAGGCCCAGCCCTGCTGCTGCTGCTGCTTGGGGCCGCGTGCAGCCCGCAGGCCGAGGAGCCAGGGGACACCGAGGCCCCGCCCTGCCCTGCCGTCTGCAGCTGCGGCGTCGAGGATGGCATGGACGGGCTCAGCGTCTTCTGCAACTCTCGAAACCTCACGCGGCCACCTGCCGGCATCCCGGCCGCTGCCAGGGCCCTGTGGCTGGACGGCAACAACCTGTCATCCCTGCCGGCCGCGGCCCTGGGGAACCTGTCAGGCCTCGGCTTCCTGGGCCTGCAGGATTGCGGCCTGCGCAGCCTGGAGCCGCGGGCACTGTGGGGTCTGAGCGCCCTGCGGCACCTGCACCTGGAGCGCAACCAGCTGTGTAGCCTGGGGGCACGCATCTTCCAGCACACGCCGGTCCTGGTCTCGCTCAGCCTTGACCACAACCTGCTGGTCCGGCTGGACCCCACCGCCCTCCACGGCCTGCCCGACCTCTGGGACCTCAACCTGGGCTGGAACCGCCTGGCGGCGCTGCCCGATGCGGCTTTCCGGGGCCTGGGCGGCCTGCGCGAGCTGGTGCTGGCCCACAACCAGCTGCCCTATGTGCAGCCCGCGTTGCTCACCGACCTCGGCGCCCTGCGCCAGCTGCACCTAGGCACCAACTTGCTGCGCAGTGTCAGGGCTGACGTCTTCACGCAGCTGCCGCGGCTGCACAAGCTGCTCCTGGACCACAACCAGATCTCGGTCGTGGCCCCGGGCGCCTTCCTGGGCATGAAGGCACTGCGCTGGCTGGACCTGTCCCACAACCGCCTCGCCAGCCTCCCTGACGAGCCCTTCGCGGGCCTGCTAGGCCTGCGCGTGCTGCGCCTGACCCACAATGGTCTGGCCAGCCTGCGGCCCCTCACCTTCAAGGACCTGCATCTCCTGGAGGAGCTGCAGCTCAGCCACAACCGCCTCCGGCAGCTGCCTGAACGCGCCTTCGAGGGCCTGGGCCGGCTGCAGGTGCTGGCGCTGGACAGCAACCAGCTGCAGGAGCTCAAGGCGGGCGCCTTCGTCGGCCTTCCCAGCCTGGCCGTGCTGAACCTGTCAGGGAACTGCCTGCAGCAGCTGGCCGAGCGCACCTTTCGCGGCCTGGGCATGTTGCACAGCCTGCACCTGGAGGCCAGCTGCCTGGGTCGCGTGCGCAGACACACCTTTGCCGGCCTCTCGGGGCTGCGCCGCCTGTCTCTCCGCGCCAGCGGCATCGCGGCGCTGGACGCGCAGAGCCTGGCCGAGCTGCACGCGCTGCAGGAGCTGGACCTCTCGGCCAACCGGCTGGAGCAGCTGCCCGCGCGCCTCTTCCAGGGCCTAGGGCAGCTGCAGTACCTGCTCCTGGCAGGCAACCGGCTGGGGGCGCTGCCGCCTGATGCGCTGCGGCCCCTGCCGCGCCTCTTCTGGCTGGACCTGGCACACAACCAGCTGCAAGCGCTGCCCGAGGCTTTGCTGGCGCCGCTCGGTGCGCTGCGCTTCCTGAGCGTGCGTAACAACTCGCTGGGCACCCTGGTGCCGCCCTCGGGCCTGGAGCACCTCTGGCTGCAGGGCAACCCCTGGGCATGCGGCTGCCGCCTCCAGCCCCTGCGCCGCCTGGCGCTGCAGCGGCCTGGCGTGGTGCCACGTTCCGTGCGCGCCGCAGGCGACGGGGATGAGGGCTCGGGCCTTACCCATACCTACAACAACATCACCTGTGCCAGCCCCCCCGCCATCGCGGGCCTCGACCTGCGCGACCTCCCAGAAAACCATTTTGCTTCCTGCTGACTTGGGAAGGGGCTGGGGGCACCCGCAGGGTCCTGCTGGGGGTGCGGTACAGCCGGGATTCTGGGCGCTGAATGTGGGGGGGTGCACAGCGCCTCCCCAGCCCACATCAATTAAAGCTGTCAACCAATGTGAGGCTATGGTGCCCTGTGGGGGTCTGGCCCGTGCTGGGACTACAGCTGAGCTCCCGGGACCCCTCTGTCCAGCAGCTGCCTGGGCTGCCCCCCACAAGCTTGGGAAGGCATGGCCCCGGCTTCTCCGCAGCCCCAGATACCCTAATGCTCACCCGAGCGGCAGGGAGCAGCCAGGTGGCCCAGAGCAGAAGAACTAGAGGCAGACGCAGCACATGAGGATCCATTTAATTGGCTCCACAGAGTTTCTGGTGCTGCCAGGCCCACACACTGTCCCCTGTCTCCTGTCCATCTGGGACACAGCACAGGCAGGTGGGTGGCCGAGAGCACCAGGAGTGGGCTCCTCAAACAGTGCTCAGCTGCGCCTGGTCATGAGCACACAATGGGCATTCGGTCGAGAATCTGGCGGGCGATGGAAGAGAGCGCAGGGAAGGCGGGGCTGTCGGGGAAGTCCCGCAGGAAGTCGCCCCCTTCCTCCAGGCTCCTTGAGAGCTGAGGGTCCAGGGGCACGGCCCCTGCAGAGATACAGACCTGCGGTGAGACCGTCTGACGGAGGCCAGGCCCTCAGCCCACCCAGGAGACGAGCGACCAAGTGGCTTGGGAAGGGGGCGCAAGGCCACTCACCCAGGAAGGGGACCCCTGCGAGCCCAGCCAGCTCCTCCCCTCCTCCCTGAGAGAAGACGTTGGTGCACTCCTGGAAGAGACCAGAGGGAGGCGCTGGGTGGGCTGGGGGTGCGGCAGCAGAGCCCACCCTCCGGCCTCACCTCTCCGGCCTCACCGAGCAATGTGGGCAGACAAAGCCGCTCATGTTCTCCACGACCCCCAGCACCCGCAGCCCGGTCTTCCTGCAGAAAGTCAGCTCCCGCCGCACGTCCCCCACGGACACTGCCTGGACAGAGACCAACGGGCAGGCCCCGACAACTCAGCCAGGGGAGGAGGCTGCAGCCGCCCGGGGGGAATCAGAGGAAGCGGACCAGTACCTGGGGTGTAGTAATCACGAGGGCGCTCAGGGGGCTGTAGGGGCGCAGCGCCTCCACGGCGGCCATGTGCTCATCCGAGGTGCCGGGCGGCGTGTCCACGAGCAGGAAGTCCAGGGGGCCCCAGGCCACATCCCGCACAAACTGCTTGATCAGCGCTGGGAGACCCCGGGAGAGTATGAGAGTGGCCCTAGCGGCAGGCCGGGCCCCCTGCCTGGCCCCTGCCGCCCAAGTTACCATTCTTCTTGGGGCCGCGCCACACCAGGGCCTCATCGGGCTGCTCCAGCAAGAATCCCACGGACATGAGCGACAGGTTCTGCTCGGCGTCGGCAAAGACTGGCACCCAGCCACCATCACACTGGTGCACGGCCCGGCCCTGCGCGCGCAGCATGCGGGGAATGCTGGGGCCGCACAGGTCCACGTCCAGGAGCCCCACCTGCCGGCAAGAGACAGTGCGGCTGCCTGGGGGCCCGGCGGGTGGCGCGCGCGGGCGGCCCGGGGGACACGCACCTTTTTACCTGCGTGGCGCAGGGCCAGCGCCAGCTCTGCGGACAGGGTGCTCTTGCCGACACCCCCCTTTCCCGAAAGGACGAGAATGACTTGCGGGGTTCCGGACAGGCCTCCGGGCTCTAGTGGAGAGAGGGCGAGGTGTGGCTCACCCCGGGAATGAGGGACGCTGACCCTGCCCACGCCGCCAGGAAGCTGGGCCAGGGCTGCCCGCCTAGGACACGCCACTCCGGGTTCCGCCAACCCCCCCACAGCCGGGCCCTCCCCCTCCAAAGGGCATGCAATGGCCCGGGACAAATCGGGACTAGACACTGGCCCCTTCACGCCCACAGCTGAGCCCATCTCAGGGGCTAGTCACGGGTGTCCAGCCCCTCGCGGCGCAAACACCACGCACGACACGGAGTCACCAAGTCGCTTTAATGCTACGCGACGGGGGCCGGGGAGACACACGAGCCTCGCGTCTTTCCTGGCGCTGCGTTCCCACCGCAAAAGGTGGCCAGGGTCTGGCCCGCGTCGACGCGCGCGCTGGCCGCTCGCACACGCAGGAACGGCCCGCGCAGCACACTCACCCGCCGCCGCCATCCCGCCGCTCCCGCCCGGCCCGGCCGAGAGCGGAGCCTACGGACCAATAGGCGGCAGTCCCGCCCCCCGACCGCCACTGATTGGCCAGTTCCCACGCCCCTCAGCTGATGGGCTCGCCGGATGGGAGACGCGGGTTCCGGCGTGGGCGGCCGCTCCCCAGCCGCTCTCGCTTCCGTGTCCGCCCATGCCCGACACGCTCCTCCGACGTCCAATGGGAGTGCGGGCCCTGAGCCGACGGCCTTACAGACAGCCAATGGAGGCACGGCGTGAGGACTGACGCGCCCGACAGCCTCTCGGCAGCGGGGCGCCGCCGAGGGGCCCGCCCACCCGCCGAAGCCCCGGGCCGGGCGCGGCGGCGGGGCCAATGCGGCGCGGGGGGCGGGGATTGTTTACGTCTCGGCCGGGGCGGAAAGTGGGTCACGGCGGGGCCGGCGGAGCGCGGGCGGCGGCTGCAGGTGAGCGGCAGCGGCCTAAGTCCGCACTCGACGCCCGGCCGCCCGGGCCGCGCCGCGCCGACCTTGCGGGCCGGCCGGCGGCGGGCCCGGCGCGCCTTTGTTCGCGAGGCCCGGCGGCCCCGCCACGCCTCCCAGGGCCGGCGGGCGCGGGCGGGGGCCTCGGCCATTCATTCGCGTCACGTGCGCCGCGGGGGCGCGGGCGGGGCCCGCGGGAAGGTTCCGAGCCGGGCAGGCGGGGCGCACGGGGGCGTGCCGCGGAGGCGCCGCCCGAGACCTCGCGTGCCGTGTCCCTCCAGATTCTGCCCGCCATGGCCAGGCGGCCCCGGAGCAGCAGGGCCTGGAGGTTCGTCCTGAGCGCAGCCCGCCGGGACGCAGATGCCCGTTCGGCGGCGGGGGCCGCCAGCTGGGGCTGTGACTCCGACGGGCAGGTAGGTGAGGCCAGCCGGGTCGGTGGGGAGGGCCACGGACGCCTGAAGGGCGAGGCCTGCGGCCTTGGGACAGTTCCCGCCATGACCCCGTTCCCGGGGAGACGTCCCCGCGACCAGCCCATCCAGGGGTGCACCTCTGGGCCTCCATGGGCCACCAGCTGGCCCCCTGGGGAGTGTCCCCTGGGAGCTGGGTTTCCTAAGGGCACCCCCAAAGAGGTACTCGGAACCCACAGAATCTGTCAGGTCATCAGAGGTGACCTGCATTCCCGCCCGCCTCTAGTGCTACGAGCTCGTGGCGAGCAGCTTGACGCCATATCCAGTCACCTCCTGGGCAGGAAGCTGTGGGTGGGCTTGGTCTGGCAGGCACGCCTCTTTCTGGCAGGCAGAGGACACTGGTCAGCCCAGATCAGCTACCCTCTTCTCTCCAGGCCCTTGACCCTGGGCTGGGATAAGACCAGGGCCCAGAGTGGAAGTACCTGTGTATCTACTTGTGGTTCCCAGGCTGCCCAACTCAGGACTCCTGGGCACAGTGGAATGAAGGGGGGTGTCCCCAGAGGACGGCCTGGCACACCCTTACCCTGTTTTCCGGGGACTCCTGCTGAGGGTGACCACCCCTTCCTCGCCAGCACAGCGACCCGGACTCAGAGACAGAGTGCACTGCCCTGCCGCCTGCCATCCCCAGTGCAGTGCCAGTGACCGGCGAGTCCTTCTGTGGATGTGAGGGCCAGAGCGAGGCTGCCTTCTGCAGTGGCCTGCATGGTGCCCACCGGGGCAAGGACTGCCGCTGTGGGGAGGAGGATGAGCGTGCGTGCATGGGGCACTGTGGGGCAGGTGGTGCGGGTGGGACCTGGCCCTGGCGCACTCGCCTGGCACACAGCTCCTGCCGGCTCCCCCGCAGATTTTGACTGGGTGTGGGATGCTGGGAACAAGTCTTCTGCCACACGGCTAAGCTGTGACAACCGCAAGGTGAGTTTCCACGTGGAGTACAGCTGTGGGACCGCCGCTGTGCGGGGTACCAAGGAGCTGGGCGATGGCCAGCACTTCTGGGAGATCAAGATGACTTCACCGGTGTACGGCACAGACATGGTGAGTGGCGGGCAGAGCACGGGGAGGGGAGGGGGGCTGCCGGCCACCTCTGCCCGGCCCCCTCGTTCCCAGATGGTGGGCATCGGGACGTCGGCCGTGGACCTGGACCAGTACCAGCACACTTTCTGCAGCCTGCTGGGCAGGGACGCAGACAGCTGGGGCCTCTCCTACACAGGTGCGCTCTCGGCAGGGAGGGGTGGGGGAGGGGCGGCTTTGGCTCACTGCCCCTCGTGCCCCCAGGTCTCCTCCACCACAAGGGTGACAAGACCAGCTTCTCCTCGAGGTTTGGCCAGGGCTCCATCATCGGGGTGCACCTGGACACGTGGCATGGGACCCTGACCTTCTTTAAGAACAGGAAGTGTATAGGTAAGGAGCCCCAACATGGACGCTGAGCAGGGGGTGGGTGGGGCAGGTGCCCCCAGGCTCAGGCCGGGCTCCCCCCCCCCCCCCCCCCCCAGGAGTGGCAGCCACAAAGCTGCAGAACCGCAAGTTCTACCCCATGGTCTGCTCCACGGCGGCCAAGAGCAGCATGAAGGTGATCCGCGCCTGTGCCAGCGCCACATCCCTGCAGTACCTGTGCTGCTACCGCCTGCGCCAGCTGCGGCCCAGCTCCAGGGACACATTGGAGGGCCTGCCACTGCCACCTGGCCTCAAGCAGCTGCTGCACCACAAGCTGGGCTGGGTGCTCAGCATGAGCTGCAGCCGCCACCTGTCCCCAGTCTCGGCCCCCTCCAAGGCCGCCTCTAGCAGCCCCGAACCCAGGCGCTGCCAGCGGAAGCGCTGCCGACGGACCGAGCAGTGAAGGTGGGGGGCGGGCGCGGGGGACGCTCTTCCTTCTGGCCGCAGGAAGACGGTCAGTCTGGGCTGCCTCTGCCTGCTGAGGTTGGGGCAGGCCAGGCTGGTGTCACAGGCCCAGGACCCTGAGCCCAGCTGCTGTGTGCTGGTGAGACACTGGGCACCAGGACACCAGGGTACCTGCCCCGGGAAGGCCAGTGCCCCGGCTGCCACCACAAGTCTCTTAACTCCTTTGCATGCTGTTGGCTGTTTTCCTTCTATCACACTGAAGTGATGGGAATAAACGCCATGTTTGCGTCAAAGCCTGTGCTGTGGTCAAGCTGGAGGGGAGCAGGCTGGTGTTGGCTGCCCCTTCTAAACTATTTGTGCTGGCATAGCTGAGTCACTTCTGAACTTGAAAGAACCCCCCTCCCCCCAGCCCTTGTGTGAACAGACCATCCCTCTGCCCCCGCTGCTGGCCTGCCTGGCATCACCCTCCCCATGGCGAGTGAACATAGCCGGTCCCAGTGCTCAGGGGTCTGCTAGGAGCCAGGGCACAGGGGCATGGTCAGGAGCCCAGGTCCAGCAGGAGGTCGGGCTGGGTTGTGGTGAAGAAGAGGAAGATGCGGCGGGCAAGGTCTGGCCCCACTCTGCGGGCCCGCATGCCCTCGTCCTTGGTGTCCTCGTCCACCTTCACGGGGAGGTCGGCCAGGAGGCCCAGGCGCTCTTGCTCTGTGCTGCAGGCCGCAAACGCCTAGGAGGGCTCAAGTGAGGAGGGGGGGCGGCCCACCCTCCACCTGCACCCAGAAGGCAGGCCCAGCTCACCTGCTGCAGGAGGCGGGGAGAGGGGAAGGTGCTGACCACTGCCTCAGCCACGGGCTGGCTGACCCGGTTGAACTGTGTGATCTGCCGCCGCCAGGCCCCCAGCAACCCTGAGCCGTCTCTGGCCACGCGCTCACCCGCAGCCCAGCGCCCGGCGGTACAGAAGGGGAAGGCCTGCACCTCCCGTTGCTGCCTACGGTGGACAGGGCCAGCAGCCTGTAAGAGCTTCTCCCTTTCTGCCGGGGAAGGCACCAGCCTTGGGAGAGGGGAACTCACTTATATGGGCGCTGGGCCAGGGCTTTGGTGATAGCGCACACGTGTTGAGACAGCTCATGCCAGGAGGCCACCAGCAGCACGTTCATGTCTGCCCAGAGCTGCAGGAGCACCAGGGCCTGTGGGGAGGGCAGCTATGGCGGGGGGGCCAACAGGGCCCTCTGCCGGACCCACGGCAGGAACAGGCCCCCGGGTCCTCACCTCCTCCACCTCAGGCCAACCCACTACCAGGCCGGCAGCAGCTGCCTCCAGGTTCTCTGGCTGCTGTGTCTCCCGCACGCGGGGCTGGCAGGACCTGCACAGAGGATGGTGGCGCTCCAACTCCCCGTGCCTAAGCCCCTCCTTCCCCGGCATCTCCCAGAGAAGGGCACAGCAGCTTCCCCTGCCCCAGGCCCGCCAGGCTGGCATGGGTGACCGCTGGAAGGTTACCACAGGTGCTCATCCAGCCCGATGACAGCCAGGTGGGGCGGGGCAGGGCCGTCGGGGCAGAGCCAGGGCACTGAGCAGCTTTGGCCGTGGATCTGCAACCAAGAGGGCTCATGTATGCCCTGCCCACTCACACCGCACAGGACCCAGCACTGGAGACACTGCTCCTTGGGCACTGGGGCCTGGCAGCCCACAGGAGCTGCAGCCACGCCCCCAGCACCTGGGTGAGCTGCCGAACGCCCCGCAGGAACTCCTCAGGCTCCAGGAGCTGCAGCACATCCTGCTCCTCTGAGGCCCACCCGGAAGGCACCTGTGGGCAGATGGGCACAGAACCATCCTCACATGGGTGTGTGTGTGTGGGGGGGCGTTGGCCCCATGAGGCGCCAAGACCACTAGCCACATGTCCAGAGGCCTCGACCTGCCAAGAGCACAAGCCAGGCTGGCAGTGCGTGTGGGGTACCCACTCCCGGTGCCCACGGGACAAGTGCGGAATTCCAGCACCTGCCTCCGCGAGGGTCCGGACACTCACGCTCTGGGGACACGGGTCCGTCTGGGAGTTGCTCCACCGGAGGCTGCGCGCCTGGCGCTGGGGCTCCACGAGACACTCGCAGCCCAGCGCACCCAGCGCCTCCAGCAAGAGCTGGGCACCGGCGTCCTCCAGAACAGCTGGGCGGGGGAGAGAGGTCAGCTTGCTCCGCCCCGGAGTGGCTCCGGGGGGCCCCCGGCCGCCGGCCCCGGCTCCCGCACCTGGATCCACGCACACGGTCAGGCGGCGCAGGGCCACGTCGGGGCGCGGCGGCCGCGGGGCCTCGGCCGGGGCGCGGGCTCCGGGGGCGTCCTCGGGCTCTGAGTCCGAGATCTCCCAGGTCGGGGCGCGCCGCCGGCCCCGGGCCCCGCGCGCGCTCGCCGCCCCGCCGGCCCCTCTCGCCGCCAGGGCCGCAGAGCCTCGAGCGCGGGGCGGAGGCACCGGGGCCGCTTCCGGCGCGGCGGCGACTTCCGGGCACGGACGGGCCATGGCGCGGGGCAAGGCGCGGCCGCGGCTCCTAGCCGAGCTCGCCCGCCGCGTGCGCGCCCTGCGGGAGCAGCGGGAGCGGCCGCGCGACGCGCAGCGCTACGCCCTGGACGCGGACACGCTGGCGCGGCCGCTGTCCGGCCGCCGGCTGCCCCCGCGAGCCTGGGCCGACGCGCGCCGCGAGAGCCGCCTGCTGCCGCTGCTCAGCCGCCTGCCGCTCTTCGGCCTGGGCCGCCTGGTCACGCGCAAGTCCTGGCTGTGGAGGCACGACGAGCCGTGCTACTGGCGCCTGACGCGCGTGCGGCCCGACTTCACGGCGCAGGTGCGCCCCGGCCCCGCCCGCCCGCCCGCCCGGCGGCCGCCCGCGAGCTCACCGCCTCTCCGCTTGCTTTGCAGGACCTGGACCACGGGCAGGCCTGGGGCGTCCTGACCTTCAAGGGAGAGACGGAGCCGGAGCCCCGCGAGATCGCGCAGGCCATGTATCACGACTGGCGGCTGGTGCCCAGGCACGAGGAGGCGGCCTTCACCGCGCCCGCGCCCGCGCCGGCCCGCGGGCCCCGAGCCGTGCCCTACCCGCCGCTGCTGCGGGCCATGATCCTCGCCGAGCGCCGCAAGAACGGGGACGGCAGCGCCGCCGAGCCGGAGCTGCAGCTGGCAGGCGCGCACGGAGCGCCCTGGGACTACCCCGCGCGCACGGACGGCAGCAGGCCGCGGCCGCCCCCCGCCCGGCCCGGGACCGGCGCCTCTGGGCGCGGAGGCTGACGCCGGCCGCCGCCTCCCCCGGTTCGCCCCAGCCCCGGCGGCAGCCGGGCCAATAAAGAACTCCGACCGAGCTGGACTGTGGCTTCTCTGCGCGCGGCCGTGGGACGCCTGTGGCCGGTGGGGGGCGGGCAGGACCGGCCCGGGTGGACGGAGATCTGGGGTGCACGTGGGGGGCGGGCCCCGCGCGCGCCGGATCGGCCGCGTCCCCTTTAAGCGCAGGCCCCGCCCCGCGCGCCCGGCGCCGCCATCATGATCTGTCTGGTGCTGGCGGTCTTCGCCAGCCTCTTTCCGGCGGGTGGGCGCGCGGGGGGCGCGAGGGCGCTCGCGGAGTGGGTGGGGGCGGGGGCGCGCGGGCCCAGGCGCGGGCGTCCCAGGTCGGGGGTGGGGGCCGGGGGTCGCGGGTGGCCCGCGGCAGGGGGCGGGAGCGCGCGGGGCGGGGCCGGGATCGGGCTAGCGGGGCGGCCTGCCCGGCGGACCTCGCGGCCCCGCTGACCCCGCCGGCCCCGCCCGCAGCCCGCAGCGGCGCGCACGAGCGCACCTTCGTGGCCGTGAAGCCCGACGGCGTGCAGCGGCGGCTGGTGGGCGAGGTGCTGCGGCGCTTCGAGCGAAAGGGCTTCCAACTGGTGGCGCTCAAGCTGCTGCAGGTGAGCGGCCGGGGGCGCGGCGGGGCGGGGTGCGGGCGGGGACACGGCGGGGGGCACGGCGGTGGCACCGACGCCCGTGTCCTGCCCTCCCGCAGGCGTCCGAGGAGCTGCTCCGCGAGCACTACGCCGAGCTGCGCGGACGCCCCTTCTTCGGCCGCCTGGTCAAGTACATGGGCTCGGGCCCCGTCGTAGCCATGGTCGGTGTCGGGGCCTGGGGGGCGGGCGGGGCGGCCCTGCCTGCGCTGACCCCCCCCCCCCCCCCCCCCGCGCGCACTCCCCAGGTGTGGCAGGGGCTGGATGTCGTGCGTGCCTCCCGGGCTCTCATCGGGGCCACGGACCCGGCCGAGGCGCTGCCCGGCACCATCCGCGGGGATCTCTGCGTGGAGATTGGCAAGTAAGGCCGTTGGGCGGGAGGCGGGCGGACCCCACTCGGGCCCTGCTCAGCGACCCTCCCTCCCCCGCGCAGGAATGTGATCCACGGCAGCGACTCGGTGGAGAGCGCCCGGCGTGAGATCGCGCTCTGGTTCCGCAGTGACGAGCTGCTGTGCTGGGAGGACAGCGCCGGGCACTGGCTGTACGAGTAGGCGGCAGGACCCCCAATTCCCGCGTCCCCAAATAAAGCAGAGGCCTGGGCCGTGCTGGAGACGGCGCCTGTGTGAGGACGTTTATTACATGGAGCAGACACAGGACACTTGCGGGCCAAAGCCTGAGGCCCCCCCCAGCCCCCCCCAGCCCCAGGCAGCTTCCCAACCCTTTGTGCACAGCAGGGCGTGGTGGACATCACAGTGGAGAGGTGGCAGGGGGTGAGTTAGCTGCAGCCGCCCAGGTCTGTGCTTCTCTGGGGGAGGGTGGCAGGGAGCAAGAGTAAGGCCTGGGAGGGGTGGGGGGCTGCTGTCCCGGGACGCCCCTCAGAGCAGGCCGCCCCCTGCACAGCCCCCAGCCCCAGGCACTTAGCAGCGTCTTGCGATGTGAGCTGGTCTCCTCAGGGGACTCAGCCCACCTTCCTGCCACCGAAGGCTCCCCTCTTCCTGAGGCCTGGTCACCCCCACCTGGCGTGGGGCCAGGCCTGCACGCACTCTGCCTGCCCCTGGGTCTGCAGGACAGGCCTGGTGCTGGGGGAGGGTCCCCGGGGAGCCCCCTAATGGCTGTGCCGGGAGTCAGCCCTGAGGTGAAAGCTGCAAGTTGAGAGGTTAGAAGGGGCAGCTGCAGGCAGGGCGTATGTACACGCGGTGGAGGGGTGGCGGGTGGGCGGCGACAGCTCACTCGGGGCTATAGGTCACCTGCCACACAATGACATGGCTGCGCTCGGCCTTGGACAACACCGGCTTCACCTGGCCCACTGCCCCCACTGCGCTCTCCTCTGTCTCGTCATCCTCCCCATCACCTGCAGGGACAGAAGACGGAGGATGGGATGTGGTCAGTCCAGGCAGGGGGGAGTGGCTGCTGGGGGGCAGGGGCTGCTGGCCACTCACCGATGCGGAAGTCGATGTAGCCCTCGCCGCCACTCAGCACCAGCGCGTTCTTCATCCGCTGGCCCTCGGCATCAGCCGCTGCTGGCCCCGGGCCCTCAGATGGGCTGTCTAGCACACTGCCGTTGAGGGTGGCCAGCACATTCCCTGTGGGGGTGTCGGACCTCAGGGGGCAGCAGCTGGCAGGGCACAGCCCCGTGGGAATGAGGGAGTGCCCAGCCCTCACCTGGCACAGAGACGAAGAACTTGACGGCATCGCGGTGTCCGTGGAAACAGAGCTGGGCCTGGGCCATGGAGCAGTAGGGGATGAAGGTGCTGGCTGCCTTGTCGCCACTGCTGTCGTCCCCGTACACGTGGATGACACCCCCGGGCCGGATGCCCTCTCCCGAGGTGGGAGAAGTCTTGTTTGCTGGAGACAGACGGGGTTGAGAGGTGGAACGGGAAAGGCGGCCCAGCAGGCGGGGGGCGGTGGCGGTCTTACCTCGGAGTCCTAGGAGCTGGCCTCGGTGCAGGACCACAGCTGGAGGGGTGGAATGAAAGGTGGCATCAGGCCCAGGACACCCAGCAGCCCCTCCCCCTGCCCCCTGCGGGGACACTCACTCTCAGTCAGCGGGATGGAGATGACCACGCCGTTGCCGGTGCCCACCCAGAGGCGGTTGCCGGCAATGAGCAGGGCTGTGATGCGCACGAAGGAGAAGCCCAGCTTGCCCGTGCCTGCGGGTGTGGGAGTGAGCGGGTAAGCAGGCGCTGGGTCTCCTGGCCCCCCATCCCAGCCGGGGCCCCTCTCACCCAGCATCTTGCTGACGTAGGGCTCAATGTCCACGTCCTGCAGGTGCTGGTGGGTGTGGGCATGGTAGAGCCGCAGCGTCGAGTCCAGGCGGATGGACACCCACACCCCGTCTCCGATCCAGGCCAGCTGCCGCACCTGGCTCTCCCGCCGTGGGTGCGCGTCGAACGACTTCTGTGGGCGCCAGGGTCAGGTGCGGGTGGAGTGGACCCCTGGCCCGCCCCCGCCCGCCCAGGCTCACCTCGATCTGCATGGTCTTGGGCTGGATGACGTGCACCTTGTTCTTGTAGCCGCACCACACACGGTCGTGCACCACAGCCATGCAGCGGATGGAGTGGTGCGGGTGGCCCAGGTCCAGCAGGTGGTAGTTACTCAGGTCCCACTGGCCATCTGAGGACCCACACTGTTCAGGCCCCTAACCATTGGCCACCAGGGCCCCTGCCGCGCCCTCCCGCCCCTCTGCCCTGCTCACCTTCCCCCCGGTGGAAGATGGCCAGAGTTCCATCTGCCAGAGCCACCAGCACTCGTCCTTTCACGTGCCTGCAAGAGGACGCGTGAGGGGATGGGCTGCCTCCTGCCCGCCCACCGGCCCGCCCGCCCTTCTGGTGCCCACGTACACCAGGCTCAGCACCGAGTCCTTCAGCTTGATGGAGTGCAGACACTTCTTCCAGTGGGCCACGGCTGAGTGCACATAGAGCCTGCGGAGAGAACCAGTGGGCAGGCTGCTCCCCAGGGCCCCCACCCGGCCACGGGGCCTACACCTACCAGCCGTTCTGGGCGCCCAGCCACATGGTGGGCGCTGCGCTGCTGGCCCCTGCGGGGTCTGAACTGGGCTCCACCTCTGGCTGCCCGTCACCTGCTTCTGCCTCAGGGGCGCTCTCACTGCAGGGAGAACAGAGGCTCCGGGAAGTCTGACCCTCCTGCCCACCTCTACCCATCGCCCCCGTTCTCTCTCTGTCCCTCAGGACCCACCTGCCCGGTGGGACGCTGGGGGCCGGGCTGGATGCAGGGTCTGTGAACACGTGCTCGGTGAGGGGCCCCGGCCGCATGGTGGCTGTCTCTGGCTCGCTGGGTCCCGAGTCAGGCACCTCTGTGGCCTCTGTGGCTTCCTCCGCCGACTGAGAGGTGCTGACCTTCCCGTTGGCCACAGCAGCCACCTCCCCTGTGGAGGACGGGGCTGCGGGCTCAGGGGAAGGACGAGGGGCTGCAGAGGGGCTGCCCACCGCCCAGGACTCACCCTGGCCCTTGTCCAGCACAGGGGTGTCCCCTCGGGAGGAGCAGCTGCTGCGTGGTGCGTTGCAGCGGGTGGCACAGCCCACAAGCGTGATGCCTGCCAGCACACCGTCGGTTCCCGAGTCCTCAGGGTTCACATCCCCGTCAAGAAAGATCTCCCCAGGAGGGTAGTCGCTGTCACTGACCGCTGTGGGGAGTGGCCAACAAGCATGCTGAGGCCCCCAACGCAGGGCTCTCCCTGCCCACCCCATCACAAGCGCCATGGGCGGCCCCAGCTGACGGTATGCAGCACCGAGACTCATGCCCAGTAGAAACACTCTTTGATCACAGGAGGTGGCCTCGTGGCAGGGAGCACAGGACCTGCTCAGGCCATGACCCCACGCTGCCCCAGCCCCCTCCTTGCCCGGTGCCAGGGGTCTTGAGTCCCATTTTATCCACCAGGGGTTCTGGACACCCAGCCTGGGACTGACTCATCTACTAAACAGGAGTGTCCACTGGGGTCTCAGCGTTGTTGAGAAGCAGGACAGCGCCCCCAACCCCTATCCACAGCCTGCCCGCTGCTGCCCCTCACCAGGGATGCTGCAGACACAGAGCACATGCGCGTTGCACACGGTGAACTGGTCCACCACCGTGCCTGGCTGGTTGGCGTCCACGATGACCACTTTGCTGGTGGTCAGGGTGCTTGTGAGCACCCACACACGGCTCGAGCTGGCATCCGCATCTGGTGACTCCTTGGCCTGGTGGGTCAGGAGAGTCCCTCAGACATGCTGCCCGCCACGCTCCAGGCTGGGAAGCTGAGAACCGACCGCATTCCCACCCTGGAAGCTGAGCCCAGCACACGGCCCAAGGCCGTCCCGCGGCCCTTCTACGTGTGGGCCTGCAGGCAGTGTTTCAACAAGAGTCAGGAGCCCCGGACACTTGCTGGTCATCGAGGCAGCAGTCGGCAGGGCAGAGCCAGCCTTGGACTATCTGGGAGGACACCAGAGTCCCACCTGTCCTGTCCCTACCATTCCCAGGCAGACATGGAGCCAGGTAGGTACTGGCGTAGCTGCACCCCTGGCCCCTGCTGGCCGCTCTAACCTTCTTCTTCTCAGGGGACGTGTGGGTACTCTTGGGTTCTCCTTCCATTTCTCGGTCGCAGGTCAGAGGGTCTCGGCCGGGCACAGGCTTAACTGCACTTCCAGGGTCATCCTCGCTGGGTTTCCACCCGCTCAGGTTGACGCCGGCCGCACACCACAGCTGAGGGAACGGGAGGTGCGCTGAGCCCCGGCTCGGCTGCTGGCCCAGCTCTCCCCCCTCAGCGGCCTCACCTTCATGGTGGGGTCCTTCTCCACCAGCGGGCGGCAGTACACGGGCACTGGCACGTTCTTCATCCGCGTGTCCTCCTGGCCCCCGTTGGGGCTCAGCTGCAACACAAGGGAGAAACGCAGAGTTGGGGCAGCGTTGGGCTGCTGGTTCCTTGAGAGTCGGGGCCGGAGAGCGAGTCCTGCACCTGCTCCATGCTGCTCCAGCCCAGCAAGCCCCCCTCTTTCTCTGATACCGTCCACCTGCGTGGACCTGGCCGGCAGGCCCCGGCCCTCCACTGAGCGCCCACCTGCTTGTACTTGGCCGGCAGGCTCCAGCCGCAGGCCTGCAGCCGCCCGTCGTCGTTGCGCACGTGTTCGCGCACCTGGCGGTACTGCTCTCGCTTCTGCTCCCGCCTGGCCGAGGATGTGCAGTCACTGGGCAGGGAGACATGGCTCACCGGTGGCTCTGCCCCCCCCCCCCCCCCCGCCAGCCCCGCCCCACTACCCCCAGGTCTCTGCTGTGCGCCTACCCACCAGCACCAGGAGCAACTCCTGGCACCCACCCGGCCCCTCGGGCTCCCGCAGACATAGAACTCAGTCCTGGCTTCAAACTGGAGACACAAGACTGCATCCTGGGGCAGGTCGCACTCACTCATCAGGGAAGAACTCCAGGGGCCGGCTGCCAGGGATCTGGCACATGGCGTGGCCGCGGCGCTGGCTGAATCCGGTCGTGGTGGGTGATTTGTAATGGATGTTCACTGATGGGTAGGAGCGCTTGGCCGGAGGGGGGCTGGAGGAGGAGCTGAAGAGGCGGCTGAAGCTGCCAGCAAAGGCCAGAAGGTGAGGGCAGCCCAGCAGACCTCCCCGCGCCAGCCCCAACCCCTGGCCAACCCCCCACTCACAACTGCCAGATGGTGGACTTCTTCTTCTCCTGGACAGAGGGGTGCTCCCGGGACGCCCTGTGGACAGAGGGAAGGGTGGGCTCCTCGTGACCACCGCCCAGCTGGCCACACCCCACCAGACCAGCCTCGCGAGCACACACCTGATCATCTCTGTCCATCGCACAGCTTCCTGCAGCTCCATCAGCCGCTCCTTGTACTGGTTGCGCTCCATGAGCACCCGCGCCATCTCCACGCGCGTGAAGCGGCGCCTCTGGGCCATGGGTATCTTGTCCTGCAGGGGCACACACCGTCACTGGGCCAGGGGCAGTCAGCACCAGCATCAGGGGTCTGATGACCCCTGGGTCAGGGTGAGGAGGAGCATGGGGGTCGGCTTCCCTCAGAACACGCTGGCGGCACAGGGCCGAGGTGGCTGAGGCCTCAGGGCCTTGTCCTCAGTGCTGTGGCAGAGCTCGTGGCCGGGAGAGGTGCTGCCTGTGCTGCCTCTGCAGCAGCTGGCACAATGGGCAGGAAATTCCCCTGGTGAGAGGGGGCACATGCACACCAGGAGTCCAGCCCCCCTGAACGTGACGGTGGCACTGACCAGCTCTGTGCAGAGCGGGCCGCTGACATCCTCCACCTCTTCCCTGGGCTCACGGCGGGCGAGGATGGCCTCGGACTTGACTCTGAAGGATTGCAAGGGACACAGGCGGGTGATGACACCTTGGCACTGACCTGGAGGCTGTGCCCACAGCTCTGCCCACATGCCCTGAAGACTCAGCTGCCGTCCTGGCAGCTCCAGTCTATGCCAGGCATGGAGCATCCAGAGGCCAGGGAGAGTCAGAGGCAGTACAGAGGGAGGGTGCTGGCCTCCCGCAAGGCCGACCCAGGCTCGATCCAACATCCTATAGGGTCCAAACCCCCAGGAGTGACCCCTAAGCAGAGTCAAGAGTAAGACCCAAGCACCACCAGGTGTGACTCCCAGCAAACAAATAGATGACCAGGGAGGCGCAGCTCCACACCACCCCCAGGAGCAGGTCTGGCTCCAGCGCCTCAAACCTGGGCCTGGAACCTGGGAGAATAGGGGACTACTGGCCACAGGAAGGACACAGTGCCACAGATGGCACCCAGGGCCCTGAATAGGCCCCTGCAGCCTTCCTCCTGAAAGGGCACCGCCTCCCATCTCTTCCAGGGTCTTGTGGAGGCACAGAAGTCCCGGGCTGGCCCGCCCCGTACCCCACCCCTGATAGGCTGGCCTGCCCCGTGCCCCGCCCCCAGCTAGGCTGGCCCACCCCGCCCCGCCATTGGAGCCCCGGCCGCACCTCCTCAGCTCCTCCTCCAAGTCCTTGATGCGGTTCTCCAGCCTGAGCTTGGCCTGGCGGGCGGCTTCCAGGTCCCCCTTCAGCACCTCCTGCTCCCCTGACAGCTGGTCCACCTTGGCGATGAGGTCGTTCTTCACCACGTTCAGAGCGTTCCTTTCAAAGAGCGGGCGAGCCGCGTGGGAAGGGGCGTCAGGGATCCCCAAGCCCTGGTCCCGGCGGGGGTGGGGGGGTTGTTCTTACTTGGTCTCCAGGAGCTGGGAGTTCTCCAGCAGCAGGTTCCCCACTTCCTTGCCCATTCCTGAAAGCAAAGGGTTGCAGTGTGACTGTCCTGTGCCACAGCGTCCGTAGCTCAGCGATGAGTCCTGGGGCGCACGCCAACTGCCTCTTGCAGGGCCCAGGGGCTCTGGGGGCTCCCGCCAGCTCTGCTGTCAGGGACGTCTCTGGAAGATGGGGGCCAGCCCTGGGCCCCTTCTGCACCGTAGGGCTGAGGCTCGCCCTGCATTTATCCTGGGCAGCCTGCTCTCTGGCCCCACACCTACCCTGTTCCAGCCAGTGGGTTACGCGCACATTCTTTTCTTTTTTGTTTTTGGGCCACACTAGGTAGTGCTCAGGACTTACTCCTGGCTCTGCAATCAAGAATCACGCCTGGTGGCGCTTGGGGAATCATCTGGGGTGCCGGGGGTAGAACCCGAGTCAGCTTTGGGCAAAGCAAAGGCCCTCCCCGCTGACCTACGGCTCCAACCTCCAGGCATATTCCGAGGCCCACACCCAGCACAGCTGCCCTGGGACTGGAGTGGCAGTTTTCCGTGGGGAGGGGCAGAGCCAGAGGTGAAGGATGAGCGGGTGGTGGAGGAGGGAGTGGCCCTGAGGACAAGGGCAGAAGACCCAGGGCCGCTCTGCGCCCGGCCCCACGGGAGGCCTGTCACTGAGATGGTTCCCCGCAGTGCCAAACAGAACCACCCCGACTGGTCTTGGACAGTACCAACTCCTCTTCAGTAGGTGCCTCGGACAGGACCTGTCCAACCACTCAAGGAGACGGCTGGACGTTGGGCTCACCATACCCCAAGGCCCCGGCCCAGAGGTCAGCAGGCCCTGCACCCCTCACTCCATCACAGACAAGGGTCCAAGCGGGCAGCAGGGGCGGGCACGGTGGACACAAGCCAGCTCGGGGCACGTGGGCAGGAGGGGCCGTGGCCTTACCAAAAAAGTCATCGCGCACTGCGGGGCGTGCCGGTCCCGCGAGAGAGGGCGAGCAGCGGGAGGAGAGAAAACGAGCGCGTTAGCCGGCAGCGGCGCACCTCCGGCTCCTTTCTGCAGACGCCCGGGGCAGGGGCGCGCGGCTGGGAGGGCGTGGTCCGGGGCGTGGCCAGGAGGGGCGGGGCTGGGAGCGCCCCCAGAGCTCCGCCGGGAGGCCAAGAGCAGGAGCATGCACGGCTGCACCTCACCAGGCCTACACCGGCGGCCCGGCAGGGAAGCGGGGACGGACCCCTGCTTGGGAAGAGGCCCGGGGCCGAGCGTCCAGGATCCGTCCGATCTGTGGGCTCTCAGCCTCGGAGAAGACAGGGCTGGGCAGGGCAGGGTGGGGGTTGCGCGCAGAAGCACGTGCTGGGGTGGCCTGACACGCCTGGCAGCCAGGTGGACTCGGGTGGGGACAGGCCACACAGCCGGTGGTGCCAGACAGCAGCGGGGGTGCCCAGGGTGCCACCTCTGCACCTGACTGCCCATGGGATCAAGGGTGGCGCGGACGGGGATACGCACCTGAGAACTCCCCTGGGTGCGTCCAGCGGGGCAGAGAGACAGGAAGGAAGCGACAAAGTCAATTGGTGACTGAAAGCAACAAGACAGGACATTCTTGGTAAGAGAAAGCCCAGCTTGACGCTGCTCCCACGGGGTGAGGGAGGAGGGTGCCAGGCGGGCACGCCTCGGGGGCAGCGGCGGGAAGAGGGAAGGTGGGGGGCTCTCGGAGGGAGCCGGACGCCAGCGCTCCTGCCCCTCACACAGCCCAGGGGGGCTCAGGCACTGTGCAGAGTGTGCCTGGTGAGTGCATGGGGGGTGAGGTCTGAGTGGTCAGTGGTGTGTGTGCGCATAGTGTGTGTGTGGGGGGTACTGTGGGGGGGTACGAGGTGTGAGTGGTGAGTGTGGGGTGTGCACATGTGTGTACGGGGTGTGGGGGATGATGTATGTGTTGTGGTGTGTGTGTGTGTGTGTGTGTGTGCGTGTGTGTGTGCTGGTGGTAGGTGTGGTGCTACGTGCGTGACCTGCTCCGGGCAGGTCTGCCCAGGAGGGCCCCGGGCCAGCAGAGGCAGGTGCACATGAGGGAGCCTGTCTGTGCCCAGGCTGCGGGCAAAGGCTGATTTCACACAGGAAGGAGATGGCATGAAAGCCACCCTGGAGGAAGCGGCCAAGCCTCTGCCGATGGCTGCAGCGTTGGGACTGTGTCCTGCACCGCTCCCTGGTCCCAGATCACCGCACTGGCTCTTCCACGCCCATAGAACGCTCCTGAGGAGCAAGACTGTCCCCCTACAGCTCTGCCCTCATGCCCACCCACCACAACCTAGTGGAAGGGCCTCAGCAGGCGCCACACTCCCTCGCAAAGGGGACCCAGAGCTCCTAAGCCGCCTGTCCCTTACGAGCACCCCACGGCACTCCCCGCCACGTGACTGGCCCACGGAGCAGGAGGGCAGACAGACAGGCTGACCCAGAACCTGACCGGCCCGAAAGGCAGAGGGCTGAGGTGGTGGTGGGCAAGGCGACCCGCGAGGCTCCTGTCTCGCCGACGGTACTACCCCATGCCCACAACTAGGGCCCAGACACCCCTGTCCCTTACCCAGGCTCACTTGGAAGCCTGGAAGCACAGAAGCGTGGCAAGATCCTGAGAGCCCATCACCCCATCACGCTCTTTTCCTTTCTTTTTGGCTCTAGGGCCACACCGGCAAGGGCCAGGGCTTGTCCCGGCTCTGCTCAGGGGGGACTCCTGGTGAGGCTCAGCGGGCCGGGTGTGGTGCCAGGGACAGAACCCTGGGCGGCCAGGAGCAGGGGAATACTGTACCAGCGGTACTCTCGCTCCCGTCTGGTTCTGCTTTCTGCTGGGTGTGGCCCCAAATAAACGAACCCAAACCACGGGGCCAGGGCTGGCTTGGATGCCAGTCCCTTTCCCGGCCTCCAGCACTCCATGTGTGGTGTGAGGGTCAGGGGCCCGTCACCCAGCTGTCTGCTGGGTGAGAAAGCCAGGGGTGGCAGAATCTCCTGCCCCTGCGCCAGGTTGTCTTCACCAGGGCCCCCAGGAAGCGGGGCGGGTTGAGTTTCCCTCCCCGCCCCAGCAGCTGAAAACCTCCAGAACTCAGCCAGGGCCATGCTCAAGGCCACTGTCCACATGCTCGGACGAGCCTCACCCATGAAGGAACCGGCAGAGGAACCCAGGTATGCGGAACCCGTGGCTGAGATCTCCAAGCCTGCTTGGATCAGGACTGGGCCTCCTCCACCCAGATCCCCAGTTTTCCAGTAGCTTGGCAGTCGCACCCACAAACTGCTCCCAGCGCCATGTAATCTCATCAACAGCCAAGATCCAGAGACTATAAAACAAAGCTCCCGGAAGAAAGTGATGCAGTTTTTCCTGCTCTTACACTGTAGTCCACTATGTACCTAAAGCAGCACTGATGTACCAAGCACGTGTTTGGTTTTAACATATTTGCTTGTATTCTCTTATATACGAGCTTAAAGGGACCCTGAATGAAATCAACAACCGTCACACATTTTTCTCTTATTGTGGTCGGAAGATACTTGCTGGTGGGGTGGGTGTTTGAATATTATCTGCAATGAACTATTGTGAACTACTTTATAAAAATAAAATCTACAAGAACTGCAAAAAAATAAGAAAGGCCAGGAGTGTGCTGGCCCTGCTTGAGGTGGGGGCCGTGGCCTGGGTCGAGCCTGCCGGCCGGAGTGTCCTACCTCCCCCCACCTGCATGCAACAAGGATCTGGACGGAGAATCTGTCACGTTTCTGTGATGAGAAAATCTGTATCATTTTCTTTCCGGGCAAAAACTTTGAATTGAGCAGTGTCACAGCACCGCGGGATCATCCTGTCTGCTCACAGGAGGGCCAAGGTTAATAGTGGTGACCAGGAAGCCAGCAGAAAGACCCCAGGCATGAGTCTGGAGGCCCCACATGCAGGGAGCCGACCCCGGGGAGTGGGGTGGGCGGGCGGCAGGAAGGATTTCTTCTCGGGGCGCCAGCAAACGGCCTCAGCCGCCCGCTCCCGCCCTCCTTGCCACAGGGTCAGGCCACTCACCCAGCAGGTCAGCCCCTTCGTCCACATCCCCAATGACCTCGGAGCCAGCGGTGGACAGCTCATGGTACAGGGAGTCAGTGTTGATGCCGAAGGCCTTGTTCACAATGCCCTGAGTGGGGCTGTGGACACAAGGGAGAGGCCACTGATGGGCATCAGTGCTGACCACTCTTCTTTGCCCGAGCTGCGGGCCAGTGCCCCCACTCTCCTGGGATGGACACAGTTCTATGATGGACACACCACCGAGCCAGCCCCGCACCTGTTGCTCATGACATGGACAGGCCCACGAGCGGCTCCTGCACCTGCTGCCCATGCCATGGACATGCCCCCGAGCCGCCCCCATACCTGTTGCCCATATGATGGACATGCCCCCGAGCCGCCCCCATACCTGTTGCCCATGCGGTCCAGACGGGGCTCCCGGCCGGTGTCTAGCTCCGGGGTAGAGTCAGTGACATCCTGGACATCGGACCACTCGTCACTGCTGCCCATGCCTGTGGGCAGAGGCGGGCTCAGTGCCTGCAGGCCCACCGTGTGGACCCCTGCCCTGCCCCGTCACGGGCTGTACCTATGCTGACGTGCCGCATCTCCTGCGTGACCTGCACCTCCATGTTGCGGCTGTGGCGCTTCTCCCGTGCCCGCGAGCCATGCTGGGGACCCGCCCCGAAGTCCTCCAGGGGCTGCAGGCTCTCATGCAAGGGCGTGGCGGCGGCCGAGGGCACGGACGATGTGGGGGTGTTGGACTTGGTGCCTGTGGTGCTGGGTGTCGCAGCGGCCGAGGACTGGCCTGACTCGGACATTTCATCATGTGGACACTAGGGCGAACAGACAAGGCGTGCTGGGAAAACATGCCTGGGCCCTGGGCACAGCGCCGCTGGCCTAGGGTCTGTCCGGCTGTCATGGGCCGTCGTGTGCGGCCGAGCTCTGCCAGTCCCTCTGGGGTCTGAGGCGGCGCCGCAGCCCCTGTGCTTTCCTTCTGGGGCTGGGCGACAGGAGGGATGGAGACCCAAGCCTTGAGGGACAGCGGTGATGGCAGAGGTGGGCCTGTGGGGCTGTGGCCGTGTGGAGACGCCCTCCCCGCAGCCTGTCTCAGCCTGTCTGTCCACGCTATGTCCGTGGGCTCCCTGAGGGTCTGCGGCCCCCAAGCTCTCAGCCCCTCGGCCGGCCACCACATCCCCACGGACGCTGCCCTGGCCGCCACTTACCTACAGCAAACCTCTCAACCTCTAAACACCATGTGAGCAGACCGCCAAATGCAAAGAACCCAAACTCTTAGCGCCATTCCTCACCAAGAGGGCCACACTGTGTGCTTACAACACTGAAAATACAGCACATACGACAACACAAAACAACACGAAGAAATTAGGAAAACTGAAAACTGAGAGCGCAAAAAAAAAAAAAGAACTTAAATATAATATAACAACAACAAATCAAACAGACCCAAGAACTGAAACGAGAGAACAGTACGGCAAGAGACAGAGAGAGCAAAAGAGGGAGAAAGAGAGGGAGAGGGAGAGGGAGAGAGGGAGGGAGAGAGGGAAAGAAAGAGGGAGAGTGTGCGCACGAGAGAGAGAAAGAGAGGGAGAGAGAGGGAGGGAGAGATGAGAGAGTGAAAGGGAGAAAGCTCAGGGGTGAGCGAGAGCAAGAGCACAGCAGGTCGTGGGGCAAACGGCTCCGATGCGGTGGCACAGGCAGCAGGGCTCTGGGGGCTGCGGGGCTGTTTCAGGGAGCAGCAGGAGCTCAGAGCCCGGGGCCGAGTGGGCTGTTAGGGAGCCACACTCAGGTCACCCCCTTCTCCGTCGGGGCCATCTCACCTGCAGGGCAAGTTCCCTGTCACTGCCCCCCAGGCAGTGGCCCCGGGTGCACGTACCACGCTGTCAGCCAGTGGCAGAGAGGTGGGGCGCTCCTTCCTGCTGAGAGGGGGACAAGGGCAGCAGTGAGAGGCGGCCCGGGACAGGGGAGTGTCTCCACACTGACAGCCAGCCTTGCTGGACAGTCTGCTCATGCCCGGCTAAGCCCTTCCCCCACTTCCTATGCCCCAGGCGCTCACCCCCCACGTCCATCCATCGGGGACCTCGGAAGCCCCCCGAGGGGCCTGGCTGTGAGAGGCGGCAGGGCTGGGGGTTGGGCAGAGTGCCCGGGCCAGCACAGCCATGGCAGGAGTCCCAGGGGCTATGGCTCAGCTCCGTGCATTTCTGGGTGGCATATCCCACCCCAGAGGGCGAAGGGTAGGGGCTGGGCCCCGGACAGGCCTCACTGCAGGGTGCACAGCTGCCAGCCCTGCCGCAGCGTTTCTGACTGGCGAGTCAGCGCTGCGCTGGGGCTGGCGTCTGTCCCCAAGGGGCAGGAAACACACCTGGTGGACAGAGGAACCTGCAGACGCTGCCCCACTCCCCCCCCACAGGGGCCCGAGGCCGGCAGGGGTGTGGGTTGCAGCCCACTGCGGCTTTACCTCTTCCTCCACGACTGGCGTGGGCTGCACCGAGAGCCGGGTCAGCACAGGCGGCACAGGTGGCAAAAGCGAAGAGCGAGGCAAGAAGACACAGTCAGGACCAGCAAGGCACAGCCCACTCTCCCCAGAGCCCAGAGAGGGATGGACCCACCGCAGCAGTGTAGGAAGGAGCCTCCACACAGTGGTGGTGCAGACACACACACACAGGAGCACGCATGGGCGCATGCACACGACACACAGGCATGCACACAGGCACACACACGGGCATGCACACAGGCACGCATACAGGCATACACACAGACATGCACAGACACACAGGAACACGCACACACAGGCACACACGCACAGGGGCCTGGGAGCCCCAGGCACTGGGGCACCTGAGTGCTGGGTGGAGCCTCAGTGAGCACCATGGGCCTTGGTGGGGACCCCAGAGAGGAGAGCTGCAGTGAGAGCCAGCGCTCGTGGGAGACGCCCAGCAGCTGAGCTCCCTTTCCTCCTGCCCGTGTCCTGTGCCCAGGCCAGGAGGACACAGAGGGGCTGCCCTGCGGAGGGTGGGGTGCTAGGTGCGGGGACGCGCGGGGACCTGCTCCCACACATCCAAGCCCCGAGAGGAACCGGCAGGCTGGGGGCTGGCGCCATCAGACCCCAAGGAAGTGCCACCAACTGAGGGGCCTCTCCTGGACCCGGGGACAGTGGCAGCCAGGCAGCGCCTGTGGGGTCCTACCTGCGGCCCGGCACGCTGCTCTCGGCCTGGCTGCTGCCCCCAATCTGCTGCATCTTGGACCTCTCAATGTGCTCCACGTACGTCTGGATCATCTGTGAGGAGAGCCAGGCGAGGAGGTTCACGGACACGCCCCTGAGAAGGGCCTGTGGCTACAGGCTGCCCCTACTTCTGTCCTGGGCACCGCAGAGCAAGCCGCCCCCCAGGCCCACCTCGGTGTGTCGCTGGTGAAGGGCGTTGTACTCCTTCTTCATCTCAGACTCGCGTTCCTCCAGCCGGGAAACTGGAAGGTGAGGGCCCGGGGCTCAGGGCAGGCCGCGGCACTCCAGGTGGGTGGCCAGCGGGGCCCAGCTCCCGGTCCACACAAGGGCAAAAAGCAGGGTGGCCATAGTCCCAGGTCAGCCCAGAGTCTGTGTGGGCTGGTCAGGGTGGCGTCGTGTGGCAGCACTTACTCTGGTCAGCGGAGTTCCGGGCCTTCAGCTCCAGCTGCCGCGCCTGCACTTCGAGGTGCTCCAGCTGTTGCTGCAGCTCCTTCTTCTCCTGCTCCAGAGCATCTTCGAACTCGATGAATTTCTGAACGTGCAGAGAGGGGAAAGCAGGTGTCGGGGGGGCGGGGCAGCATGGCCAGCCACAGGGCAGTGAAACCCTCGGCCAGGAGTGCTGGGGCCTGCGGGCAGCACCAGCCAACCAGCCCCGGTCCAGGCGCAGGAAGCAGCAGCCGCCAGCCCCCGCAGTAGTGCTCAGGGCTCCCTCCTGGCACTGTGAGAGGGAACACAGGGGGTTCTGGGACTGAGCCTTGGTCAGCCAGGTGCGTGTCCTGGAATGTGTGTGTGAGGTGACAGATGCGTGCCCTGAAAAGTGTGTGTGTGTGTGTGTGTGTGTGTGTGTGGTGACAGGTAGCGCCCTGAACTGTGAGTGTGCATTCACAGGCGTGCCCTGTCACCAGTCCTGGGCCTGGGCTTCCTCCTCCCCTTTGGAACATCATGGCCCAGAGAAGTGGCCCCGACTTCTGCCTGGTATGTGTATACATTGCTGTGCAGTGCCTGCCATGCTGGCTCACCCTCCGGCCTCTGCAGCAGAGGGCCGGTCTGGTCACGTTCTTTCCCAAGCATCTCACTCGCCCTGGTTCTGGGTCTGGGGAGGTCTGCGCCGAGGGTAGCTGTGCCATCCCCTCCCTCACTGCACAGATGGCCCTTTCTGGTGCTCATTTCCAGTGATGCTACAATGGCTTTTTGTCTTCAGGTCTGGGGCAACACCTGTGGTTCTCAGGGCCTGCTCCTGGCTGTGCACTTAGGGATCCCACCTGGAGGAGCTCAGGGGACCACAGCAGGTGCTGGGGATCGAACCCAGGTCAGCCATGTGCAAAGCAAGTGCCCTACCAGCTCTACTGTTGCTCTAACCCAGAATCCACTGCTTTACAAGTACAGGGAAGAGACTGAAAAAGCAAGAGTGTGTGTGTGTGTGTGTGTGTGTGTGTGTGCGTGTGTGCGCGCGTATGTGCAAATACATTTGAAAGGCCGTACACATCTCTCCGTATGATGCCCATCAATGACTGGGTGATGCTGCATGAACAAGTCATTCAAATACGCACACTGCACACAGTCCAAACATGCACATTGGCACGTGCGTACAGTCCAGCTAGTCCAGGGAGGGCAGTAGAGGCTCAAGCTCGCCCTGTTTACCCTCAGCTTGTCCCCAGGAATCACAATGGTCCTGTCATCAGAAGCTTTCCTGGGGACACAGACCCGAAGGCTCAAGTCCCCGCCCCTACCTGTCCCCAGTCCCAGCAGAAAAGCTTGTTTGTGCTCTGTGGGACCCCGCTGGCTCTGGGGACTCAGATGGGAACCTCAGGTGCACATGCAGAGCGAGAGCCAGTGCTGGGCCTGTCTCACTGAGAACGCCACCAGCGCAGCAGGGGAATCGCAGGAAGGCGCGGCTCAGCCTCCCGGCAGCCAGGAGGGCGCCTGCCTCCCCTGCAGGATCATGTTGCATAACCAGGAACGGGGCTGCTTGGGCAGTGCTGGCTCTGGGTGTGGCAGGGCCTGCTGGCACAGCTGCGCCTCTTGCAGCATTCCCCCCCCACCCAGTGATATGCAGTGGGATTTTATTTTCACTTTTGGGGGGTAATGTTAAGGGTCCATCCTGGCAGGCCAGTTCCTTAGGACATTTGATGGCCAGCCGGTGGCAGCTGTCCAGCAAGGCTCCCTGAGCAAAGGCCCCGTCCCAACCTTCGACTTTCCAGGAGGGAACTCAGTGGGTAAGAGAACACGAGCATTGGCAAAACCTGCAGGACTTTCAGAAGCCACGATAGATCCATCTTGCTCTGGCCAATTCCTGGCCAATCCTGTGCACCAGAGACCCAGGATGCCCTGGGCCTTCGGCATGGCCATGGGCCTGCCTCTCCAGCCAAGTGTCGGTGCTGCGCGTCCCTCCTACCTGTGCAGGCGCAAGGTCATTTCCCACAAGCAGTGGGGTCAGGGCCACTGCCGGGCATGGAGAGCCGAGGGGCCGAGTTCTCAGCTCAGGGTCTGAGCAGGCACATGCGTGTGCCGGCCATGTGTCCATATTCTCATTTTGTCCCCCGGTCCAGACTGAGGGAGGGGCTTCTCCACGGAACCCGATGAGGCAACCTGATGGGGCTCGCCACACTGTAGGCACGACAGGCTCAGCACCAGCCCTTCTCCCTCCACAAGCCTTGCGAGAACTTGCTAGACGCCTGCCTCCAGCCTCCAGCCTCCAGACTTGCCAGCCAAGCATCTGGGAACATCTATCTGTTCTTATGTAAGCAGCGGGGTCTCCAGGGGGCTCCTTGCAAACCAGGGGCATGCCCCTGCTCCCGGTGGGCCAGGACACGTACCACCCAGAAACCTCTGTGCCAGGGTTGGAGCCCCAGGTGTGCCCTCTCACTCCGGCCTCGGGCGGGGGCAGAGCCCAGCACAGCCCACACTGGCTGGCCTGCAACTGTACCTCTGCCACCCACCCCAGTCACGGCACGGGAGGAAGGGCCGGGCCAGCCAATGGGGTGGCCTCTGAAGCCCGTGCCCAGCTCCAGCAGTCCTCCCCCACTGGTGCTTGGCGCTCTGCCTTGCACCAACACCTTGAGCTGAGCTCTGAGTGGGTGGTACAACCCCCAGCAACAGTCACTGCCAATCTCTGGACCACCCGCGAGAATAAACATGCAGCGAGGGTGACCGAAGCACGAGCACTTCATCAACGTGCCACATCAAACCTGGGCACAAAGCACTTGGCAGAAGCCACACACCGCAGCGACCTTCTGCTTCCCAGGGACAGCCACGTCCATGCTGAGCCTGATGGACGGAGGTCGTCAGCCCCACGGAGGTTGTCAGCACAGTGCCCAGAGTGCCCATGTTGGGCTGAGCCATTGTCATCTGGCTGAGGGCACCATACTCAGAGCAGGGGTGTGCGTGAAGAGGAAGGCAGGCTCCACACTGTGCACACGCTCCCGACCCTGCACATACATGCTCATACCCCCAAATACACGCGCTCCCAACCCTGCACACACATGCTCATGACCTCCAAATACACATGCTCCCGACCCCCCCACATACTCATGACCCCCAAATACACATGATCCCGATCCCGCACACACACGCTCATGACCCAGCATATGCAACTCCATACACACACCTTGCACATGCACCGACTCTGCACACACATGCTCCCAAACCCGCACATGCACACTCCTGATCCCACACATCCACCTCCCAACCCCACACATGTAGGCTCGCAACTCCACACACACACAACTCGCACATGTACTTCTCAATCCCACATACTCATGACCCTGAACATGTACTCATGATCCCGCACACGCACTCACAACCCTGCACACACATGATCCTGCACATGCATGCTCATGACCCTGCACACGCATTTTGTGACCTCGCACATGCATGCTAGCAACCCCAAATATGCACGCTCCTGACCCCACACATGCACCTCACATGCACCTTGCACACACACACTCATGAACCTGTACACCCACACTCGCGACCTTGCAAAAACTCGTGACCCTGCACATGCACACTCATGAACCTGCACATGCACACCATGACCCCGCACATGCACACTCGTGACCTTGTACACACACTCATGACCCCACATATGCACACTCATGACCCTGCACACACACACACTTGTGACCATACACACACACCTGTGACCCCACATATGCACACTGGTGACCCCACACACACACTCTTGTGACCAGGCACATACACTCGTGACCCCACACTCCGCACATGCACTCATGACCTTGCACACACACACACTCGTGACCCCACACATGCACGCCCGTGACCCTGCACACGCATGCCTGTGACCCCAGCTTCCAGGGCAGAGCTCCGGAAGCAGCACCCACAGGGAAACCCCTGCCTCTCCAAGGCTTCTATCAAGACAGCCACCACGACCTCACTCCAAACAGTCCATCTCTGCAGCCCTGCAGTCTGCGGGGGACCCACCAGTGTCCACCCGCACCCCATTCAGGTGGTGACCTTCAAAACTGCTGGGGGGATGGTCCCAGGAGCATCCCCCCACACCCCTCCCCGTGACCGTGCCCAGAAGGCTGGGCACCGATGGAACTAGAGGTAGGACCTGGGGGTGGGCTCGTGGTTCGGGAAACACAAAAGCAGAAACAGAGTCAGCGAGGGGACTGACCAGATCAGGAGCGATCACCGAGAAAGGACGCGGGGCACATTGGGAGGGGCGGCAGGCAGGCCACCCCCGGCAGGGCGGGGTCGGGGGGACACCTCGTGGGGGGAGGGAGCCGGGCGGGCGCAGGGCGGGGCACGGGGCCGCGGGGTTGGGGGTGGACAGGGGCACGGGGCCCAGGGCGCGGGTTGGACACCGGCGCGGGGCGGACATAGCACGGGCCCGGCCGGGCGCGGCCTCACCTCCTCCGCCTGCTTACGCAGCGCCTTCTCGCGCTCGTACTGGGTGAGCAGCTGCTCGTTGTCCTCGCGCAGCAGCTCCAGCTCCACCTCGTGCTCCTGGTTCTCGCTCAGCACCGAGTCCAGGTTCTCCAGCACGTTGACCACAAGCGGCATGAGCTCCTTGACCACCTCCTCGTCGTAGCAGTGGATGAGGCGCTCGAACTCGCGGTAGATGGAGCCCGCCAGGCCCGACACCCGCTCGGACATCACCGAGCCCGAGCAATAGTCGTCCTGGTACACCACCACGCCGCCGCCCTCGTCCATCTGGATCTCCATCATGGTCGCCATCGCCGGCGCGGCTCCGCGAGGCCGGCTCGCCCGGCCCAACCCGCTCCCACCCGCTCCGACGTCCGCAGGCCCCGGCCGGCCGCCGCTGTCGCCTCGGGGCCGCTCCGCCGCCGCCGCCGCCGCCGCGCCCGTCACTCAGCGACCGGAAGTCCCGCCCGCCGCCGCTGTCGTCTAGGGGCTGCTCCGCCGCCGCCGCCGCCGCGCCAGTCACTCAGCGGCCGGAAGTCCCTCCACGGCCGACGGGGCGGGGTCCGCGGGGCGGGTCCACCCGGCCCGTCCTGCGCTGTCCGGAGGCAACGGCGCGACCGGTCGCGGGGTCCCAAATGAGGGCTCTCGGCCCGACCGGCGCCACTTCCGGCCGGCACGGTTCTTGCCCTACTCGGGCTCCGTTTGCCCCTGCAGCAAAAATTTTTTAACTGAAGGCGAGACCGCTTAAGTGCCGCCATCACGAGAAAATGCGGCTGCTCCCCCGAGGGGGGCGCTCCGAACTCTCTAGAAAGTCCCCTGCAGGTGTGGTGACGCTGCCCGTGTGCCTCGGCTGGTGCAGGATGACTGACGCGCTCAGGCCAACCTGAGACCGACCTCACCTGCACGCTGGGCGGCCGCGGGGCTCCCGCCGGCTCGGTCCAGTGCCTCCGCCTCCCTCCCCCGTGCCAAGGGCCGAGCGCGCGCTGCAGGCCTTGTCTCCAGTCCTTTAGTGATAAAGGAGCCAGCCTAAGAACCATGATTGAACTTTCAGAGACTGAAGACATCAAAGGCACATTCTCAACCCTACTTAAACCCTCGTTTCCAAACTCAGAGGCCCTCAACTTCGGGATTCCTTAGGTCAGAAGTCCCTGCCGCCCCAGAGAGCCTGAACAGAATAACAGAGGGACTCAGGAGCCCGGCACACATGGACCAGGCAGCCAGGATGCACTGCAACGTTTATTTCAAGTGTTCCACCCAATTATGCCATGTAAAAAGTCAACGCTTACAAAATGTAAAAATAAGATGTTTCTATCAAAATTATACTGATTTGAGTACAGGTTTGTTTTTGGTATAGTTCTTAACGAGTTGGCACCAAATCTATAAACACGTGTTAAGGCTTAATTAAAAACAAGGAGCAACAAGGTTGATGCGCTGGTGACAGAACAGGGTTCCCAGCAGTGGCCGCTGGCCACTGGCTCCAGCTCAGGCCTTCTTCATTCCCTCTCCAAACCCCATCTGCACAACTACCCCTACCAGTGCACAGAGCCAACTCTTTCTCATTTAACTGGAAAAATAAATGTGTATGTGTGTGTGTGTGGGGGGGATGTTTTGGGGGGCAGGGGAGCCATAAGGCCAGCAGGAGTTAGGAGTCTTGATGATCAATGTGGAACCCCCTAATCATTGTGTTGTGTTTAAAAAAAAGTTATGGGCCGGAACGATAGCATAGTGGGTAAGGACAGTAGCCTTGCAGCATGGCCAACCTGGGTTCACATATGGTCACCCAAGCACTGCCAGGAGTAATTCCTGATGCAGAGCCAGGAGTAACCCCTGGGCACCACTAGTCCCCAAACAAAAACAAATCAAAAGAGAAAGAAAAGTTTGAATCAATAGCTTGCGGCTGCATCACCATGTCACTGTCAGTGAAACTAGTGTGTGGTGGCCTCAGACACATATAAGGGGGGAAATGCTCTGGACGAAAACAGAAGCACCTGGAAGTCACTTGGAACACGTGACTCGTCAGAGCAGGGAAGACAGGCTGCCAGTGGGTGCAGCTCCAACTGTACCAGGCTTGATGGTGGGTCGGGCTATGGCTTGAGAACTCCATTTCAGCGGCCAGGCCACCAGACCGCCTTTGGGAGTGCTGGGAAGCACAACAGGAGGCACTTTTGGAAGATGAAAGCAACCCTGCTCTGCCAGCAGCAATCCTGGAGTCGGCTGGTGGAGGCCTCTGTCTACTGGCTGTGGCCTCCTGGGTGGGGGCCCACTGACTATGGCCCAGGGCACCCTGAGCAAACCTCCCCTTCTCTGCGTACCTGAGCTAGGGGGTTTTCTAGAAAGGTGAGACACCTGAGCCCACAGTGAGGGTCCTTGAGGGTTCAATTCACAGAGGATGGCTTCTTCCCACCATTGAAGAGGAGAACCAGCCTGCGGGGAGCTTAGCCACACTTCTGGGTGGCAGGAGCACTTGGGAAAGAGGGTGGCCTCTGCCAGCACCGGGCCAGGAGACCAGCAGCCAGGCTTCTGTGAACAGCTGTGGTGGAAAGGAAGAGAGATGGAGCAAGTGGCCGTGTCTCAGAACAGCATGCAGAGGTCAGCAGCTAGCACGGGCTCTGGGGGCCGTCCCAGAGACTCCCAGTATCCTGCCTTTGGCCTGCTCTGGCCCCTACCCACACCCGCCCTGGTCTTCACGCTGGGGCCTGCAGAGAGGTGGAGACCAGGGAAGCCAATGGGCTTCAGCATCTATAATGAGGTTGAGCCCCCAATGATGACAGCAGGGGCACTGGCATCTGGAAGGTGAGGTCTGGGCTCAGGGGAAAGGGCATGGGCTTCTGGCCTCAGTAGAAGGAGATGCTGGATTTGCCTCCAGGTGGATTGAGAACTTTGTTATGGGAGCGTGGCCGGGGCCCCAGCCTGGGCTCGTGGCTGTCGAGTTCAGGCATGGGTGCAGTGTTGCTGTTGTCTGTTGCCTGACCAGGCGCTTCTCCAGGGGCCAAATTGGCAGCAGCTGTGAACAGAGGTGGCACAGCGCCCGTCAAAGGACAGAGGAGGACACCAGCTCCCTAGAGGGGAAGAAAGAATGCCCTCGGCACCCCACCCTGCCCATGATGCATAAGGAACAAATCAGCCCAGAGCTGGGAAGGCCCTGGCCCTGCCCTCAGGAGCTCAGGGCAGGTGCTGGGCTTCAGACACTAGATCAGCTGCCTGAGGAGGCCATGCTGACCACCAGGGAGAGATGAAGGATAGCGACCAGCTGATAAGTTTTCAGCAGTGCTGAGCGGTGGTCTCTGGCCTGGAGCAGAACACACAGCTCACCTGTTGGCTCTGGATCCGGATCACCACCTTCACACATGAACGCATGGTCCTGTAATGAGCAAGTCCCACGTCAGTACTCTGTCCTGTACTGCCACTGGCCCTCCGTAAGGAGCCCCTCCTGGTCAGCACCCAGATACTCTCCTCACCCAACAACATTTCAGACCATGGGTCTTAAAATCATTTAAAAATTCTGACCAGGGCTGGAACAATAGCACAGCGGGTAGGGCGTTTGACTTGCACGCGACCGACCCAGGTTCAATTCCCAGCATCCCATATGTCCCTCGAGCACCGCCAGGAGTATTTCTTGAGTGCATGAGCCAGGAGTAGCCCCTGTGCATTGCAAGGTGTGACCCAAAAACAAATAAAATAAAATCACTGTCACTGTCCTCCCGTTGTTCATCGATTTGCTCGAGCGGGCCCAGTAACGTCTCCATTGTGACAACAGTTGCTGTTTTTGGCATATTGAATACATCATGGGTAGCTTCCCAGGCTTTGCCGTGCGGGTGAGATACTCTCGGTAGCTTGCCAGGCTTTCCAAGAGGGGCGGAGGAATCGAACTCAGGTCGGCCATATTGGCCGCTTGCTCCTTGCCCTACCTGCTGTGCTATCGCTCCAGCCCCAAAATAAAATTAAATAAATAAAAATTCTAACGAGACAGAATACAATGGGTAGGGCATTTGCCTTGCACGCAACCGACCTTGGTTTGATCCACGGCATCCCAATAGTCCCCCCAGCACTGCAGCAGTAATTCCTTAGTGAAGAGCCAGGAGGAACCCCTGAGCACCACTGGGTGTGGCACCAAAACAAATTAAAAAAAAATTCTAAACAGGAGAGCTGGTGATAGTATAGCGGGTACAGAGCTTGGATCCCTGAACATCACTCAAAGTAAACGCTGAGGAACACTGGGTGTGAACCCCTAAAACAGGGGCCCTGGAGGGCACTCCTAGCAAATCCTGGCTGAGTGGTGAGGTGCCGGGCAGGTGCTAGGGCCGGAGCTTGGGCCCTGCATGTGCATGCCCTCCCCTCGAGCTGTCTCCTGGCCACATGAACTCCTATCTTGCAACCAACAACCCCCTGCCCATTTCTGATACAGAGCAGAGTGGGAGCTGAGGAAGGTCTCACTGTGCCTGGACCTGGGCCTCCCTGCTGGCCACTGGCGTACTTACCTATGTTCATTCACTCATTCAAGTGGCAGCCAGTTTCTTAACTCAGTCACTTTATTGTCAAGCTGAGTTTGTAAGCTCTTGTTGTGGTCTCGGTCAGGACTGGGGAGGCGGGGGGGGGGGGGGGTCCCTCCTTCTGTCCATGGCCATTTTGATATTTGTAAGGTCCATCGAGCCATATAATACAGGCCATGGGAAAGAAATGGTGTGTCTCTCCCATCCTGTGACAGGGACAGACCTAGGATTTTTGGGGTCTCTTGAGCCCACAGGCAATGCGGCCTGTTCACTCTCAGGATAGCATCTTTGAAAGTACACATTTTTCTTTTATGGCAGGGCAGGTGTGGATGTGGGTGTGGGTGTGCCCACATCTGATGATGCTCAAGGAAATATATTTCTGGTGGTGCTCAGGGGACCATACGGGTTGTTGGGGATTTGAACCCAGGTGGGTTTTGTGCAAGGTAGCAACCTCCCCGCTGTATTACCTCTCCAGCCCCAGGAAGCAGTAAGTTTTTCACTTAAAAAGCCTAATTTTTTTTTTTTTTTTTTGCTTTTTGGGTCACACCCGGTGATGCTCAGGGGTTACTCCTGGCTCTGCACTCAGGAATTACTTCTGGAGGTGCTCCCTGAGATGGGATGCTGGGAATCGAACCCGGGTTGGCCGCGTGCAAGGCAAACGCCCTACCCTCTGTCCTATTGCTCCAGCACCCTTTTTTTTTGGTTTTTGGGTCACGCCCAGCGATGCTCAGGGGTTACTCCTGGTTCATGCACTCAGGAATTGCTCCTGGCGGTGCTCAGGGGACCATATGGGGTGCTGGGAATCGAACCTGTGTCAGCCATGTTGGCTGTGTGCAAGGCAAATGCCCTACCCGCTGTGCTATCGCTCCAGCCCCTAAAAAGCCTAATTTAAAAAAAAAAAATTTTTTTTTTTTTTTGCTTTTTGGGTCACACCTAGCGATGCACAGGGGTTATTCCTGGTTCTGCACTCAAGAGTTACTCCTGGCGGTGCTCAGGGGACCATTTGGGATGCTAGGAATCGAACGCGGGTCGACTGCGTGCAAGTCAAACACCCTACCCGCTGTACTATCTCTCCAGCCCCCAAAGAGCCTAATTTTTTAACTTCAAATTTTCTCAGTTCTGTGTTTCTTGGAGTCACACCAAAGAAACCAGTGATAAATCTAAGATGACAAAGGTATGTGCTCACTGCTTTCTCTTATAGCTCCAGCTCCGGCACATGGTTGTGAGCAGCACTTCAATTTCCCCTGCACGTCTGCTGAAAGAACTCCTCTCCTGCAAGCACACTGGGCTCAGTGCAGGAAAGCACCAGCTCCTACACCTGCCTCACTGCTCTCTCTTCATGGTGAATCCAGACTGCCCATCACCGCTCTCTCTCTCTCTCCTCACGCTGAGTTCGAGTGCCTGTAACTTTGTTGTGAATTTTTTTTTTTTTTTTTTGCTTTTTGGGTCACACCTGGCGATGCACAGGGGTTATTCCTGGCTCTGCACTCAGGAATTACACCTGGCGGTGCTCGGAGGACCATATAGAATGCTGGGAATTGAACCCAAATCGGCTGTGTGCAAGGTAAACGCCCTGCCCTCTGTGCTATTGCTCCAGCCCCTGTAGTGAATCTTAACACTGGCAAGTGTGAGCTTTCCAACTTTATTATTTACGTTTTGGGATTACACCATCCAGTGCTCAGGACTTACTCTTGACTGCATTCAGGAATCACTTCTTGTGGTGCTCAGGGAACCATACAAGGTGTCAGAATTCAAACCCTGGTCCACCACGTGCAAGGGAAGCATCTTCTCTGCTGTACTGTCATTCTGGCCTCTCATTTTACTTATTTTTTTATTTATTCTGACTTGTTTTCAAGATTATTTAGCTATATGGGGTCCCATAAGACCCCAGACCCTTTGAGGATAGGTTTTTCTCATTTTCTCAATTAGACATGGCTGGCACTTTGATAAGAACTGCATTCTAACTATTTATGGAGGGGTGGGAGTGGGAGTGGGCAAGAACCCAGGCTTTTGGTCGCATATAGTGGTCCTCGTGGACCGCAGGTAGTGCTGGGGACCATCCAGGACTGGCTGCATCAAGGCAAGCCCCTTCTCTGCCATCCATCTCTCTGACCCTGGGGCTGTGTTCTTGGACACTTCTCTTGGGGCAGCCACTGAACCCAGAACTCTATGGTCATCTGCCAGCTCGCAGCAAGGGTGATTCAGGTTTATGCTAGAAGAGCTCAGATTCCAGCCAGGCTGGCTTTGCCGGGTGCTGACCTCTGACCTCTGCTCGCTCTGACACTAGAGGACACTGAGGACTGCCCAGTGTCACATCCCCACTGCAACTTTCCACATGGGTGCCGCTGGGTTGAAAAGCCCTTGAAGAAAGCATCCTGAAATGCCCTCCAGCAGTTGCCTGGCCTCTCAGCACATGGTTGGTTATACTTTGACACTTTCCTAAGTGATGTATTGAGGCTCAAAAGTCCAGTGTGGGGCCTGGAGAGCTAACACAGGGTTAGCTGGAGCGCTGGTCCCGGAGAGCTAGCAGAGTTAGCTATGGTGCATACCTTGGGTTTGTTTGGGTGTGCCAAGGGCACAGCAGCAGCCACGGGGGACCCAAAGATGTTGCTGGTCTTGCCCCCTGGTGGGTTCAAGCGCTGTCGAGGCTGCAGGGGTGCTGGAGCCTCAAAGATGCCACTTCCTTTCCCTCCTGCAGAGCAAGCAGAGAATGAGTGCCCAACGCTTCCTTCCCCCCTGCAAAGCAAGCACAGCCTGAGTGCCAGAGCATCCTGGACCGAGCCAGGGGGCACTGGCCTCTGGGTGAGGACCCCCTACTTCTGAAGAATCAGGTCTGTCTGGCCTACAAACCTAGCCACTCTTCGCTTGTCATCTTCCGAAGAGCATTTGGCGTAACACGCCAAATGCTCTTCGGAAGATGACAAGCGAAGAGTGGCTAGGTTTGTAGGCCAGACAGACCTGATTTAGTAACGTGCCCTGGCAAAGTGACTGCCCTCTGGGAGGTGACGTTCACTTGTCATTCTTGTCGCCTCATTCCCAGTGAAACCTCCAGTGACAACTAGATGTGGGTGTCAGTGAGTAACAGACACTGAACATCTCTGCTGTCAAACAGTGATTTGAACAACCATGAAAAAGACAGGTATGGAGGGCCTGAGACAAGTGCAACATTGCAGGAAGGTGCCACTTTGCACATGGTCAACCTCAGTTCAATCCCTGGCCGGCATATGTTCCCCCAGATACCATCTGGGATCACTCCGGAGCAGAGACAGAAATAGTGCCTGAGCTTCACCAGCAATGGCTGCCACCCCCCAAACACACAGAACACGTATCTAGTGGCTGCGGAGAGCAATCAATATGCTGGAGAGTGGGCTCTGAACACAGGAGCCCCAACAGGAGTGAGCCCCAAGTGTGGAGCTAGAGGAAGCCCTGAACACCTCCTGGTGTGGCTTCAAAGCCAGTAAGCATACACCCATCAAAGCTCACGTAGAAGATAACTGAGGAACAGTCATGCTAAGAAACCATGCAGGGCCCAGCAGCAGTGCCACACCCATCAAAGCTCACGTAGAAGATAACTGAGGAACAGTCATGCTAAGAAACCATGCAGGGCCCAGCAGCAGTGCCAAGGCAGCCTCACAGTCAGACTCCAAACCCAGGAAAATGTGCCTTCTTACTGATGAGCAGAGAACAAGGCCAGCACCCAGACCTGGAAGAAGGCCAGCTTCTAGGACCAGAAAGAGCAAGTTCTGGGGAGTTCTGGGTCACTACACAGCCTTGGCAGAGAGCAGCAGTGCCCCAGAGCAAGTCTATCCAGAAACACACACTGTGGTCCCTGCATTGCTATTCACAACCGCCACTTCTGGAAACACCCTCACAACCAGGGTGTAGAGAAGACACAGTCTATATCCACAGTGGAAGAGATTCAGCCCCAAGAGGAAGTCTCATCCTTTGTGACCCTACAGGGGGTGGGTCATGTTAAGTGAGACAAACACTAGGTGGTCTCACTCCCAAGTCTCTGGGGATGTAGACACGGAGCAAGCAAAGTAAGTGGCCCCACACCCACCCTCGACCTGGGACCAGGAGGACCCCCAGCAGTGCTGACTTGGCTTTTGAAGAGCAGGACAAAGCTCAGAAATGGGGGGGGGGGGGTGGAGATGCACACTCAGCCTGAAAAGCAAAGCAATAAACATTCCCCTGCAGTCCACTCTGAAGCTCAGCACTTGGCAGGTGCTAAGGGTGGGGCTGGAGGCACCTGAAGCCTTCTAGAAGGAAAGAAAGGCAGGTGTTTGTTTGCTCAGTAGCCACAAGACTGGGCCTTCCTCAGAGCTGGGGGTGGGCGGGTTCTGCACCAAAAGCTTCTAAGGTGCTTGGACATGGGCTCACCCAAGCAACCCGAGCAAGTGGGAAGTGCCCCCTGGGAACCCCAGTGACTCACTTTGGGCACATGAACTGGGTCCAAGGTTGCAGTTGACACCAATGGGCCTGTGCAGTTGACACAGGCCCTGGACTTGGTGTGCAGAGGCAGCGCAGAGAGATGCAAGCGTGCAGCTGAGCCCTGGCAACTCCCATGATGAAGCAGCGCTGGGGAGGAACGCGCGTGAGGGGGCAGAGGCCAGCACCAAGTGGAGCAGAGACAATGCTGCGGCATGATGGGCAGTCAGGCCCTGAGAGACTTAGGCCCTATAGCCCAGACCAGGCGACTCCCAGAGAGCGAGTGGCAAGTTCACCTTGCCCCACCGCATGCACAATAAGCAGGAACTTGGCTTCACCCTGGCTGTCACCCATGGCCTGGACACTCAGCAGTCTGGCCAGGGGGTTCAGGCTGCCAAGGCAGAGCTGTGGTTGAGCCAGTCTGCAGGGTGCCCAAGCCTGGCTGCTCCCAAGCTGTTGGCACACTCTCTGAGTGGCCTAGGAGGGAGTTCACCCCTTGCCACCTGCCACCCCCTCCCCCAACTGCTTCATGGTGACCACAGGCCAAGAGACGCCGACCCTGCATCTACCCCAGCCCAAGCCCCCAACCAACTTCAAGCTTTTGTTGGCTCTGTGCTTTTTCGTCCCTTTTTTGGCCAAGAACAGTCTGTGGCCAGAGTGAGCAGGTCTGGTCTGGCTGTGGCCTGGGTTCATTATCTGCCTTAACACTCAGACCTCTGAGGGTACTGGGGAAGGCACCCCCACAAGTGCAACTCAGCTGGTGGTCTGGCTCTGAGAATCTTGCCTGTGACCATAGGAGACGAGACTTCCCTCACCCAGTGACTGGGTTCCTCCCTGCACCAAGCACTTTGTTCAGAGGATGTGGGACCCCGGGGGGGGCCTCAGGGCCAGGACAGCAGAGGGAAGAGCTGATGAAAACAGGCCCAGGGCTGACGGTCCCCAGGACACTACCTGGTGGGTTGGTCCTCTTCGGGAGGCTCTGAGGTTCCTCAGTGGGCCCAAAGATATTCGAGGCCATCCTGTTGGGCCGACTTGCTGGTGTGGCTTCTGCTGCGCTTCCAAATGGGCCACTCTCTTCTCCTGAGGGCGGCGTGGGTCTGCAAGCAGAGCTAAGCGAGTCAGCACTGGGGGCATCCACCTCTCCTCCGGGCTTCCAGCCTCTCCCCTGTGGAGGTGGTGTTTGGTCGCCTCACAACACCAAGACACGCCCCCCGGCCCCCACACCTGTGGAGCTGGTTATTGGTCCTCTGGCCTCACAGCACCAACACCGCCCCTCCCCCCACACCTGTGGGCTTCCGGTCCCTCCTCTTTGGCGCTGGGGGTCTCTGGGCTTCGCAACACTGATCCCTCCACCCCCGCCCCCACCTCCGTGGGCGTCCAGTTCTCCTCTCTGTGGGGCTGGGCGTCGCCCGGCCTTACAGCACTGAGATACACACACCTGCGGGTGTCCCCCCTCTGTGGAGCTGGACATCGCCGGGCCTCACACACTGGACCTGGCTTTTCCAAACATCTGTGTTAAGTGACCCCCTTTGGGGTAGCTCACAGTGGCCATGTGGCCTGCTGGCCTCCCTGCTTTCCCTGAACGTCCTGGGCATGCCACAGACCCCAGAAATCTGCCTCGCACAAAGTTCCTGCCATCTGTCCTCAGAGAACCGTCTCCTGCGCCAGCGCGGCGCGTCTCGGGCGGCCCCGGCCGGCGTGGACAGGCCCGGGCCGCCGGCCAGCGGCGGAGGCTGCGGGAGGGAGAAGCCGCGGGCGTCGGTCTCCTGACTCTGCGCTCTTTGTTCCGCGTCGGGGCCACACCCGCGGCGCTGAGGTGAGCCCGCGTCAGCAGAGCGTCTGCCCCGCCGGCCGGAGGGTTCGGGCGCCGCGGGCGCTGCAGGCGGGGGGTGCCCGCACGCGCCTGACCCCCGAACACTTGGGTGCCCCCCCATGCCCAAGCTCACGCCGCTTGTCCCCTGAGGCCGCCCGCCCGGTTCCGGGAAGCAGCGCGCAGAGCCCGGACTTCGGGGCACGGGGGCCGGGGCCGGGCGGGACCCCAGACCCCCGCGCAGACCCCCGGCGGCGCACGGCCCGCGCCCGAAGCCAGGACGCGCGGTGGCCGGGCCGGGCTGACGGGTTCCGCGGCCGCGGCGCGTCAGGGTCGGGCGAGCAGCACCTGGCCGGGGAGGTGGCGCGGCCGCGGGCGCCCAGGGCTCGGGCCTGAGCGAAGCCCCCGCCCCACGTCCCGCCGCACCTGGAGCCCGCAGCACCGCCCGCGCTCTCCGGGGCCCGGAACATGTCGCTCCGCCGCTCCAGCGCCGCCGTTCTGCCCGCCGGCCCCGCGCAGCCGAAGGCCCGCCCTCTCGCTGCCCGCCCATTGGGCGCCGTGGCCGCCCGTCGCGCCGTCCTCGCCAATCAGGGCGGCGCGATGCCCGCGGTCGATTGGCGGGAGCGGGTGCCGCTCACAGGCTCTGGCTTCGGCATTGGGCGGCAGCCGTGGGGGGGAGGGGCGTCCCGGAGGCGGAGGTGGCGGCGCTGTCGTGGGGCGAGGCTGGGCCGCCCACCGTTTCCCGAGACGACCCGACCCGCGCAGAGGCCGCGTCGGGGCCGCAGTGGGCGCTAGAGGACGACGGTCAGGTTGGCTGGGGGGGGACATCAGAGAAGGGCGTACCTGGGGGAACACGGACGCTGGGGGGAGGGCGGCAAAAGCAGGACATCGGGGCGGTGGGGGACACTCACTGGGAGGGACGCAGAGCTTGGGGAGCTGAAGAGAACAGGTGTCAGGACCTGTGTGTGAGAGGACCTAGAGCTGTGACACTTATGGAGGGTCAGGACTAGGGGGAGCGCAGGATCCCGACAGGACTAGCAAGAGTGCCCACACCCCCTTGCCTCTGAAATAGTGGGGTGCAGTGCCCTCAGCCCTGTGCAAGCAGGGTCGCCCAGATACCCCAGGGGTGGCCGTGGAGCAGGGTTGTGGAGAGACTCCAGGGGTGTCTGTGAAGCAGGGTAGTCCAGAGACCCTACTGGGGTCTCCCACTGACCCTGGTGGGTGTTGGGAGGTGGGACCAGCGCCCCACACGTGACACACAGGCAGAGACCATCTAGTTACATCAAGTATTAGTATGTATTTACGCACAATAAAAACATTTACAAGTTGAACTGGAAATTTAAACATAAGAAGTTTAACAGTTTTTATTATATTAAATAACCAAAACACCTTTTATTCCCAAAATTGGTAAAGAATAAATAATATAATTTACAATATGGTACAAAAAATAATCAGGAAGAACAGGCATTCTGCTTTATACATACACTGTATATTTATAACCTATAAAACAAATTCACATCTCAAACAAGCCGACCACCTTAGATGATATGGCTTAAGGGTCTTCTGGAAGCAGCAGGGTGCTGCCAGCTCTGGGCACAGCAGAAGCAGGCTGGGCTGCAGGCTCTCCTGGCTCTATTTCCTCACAAATGCACCTGGTGCCTCTATATGGCCCCCCTCCCTGTTTCCAGGCCTCTGCTCCAGAACAGGTCTCTGCACAAGCGGGTTAGATTCAGAATGGGAAGAAAGAACACCACCCCTCACCCTGAGGGGCAGGAAGAGAGCAAACAGGTCTGGCTGCGGGCATTTGCAAACATAAGATACAGACAAATGATATCAGGACCCTTGGCCTCCTCACCCGTCAGAGGATCAGCTCAGCACTAGAGTCTTGGCCAGCTCAAATGCCCAGATGGGGAAGGCAAACACCCGCCATAGAAGTGTGGCACAGAAATGCCACAGGCCCGAGACAGGTGGAGGTCAGAGGTGTCTGCTCCATGCCTACACCAGCAGGGGGAGGTGACAACTGGGCACTTCAGCCACAAATGCCCCCTCCCCCCTCTGCAAGTGAGCCGTGAGAGCAGACTTCCTGTGTTTACCGAGATCCAGCTGGCCAAAGGGGAGGCTCAGTTTTGACCCCAGCTGCAGATGCTGAGTCCACCGGGTGGCAGCCAAGATGCCCACTAGGCTCTCTAGGGATCCCTGAGGATCCAAACTCTATACCCCGAGTGCCTGGCTCTGGTCCAAGCTCTCTGCCTTACTTGGCATCCCTGGTCAGACAATGGCTTGAACCCAGCCTGATGCCCTAATCCTCTATGGACCTAATGGTCAGGGCACAGAACGAGTTTACCGATCATGGTTGGCTCCAAAAGGTATGATAAAGTTCTGGAAGCAGATTCACCAACACCCGGGGAAAGAGGCCTGGTTCCGACCCCTGCTTTGGCCCTCAGCTTTAGGGCTGTTTGCCATTGGCATCTGGTAGCAGTTTGTACCTAGGGCCAGGGCTCAGTGCTGCCCGGAGGCCAGCCTGTCTCCTGCGGAGGTGAGTGCTGCTGAGACCCCACGAAGAGTGCGCCCCCTTTCGCCCCCATCCAGGGTAGCTGGAGTCTACATGGGAGGGGGGAGGGGCCGTGGAGAGGGCTGCAGCTGGCTGACGCTGAGCGGGGTTAGATCAAGGCTGAGGGACATAAACTGGCCACTCCAGGGACCAAAGAGGTTAGGCTAACTGGCTGCTGAGGGGAGAAGAGACAGCAGGTGGAGGCACTGCTGTCAACCCCCTGGCACAAGCACTCCGTGAAGGCCCAGGAGACAGCTGAGCTTCACCTTGCCCTGAGGCTCAGGGCCAAGGCATGGGCAGAGGCGCGCCCATGCACCTGGCCCGCTCTGCAGCCATGGGAGCAAACACACTTTCCCAGAGGTTCAGAGGGTCGCCTCGAGTCACAGAAAGGACGCTCGCGTCAGAGCACCAATGAGCACTGCCCCATTTCTCTCAGAATTTCTCCATTCTCCTCCTGTCGGTGGTCAAACCTCAGCAAGGGAAGCACAAGGAGAGGGCGGGGAATGCTGACTGCCCTGCCCTGTGTCAGTGTCCTTGGAGGTGTCTGCCGCCTTGGCTGTGGATACCACCAAGTAGGCCCCGGCCAAGCCCCGCTGCGCTCCCCGTCTTGGCTCCCAAGCAGCCAGCACAGGGCCAGGCTTGGCGGAAGAGGAGCAGCTCAGCAGCCTACCTGCTGGGCTCTCCAGGGCAAAGGCACCCCGAGCCTCTCTTCTGGCAACAGAACCTACTGGAATGTTCAACCCAACTGTGGAGGCAGAAACGTGGTGGAAGCAGGCCCCCCCACCCCCAGGGCCAGCATGAAGCCAGTTCTAATGCCAGCAGTCCTCGCAGACACCAGGGCACATCTCGTGGTCACCCTCTCCCTGCTCGACACTGGTGTGCCACCGTCTGTACGCCTCCCTGTACGTCACTGGGAAAGGTCACCGATGGGGGCACCGCTGCCGCCATCGAACAGAGCCTCTCGGCGGCCAGGGTCACTGATGGACAGCTCCTGGGCCAGGTCGTTGAAGCGAGATATGTAGTCCACGCTGTTCTCATTCATCATGCAGGCCAGCTGGGAATCCATGACCTGTGGGTGGGGAACAGGAGCAGCAGGTGAGACCAGGTGCCCCTGAGGGATCCAGCACCCAATGTGTCTGCAGTCCCGGGGGCACGGAGCCCAACACCCCTCCACACCCCATGAAAGGACGCAGAGGTTCCAGAAATGAGACGGGGGGCAGTGGTGTGCCGGAGGGCAGGCCCAAGTCAGGACACAGAGATCTACCTATGCGGTGCCCAGTGCCAGAGGGGCCTGGGGCCATTAATGAAGGTGACGTCCATGACAAGCGAACGTGAAGCCATGGTACAAGAGAAAGGGGAGCAAATCAGGCTGTCTTCCCTCGCCAGTCTGGCCTAGCTTCACTCCCTCGGTTACCTGCTCCTCAACCCCATGTTTCCACTAAGATCCATCAGGCCGTTTTCGCCACAACTATAAACACCACCCAACAACGCCAGGACTAGTCAAAATGACCCTCGAGTCCTTTTTACGGAATCCCTGCAGAGACCCTCCCCAGCAGTGTTGTGGTTGTGGGGGGGCACTGGAGTCACACCTGGGGGTAGTCAAGAGCCAAGTAGTACCAGGAATCAAACCAGGCTGAGTTCGTGCTCCAATCTGAGCGAGCTCAGGGACACCTGGGCTCTCACAAACCTCCTCAGCCCCATCAGTTTTGGACCCCTCAGCCAGCCAGCTGGGGCCAAGCTGGGGTACATCTCGGTGTCTGTGGTGCCGTGTCCATGGCGCTGAATGCTGGCAGCACCACGCAAACACAAAGCCAAACGCGACTCCGCCCACAAGCGTCAAGAGTCCTGGCTGTGCCCTGGCCCAGGGTTCTGGGCCCAAAGGCTCCGAGACCGGCTGGCCATGGGAGACTAGAGCGGACTCTGGCCTCCCATTTAGCGCCCGGCTGGAGCCCCCCAGAGCCTTCCCAGGAGTTGGCCAAAGCCCAGATTCCCAAAATTCTGGCAGGGGAAGCCAAATCAGACGGTAACCTCCTCGAGGGTCACCGTGAACTGATAGCCTGCAGAGTCAGAATAGGCAATGTCGGGAACACAGCTAGGCTGGGGAGGTGGGGGGGGGGGGGGGGGGGGTGGAGAAGGTCAGCACCCTGTGGCCACAGCATGGAGACCATGTGAGCAGAGACAAGCCCATGTGTGGCAGGACACCATGTTGCAGTCAAAAGATGAGGACTGTCCAGGGAGCTCCCCTCCCTGCCCAGGGCCTACTGTGCCCACTCCCACCCCTGCCCTGAGCACAAAAGACCTCCGGGAGCTCAGCAGGATACCTCCCATGAACCAGAAAGTAGGGGGAAGGTGCTGGAAAGAGCCGCCCTCAGGCTTCAGCTGCGCCACCACGTCCCACTGCAGATGGCTTCTGTCCTCAGGCCTCAGCTCCATGGCAGGCAGGGGAGAATGTGCTGGCCACTAGGCTCCTGGAGGGGAGGCCCTTACCTCTGCAACATCAGCCAGGGATCGAGACACAAAGGAGTCCCGCGAGCTTCCATCCAGCAGGCTGGGGCCCAGCAGTGAGGTGCCACTGTTGGTGCCAGCAGGCGTTGGCAGCATCTTCCGGCTCTTCTCTGGGGAGATGAAGCTGGCTGCAGAGGGGAGGAGCCCTGAGACAGGGTCTGTGGCAGGCAGCCCCACCTGCTCACAAGGGGGCACCAGGTACCACAGGAAGTTGAGACCAGTGGCTCAGGACTGCAGGCACGTGCACAGCTCATCAGAAGTGGACTGGGGTGGGGACCCTTCTTCTAGGGATGTTCTGAGCTTGGCTGCTAGCTGCAAATTCAAGCTAGTATCCTTATAGCAGACAGACCTTGGGAGGTGCCCATGGAGCCCTTCTCAACACTCTCACTGCCCCACAGCCAAAGGTCACTGCAGGGGTCGCAGCAACAGAACAGCGGGGAG